GTTGCTCTTCCGGAGGAGATGAACTTTAACATCAGTGTTGGCCGCGTGAGGGCAAACGCGGATGTGTTTTACCACGGCGCCAAACTGGGGTATCTCGATCTAAGCAAATGGCAAAACGCAAACTCGACTCGAATCGCTTCGGCCAAAGACGAGGGTCCCCTACTGGCAGTACAATCAGCAATCGAGAAGGCTCCTCTGACCGTGACAGACGACGATGTTTTTACCGATGTTTTGAACGCACTGCTATTTGGCGGCAAAGGAGTCGAATTGGGCATCAAGGCGGATGTTGATGTCGAGATGGAGACTGCGCTCGGTCAATTGGCTGTCAGGAAGATTCCTGCCGAAGGCTCTGTGCCTGTCAAACGTTCGTGATCGATTCCTGCGTCGTTCGAACGGTNNCAAGAGAATTATGTAGCTAATATGCGGCCCCTTGTAGCCATCAAACGAGGCGGTGTCGGCTCATTCACGCCAAAGATCGGCAATCTACAAATACTGGACACTGGCAAGACTTCGTTGACCCTCACCGCGTTGGTGAACTTCACCAATCCTACCGAGTACAGCGCAACAGTACCCTTTGTCGACATCAATATCCTGACCAACGGCACATTGCTTGGACACGCTACAGCCAAGGATGTGAGCGTTGTGCCCGGAGTCAATACCAATATTCTCGTTACAGCCATATGGGACCCTAGGACATTGGGTGGCGAAGAAGGCCACCGCGTTGGTGTCGAGTTCTTATCTCAATATATTTCTGGTTGGTGAATAAAACTGAATCTACCGCAACTATCTAACATTCGATAGNGCTTCAACACGACGTTAAGTTTGCGCACTCATGAGGGTACCATCCCAGCACAACCATCTCTTGGTCGTGCGTTGTCCAAGTTTGGGGTCGACCTACCGACACCGAATTTGAGAGGTGGTGGTGACAAGGATGAGAAGCATTTCATCCAAGATGCTACGGTTGGTCCAGGACTGGCAACACGAACAGCACATGGCTAACACGAATGTCAGATGCATCTTATCACAAGCACAGCAAACTTTGTGCTACTCTCGCCGTTGAAGACGTCGACGATCTACGTCACATATATCAATGCGACAGCTTTCCATAATGAAGATGCAGTCGGTCATATCGTTTATGATTTGCCATTTGCCGTACCTCCGGGATCTTCAACATCGCCACGTTTACCAGTTGACTTTGGGTCAATTGGATACGACGAGGTCAAAGGAGCATTAGGCGGAACGCTCAGAATGGCAGCGAAAGCGACGGTAGGAGTGCGATTAGGCAAGTGGGAAGAGCGGATATGGTACCAGGGAGAGGGCATAGGTGCCAAGATCAGATTGTGATAAGTCAAGATAGTAGTGGCATCCAAACATGCAAATATGAGAGTTGGTTCAGCACGATCGACACGGTAACCCTAACCCTAACCCTAACCCTAACCCTAACCCTAACCCTAACCCTAACCCTAACCCTAACCCTAACCCTAACCCTAACCCTAACCCTAACCCTAACCCTAACAATCCCCTACCCTACACCCCTCACCTTCGGGTTTTTTCCACTTCCCTTTCCCTATGTTTCATATATATTACTTTTTTTCTTTTCCTCCCTCCTTCCCTCCCTCCTTCCCTCCCTCCTTCCCTCCTCCCTCCTCCCTCCTCCCTCCTCCTCCTCCTCCTCCCTCTTCCTATCCATCTATCCATCCATCCATTCATTCATTCACTTCTCTCTCTACCTTGCTATCCTCGTTGCTTCGCAATACCTACTGTTGCTTCGCAATACCTACTGTTGCTTCGCAATACCTACTGTTGCTTCGCAATACCTACTGTTGCTTCGCAATACCTACTGTTGCTTCGCAATACCTACTGTTGCTTCGCAATAGTTACTACTCGCTACTCACTACTCACCATGGCAAAAGATAAACCAGGTACCTGCCGCATCTGCTTCCGCCACTACGCCTACCTATGGGACCACGTCAAGAAAAACCACCTACACCTCCATGTCCCCCTCTCTACCCTCGCCCATATGGGCTTCACCGCCTGCCCTACCTGCTACCAGCCCTGCCAAACCTCACATGGCATCAAATCCCACCAGTCCAAATCCGGCTGCTTAAAAAGACCCTTCCTACTCGCTCTACCCGCCGGACGCCTACCACCTCTTCGACCCCTACCGCTATAAATACCTCTATAGCCCCATCTACCGCTACCGCCCTTATAAACACCAACAAACGCCGCCGCGCCTCCCGATCACCATCGCTAGCAAGAAACAGAGCAAGGCCAAGAGCGAGGAATACACATACCTACCATAACACACCACCTCGTCTAGATAGCCCACCCGCCAGGCTACTAGACCTTCTATCTGGCAGCCAGCCGAGTACCCCTCTTAGTAGCCTACAACGGGAAATCCTCGGCAACCAATCCGACAGCCGACCTACATACCAACCAGCCCCTTTACCTACCCTCCTACTAGACCGCTCTCCTACCCCTCGCCAAACGGCACCTCCTATGGCTCTCCTAACGAGTCCACCATCGGCCTCCTCGAGGACCTAGCCTCAAACCTACCTAGCGGCCATAGCTCACCGGCCCAAAGCGAGATCCACGTCCGAGACGGCCCCCGAAACACTAGTAGTGCCTACTCTCCTACACCCTCCTCTCCTACACCCTCCTCTCCTACACCCTCCTCTCCTACACCCTCCTCTCCTACACCCTCCTCTCCTACACCCTCCTCTCCTACACCCTCCTCTCCTACACCCTCCTCCCCTAGTACACCGGCACCTCCCTCTTACTCACTAGGGACCCAGGGGCCTACTAGCCCTATCTACGGAGACGAACATACACCACCGCCACCAGATGTTGCAGACATACCTATAGGCCTAGGCCAAGACCGGTATAACACCTACCAGCCCCGAAACAAGTATCTACAACAGCTATTTGGATACAACCACGTACAGGCAAAGGACCACACCTTCCGTGGCAGCCAAGCCGCTAGCTTTGTGGCCGCCGCGGCCAGGTGTGCCTCTAGATACACACGCCAACCTACCGAGAAACACCTGCTAGACTTCCTACTACTACCGAAGGCTGGCCTTACCCTAGGCATCCAATCGGAGGAGTTTAGCACCCAATACGTCCTACAGCACTACCCGGACCTAATGCTACCCCCGCCAAGCCGCGTAGAAACCGATAGGGCCCAGGAATTTCTAGGCCAGCCAGACAACCGCCGGGATACCCCCGCTCTAGAGCCCAAAGACTGGTAGAAAAGGGCTATCTAGGCAGAGCTGCAAGGGCACTAGTAGACCCCTCAACCCTAGCTAGGAACTCGGCGGATATACTAGCCAAACTAAGAGAAAAACACCCGGAAGGGCAGCCCTACCCTTTGCCTCCTCCGCGAGCCCTAGACCAGGCCCTAGGCCACTCCCGGAAGACATCTTACAAGCCCTGGCCTCATTTGCCCCGGATACAGCCCCTGGCCTATCCGGCTGGTCAGTCCCCTTACTAAGGGAAGCCTGTAAGCATAAACAGGTGGTAGACTTTCTTACCCACCTCTGCAAGCAGGTACAGAACGGCCTAGCACCAGGGAACCAGCTACTTACCGCATCGAGGCTTGTAGCCCTAGATAAGGAAGATAGCGGGGTCCGGCCAATTGCAGTAGGAGAGCTCATCTATAGGCTGGTAGCTAAGGTCCTCCTCCAANAACAGTTCTCTAAGGACCAACTAGCCCCCTTCCAGCTAGGGGTACAGAGCCCCGGCGGGGTAGAGCCAATCATACACCTACTAGGACACGCGGTAGATGGAAACCTTAGAGGATACACCCACGTCTGCTCTATGGACTTTAAAAACGCCTTCAACTCAGTCTCCCGAGCAGCGGTAGCCCACGGGATCCTAAGCTATGCCCCAGAGTTCTACAAGGCAGCTAGATGGGCCTACAACGAGCTAGCAGCCCTAGTGATGTATGACGGCACGGTAATTACCTCCTCGGAAGGGGTTAGACAAGGAGACCCCTCGGCCCCCTCTTCTTCTCCCTAGCCATTCGGACCACCCTCCAACAGCTACAACAACAGCTACAGAGGTCAACCGGCTATAACAGACCCCCTCCTATCGTCCTAGCATACCTAGACGACGTCTACATCATCTCAGGGCAACAGATCACCCTACAACAACTAGAAGGCTACCTAGAAGACGCCCCTATCGCCCTAAACATAGATAAGACAAAGACACACCCCCTATCGGCAATACAGACCACGGGAATGAAGATACTTGGCTCCTTTATAGGGCCAGAGCCACGGAAGGCCGAATTCCTGGCTACAAGGATAGAAGAACTCCAGACGGTGCTAGATAGGCTAAAAGACCTACCAAAACAACACGCACTCCTCCTACTTAGGGCTAGCACCTCTACACTACTCCGACACCTTCCTAGGACCATAGGATCACAAGGACTCCTGGCAAGATTCCAAGACATTGACACAAGACTCCTAGAAACCATAAAACACCTTCAAGGCTCAGAGGATAGAAGACCACTAGACCAGGACCTAGTAGCCCTCCCTACTAGGCTAGGAGGCCTAGGAATACCTCTCTACGCGGAAGTGGCCGAGCTAGCCTTCCAAAACTCACAGGCTATAGCAGACATCACCCTACAGAGGATCCTACCGCCAAAACTCTTCTAGCGCCTACCCCGAGCACCCTCGCCAGCCCCTAGCAACACTAGTATAGAAGGCTACCCCTAGACTAGCTATAGGCCTACACAAGGCCAAGAAGGCAACCTACAAGAGGACGGCCTAGAAGGGGACATAGACAAGGCCACAGAAGAGGACACACAAGGTCTAGACGAACAAACCACTCTAGGAAGCCAGGAGCAAGAACAGGTACAAGAACAGGAACAGGATCACTCCCAGGACCGCGGTAGAAGCAGGAATAGAGCAAACTAACAACCACAACCAAGCCTATCCTACCTCCTAGCCTAGGACACCCAACAACAGCCTAGCTTTCCCCTAGAACACCAACAACTAGACCCCACTAGTACTGGCCCTGCTAGAACCATCTACCGAGCTGCAATAGACAAGCTTAACAGAGCTCGACTAGCTAGAGTACAGCAGAAGCTCTCTTTACAGCAAGAGAACGTACGGATCGAGAACTCAGCCTTCCTAGGCCGGAGATGGCTATCCGCAATGCCTACCTCATAGCCCCTTCTACTCTCGGACATGGACGTAGCCGTAGCACTTTCTATTCGGCTTCTTACATCCCCTAAAGAAGGCTAGGACATCTGTAGACACTGTGATAGGGCCTATACCTTCGCCTACGAAGACGCCTGCCGTGCTAGGACTAGACAGACAATTGTCAAACATAATAAGGTGTGCCAGGCGTTAACTACGGCCCTACAGACCGACCCATAAAACAAAGTCACCCTAGAGCCACAAGGAGACTACCGAGGAATCCGGACAGACATTAGAATCGACAACCCTAAGGGAACCACCTACCTAGATGTGTCCATCATTTCCCTAGGCAAGGAAACCGCTAGGAAGGACCCTAATAGCACCCTATCGGCCGCGGAAAGGGCTAAGAAGCTCAAATACCAAACCCTAGGCCGAGCTTTTAAGCCGTTTATCCTTAGCTAAGGAGGCCTTCTAGGAAAGGAGACCTCACAAACCTACAAAGAATTCCAAAGTCCCTTGGTCCTAGCACCTCGGAGTGGCTAGATAAGTATATCTCTACCACTCTAGTAAGACTCCGGGCTAGGAACTGGCTAGGATATGGTATAGACTAGATAGATTTCTTTTTCTTTTCCTTTTTTTCTTTTGTTTCCCTCTTCCTTTTTATCGTACCCTTTTTCTTTGTTTTTATATAGAAAAGTAGTTAGACGAGCAAGAATAGCTTATATAGAAGCGTATCGAAATGCTGCTAACCCTAAACCCTGTTCTTATATAGAAAAGTAGTTAGACGAGCAAGAATAGCTTATATAGAAGCGTATCGAAATGCTGCTAACCCTAACGACATGTAAATCCGAGAATACGGGTTTAACTAGACGAGAGTTTGCTAATCGTAGGCTTTATAAGTCTGGTGCAACGTTAGGTAATGTCCTTAATACCACACGCACATCTTGGCTCGAATACCATCGCGACCAACTGCATAGACTGGCCGTTAAAGGACAGGATGTACCATTATAGTTCGTTTATTCTTCACCAGGCAGTGACATCAAAGGAACACATTGCGGTGGGGAACACTGGTTATATTGATATCGGAGAGCCAGACGTTGAACACAAGCTAACAACTGACTTTGAGTTGACCACGAGTTCGGCTAGTTCAGGAGAGCTTTCGTTCGAGTTGAGGTGCTTGCAAAAGTGTATATGGCAAGAGAAGCGAAAGCTACAGCAGACGCCTTTTCTATGGCTTTAAGAATGCATGTAGCTGGTGATGGAATTGTGGCTAATCTGAAGCAAAAATGGCTACATTGCCATCCCTCCCGCGAATAACAGTGGAAGTCGAGAGTAGAGTGCTGTAGCGACCTTTTGGCCTTCAGAGCCAAGCATGAATCCCATCAGGTCGTCTGATACAGCATATGGTTTTCGAACTTCTTGCACTTGGAAAGATCAGGCATTTTCAAGTCTCTGACAGATTTTTTGCCTGCCAAAATGTCCTTCTTCTCCTTCTCTGCCTTCTCTCTCCAGCAGTTTTCGATCTTCTGATTCTCCTCGTCCAGAACACTGTCAGGAATGAGGTACTGCATGTACTCATCGGGAACTGTAACCTTCCAGGTTGGTTCAGGCACACGAACTGACCCGTCGTCGTCGCTTGAAGACTTTTTATCGTTGTCGTTATCGGACTGATCAAAGTTACACATCTGCCGACGCCTCATGTCTCTGCGATTCTTGTGTTCTTGTTCTGTCAGGTTCTGGAGGGCAACAACAGCGTCTTGAGGGACACGCTCAGGGTCAGCGTCGAAAATGCGACCGCTCGACATGTAGACCCTCACAGGTTCCTCTTGAGAACCCTCTGTCTCCCCATCTGGCCAATATCCGCAGTCCAATCCAAGACTCCAGAGGTAATTCCAGATCTCGGATTGTCTTCGCTCGATCTCTCCTTCGCGAAGGACAAGGTACGACTGGTCGCTGAGCAGTGTTTTGGCAGCATGATGATGAAGGCGAAACTTGGCGTCGCTCATGTCCTCGATGGCGAACTTCTTGAAATCTGCCTGGCCGACGGCCGGGTCCATGGCTTCTGGGTCAACAAGAAGTTGCTGTGGCTCCTTGATGGCGGCGGCAGTTGCCAACGAAAGGATCAGAGAGGAGAGAGCTGCAACGGTCAACATCTTTGGTTATGGTTGGAAGGTCGCTTGTTGAGTGTTTGCAACGATATGAGAGAATAAAGTAAGGTCAAGATGATCTGTAGGCCTAGATATAGTCGGCAAGATAACGAGTTCCGCCTCGACTTCACACGTCCTCGAGTCAAGCTTTGCATCCTGAATCCTGCGTGACGTGATTATACGAGCTCCGCGGACGATACAACGAATTGAAAGAGGAATAGGACATGCAACCCCGCAGCGCGAAATTCACGGCCGGTGTCTCTGTCGTTGTTCCCGGAGCCAGGCCACTATCCCTGATGAGACACCGTGACTCAACTTACCTGACTTGCACGAAACAATGTATGCTAGGACGTGAAATCATAAAATCCTCATCCAGTCGAGTTTAGCGTACTTCGCAAACATCCAATCGACTGCAATAACCATGTTGCTTACCAGAGCCATACTCAGGGCACGAGAGAGATCACACGTGTTCTCCAAGCAAAGTTAGGACGTGCAGAACCTAGCAACAGGTACAATTCCCAGCTTACGAAGATTTATTTCGCATGGTCCCGGACGAACCGTGAGACTGTCAGCTACAAGTGCTCAACACAAAGAGACAGACAAGGCGAGTTGGCAAGGCACTTGAAAGGGTCAAAGATCTTGGATCTTGCTCTGATACTCGACGGGCAAACCCAAGACTTTACTAGCCTTCGGCGGTGCTTGTCTGGAGAGCCCGCTTTCTGTCAAGGTTCCGTTCGAAGTTGAATAGTTCACCTTTGTGTTTCGTGCCTGATCGCTTCGACTTCCAGCTCGACAGACATTGCTGGGAACACTAGGCTTGCCACGCCAACAGCTGTCCAGATGGGCCTGTGGCCAGGAATACGCTGCGTCAGTCTCTCGACCAGGTATTCGAAGTGAGAGACAACGTCGAGCTGATAGCTCCGAAGGAGATAGACCNNTATTCGGTTCTGTTAGAAAGATTGAACAGACTTGAGAAAGAAAATGTCTGAGCCTACATCCTCCCAACCACGAAATCCAGCTGCCTGCAAGACTCTGTCGACATTATCAAACGCATTGTCGATCTGCTGCTTCCAGTCAAATTCGCCAAGGTCTCCTGTCTCATCCCATCCACCCTGGCCCGATAATTTGGCGACGTTTCCAATGACAACGATCTGTGAGTAGTGGGCCATGTCACTATGCTTCTGACCAGCGCCTGGCTCGTTGATGTAGTTGAGGGACGACATGGTTGAAGAATGATTTCAGGAAAAAGATACCGACATGCAAAAGGTACTATGTAGGGAGGTTGGGCTTTGACCTTCAAATAGCTTCTCCCACTCCGATATCGAGTGTTTTTACCAACTCTCCAACATCGAAGTACCATGTCACGTCTTGGAGAGACCCTGTCAGCATTTCCTCCAATGGAGCTACCCCGCTGTAGGAGGAACTTCCAGTCTGGAAACCCCAAGCGAAGCGGGCACGTCGAACTTCTTGAATGTCAGATTCTCATTCTCGAAGCACATGACAATGAGTGTACTGGAGCAACAAGAGTTCAGTTGTTCGTCCGCCCTCTGTGGTGCGTTACCAGCGCGTGGCATGTGTATAAAGGTTGGAGATCTGATGGAAGAATTTCGGGAGGGGCAGCCACACGCATACAGGGCTTGGTATGTGTGGGTCCAGAACAGCTAGAGGCGTCAGCTGCTGATCAGCTGTTGGTCAGCCACAATTGCCAAGGTCAACACAATGTACGGAAGATGTGTTTTCGATGGGCTAGACGATGCGCCTGCGAAAAGCTTTCGGATTCTCCATTCGTATAACACGACATCCTCGGTAGGTACAGAATGCAAGAATTGTGTCGCATGCGGTGGGCGACAGAGGTTCAAAGACATCCTGACAGTAAATAGATTGATGTCAGAGCAGAGTCATTGATTGCGATGATGCTCTGTAGAGGATGCAAGAGAGACTGGTCTTTCTTTGAATTCAGCTGATATGATGTTCGATGAAATTTTGATCGAGCTATGCGACAAACGCAGGATGCCGACTCTGGCGTACTTCGCAAACATCAAATATATTGCGATAGCTAGATTGCTTACCAGAGCCGTATTAGAGATCCGAGAGATCACGAATGTTTTCTGATCAAAGTCAGGAAATTCCATCAGACTGACGCTCAGATGACATTCCCATCAGGTAGGCTCGGAGATATCTCAACCTGACAGTGGGGCAGGGCATAGCTGGCGGCCATGGAAAGAGTTGAAATGGGTATGTTGCATGCTAAGTATTGTGGAAGAAAACGAGTCTGAAGGAGGCGAGTGATGGAAAAAGGACCCGACTGTGGTGGACAAGGGCGCGCGTTCATACCACAATGATTGTTACACTGGACTTGAAAGCACTCGATTTCATCGCTTTCGAGACCCACCACGATTGTTGAGGTGTTCGCTCCTAAATGATTCAATCAGGCGATTTGAGGTGAATTCTGAAGCCTGAAGCTGCACATCTGGCCATAGAACCGAGTTTCTCATGTGGGACATTCTTACGAACCCCAGCATTGAGGTTTTAGAGTCCAGAGTATATGGCCTAGCCGAGAGGTCCCCGTAGCCTTCAGTAATGAAGGAGTCACACCTCCCTATGACGAGTGGCCACACCATCAAGACTGGTGATAACAGCGTTGGAACCAGCACTGTAGGTGAGATCAGAGCCCAGGAACGATAGTTCCGTCTGTACGCAAGCCTGTATGCAAAAAGAATCACCGCCTGGGATCCTTGATGTCGCCTGCAGTCAGTCTCTAATACTCCATGGGTCGTGCTTGAGTCCGAGTCTGAGTCCACATTCATGGTCGATCTGACATGGAGATGAGACCAGATGGTCAACAGTGCTGCATACTGACGTCCCAATTTCTGTTACGGCCGAGACAAACGTGCTCATCTCGAGATGCCCATGCGAGTGCCTGAGCATGTAGGGAGCCTGTACACACGGCAGAAAGGCAAGCGCGGTGTCGTGAAGAGCTCGAGATAGACAGTGATAGACAGTAGATAAGATGACCACTTGGTTGCACTCCTGAATGAGCAAGAGACAAGTAATCGAATAGTCGTTGGATACAATCAGTCGCTCAGCGAACAAGATCCAGTCACAGCCAAGAGGCACTTTGTGGTTCATGATCCTATAAGAGACTTGGCGACAGCTCGACGTCAGTTGTCTTCGCAGATCTTCAAGGAAATCATGACACTTGATGCGTATCAGCAGGTCGGTGGATTCACGTCAAGACTTGATCTCATATCGGAGGATGCGTGCGATATGAGGTCTGCCGAGCATGCAGCGGGTGGGACGGGGGAATTGAGAGTCCCGATGCCATAAAGGTCTTACGTCGCCACAAGGTGCTTCCCATTCCACCCCTGGCTTTTATCACAAGTTTCTCTTTACAATGACATCGACAACCAGCTGCTCAGCAGTAGCACCTGCTTTCTGCCCAACCGCAGCATTTGTGTGCGACATCAGCGCACAAGTGCCTCTCGCCAACCTCACAGGATTGGGAGGGCAGAGAGTCTGCCAAGTTGGTCTGCCACCCGCAACAGCAAATACGAGTGTTCTGGACAACCTGACAAGATGTTACATCGACAAGGATCCATCCAACATACGCGTGCAGGACAATTGCGTCCACTACTGCGCATCCGACGAGGCAGATTTCACGAAGTGCATCCACAACTTCCTGACACCAGGCTTCAGTGGGTACTGTCAGAACGTCAGCGAGAATGTCGAGAAAGGTGAGTTGACGTCGAGAACAGCCGCCCTCTCCGAACGGAGCCATTAACAGTGACTCAACAGGAAGAGGAGAGGTTCAGCACGACAGGTTTGGATGGGCTTCGTTGGCGGTCATGGTTCTGTCTGTCGCAGGCGTTTTCATGTAACCATAATGTCATATTGTGGTGGGTATAGAGTATTGATTCTCATCACCACTCGATGATCTTCTCGCTCTGCCAGAAGCCGCCAGACGTGCCGCTGATATCTTCAAGACCCAGCATGACGGGAGTCTTTGCGCCCTGATCGGGAGTCTTGACACCGTTGCCCTTGGTCATGTCGGTGTTGACGTAGCCTGGGCAGCAAGCATTGACCAAGACGCCTCTGCCCTTCTTGTCCTCTTCGGTGGCGATGGCCTTTGTGAAGGCGGTTGTACCAGCCTTGCTGACGGCGTATGCAGCAGATGGCCATCCGAGCTCTTTCTCTTTGCCTTCTTGGACAGCCTTGGTGAAGTCTTGCATGAGGGCTGTGCAGTCGGAGACGCCACACTTGGAAGCTGAGATGAAGGCGTCGCGCAGTTCGGGCGTGTATTTGTTGAGCTTACCAGCCATAGAGCTGACATTGACGAGGCGGCCGCCGTCGCGGATCAAAGGAAGGATGGATTGTGTGGCTTCGAGGGTGCCGTAGTAGTTTGTGGCGAGCGTCTGCTTGACGACGTCGGGGTTGAAGCCGTCCATGGCAATGCCGGCATTGTTGATCAGGACATCGATGCCGTCGGGGTGTTCCGTATGCAAGAAGTCGCGGAAGGCGTGGATGCTGGACTGGTCGCTGACATCAAACTCGCGGAAGGTGATGGTCGTGTCGCCGCCGTCCTCGACGAGAACCTTTGCCTGCTTGAGCTGGGGATCGTTCTGGAGGGTCTTGACGGCTTCGGCGCCTCGGGATGCAGAGCGTGCGCAAAGGTAGATGAGGAGGGGTCCGCTGCGGAGAGGTGACGATGGGTATGTGAGGGCCAGGTTGCGCACNTGTGCGCCTATCAGCATCGAGAAGGAGGCAGCGAGTGGGAGTGACACACCAATGGCGAGACCAATGCCCTTGTTGGCGCCCGTGACTGCTGCGACTCTAGATTGAACGGCCATACTGTCTTGTTGTTATGCGTGATGGACATGTCAGAGTTCCGTTGCTCTCGACTCGAAAGCTGCCATCATGTCAACGTCATCACTGCGACACTGCGGACGGCATCAACTCCGGCTCCTCGCTTGTGACTTTCAACTTGTCCCTTGCGACAACATTTGCAACTCCCAGCACCTTGCCAGAATTAATAGATGAGTAAGTCGTGTTGTCCAGCTAAAGTTTCCCGGTTTGTTTGCGCATCAGCCAAGTGAGCGATGCCGTGTCCAAACCCATCAAGGCGCGTCATCTGAAAAAGGTGGCCGCTCAACTCCGCCTCTGGATACGCTCTCTTCTGAAGATTCTTCTTTCGGACACTCTCCTCCCATCGGATCCTCTCGTCCTGTAGCAGCGCCTCCGAGAGGGCATGCCTAGTTGTGTACAGAAGCCGAACAAAGCTGAGACTTTGATGCGAAACTGTTGACCAGGAGCACCCTGACCTCCACAATCACACAAGTATAAGTAAGTAGAGACCGACCCCGATACGATTGTTTGCGCTGCAGACTACTCCATCTTCGAACTTGCAAAGCATCGTTTCATAAGTACCATAGCTTAGCCTCTGCTTCCTTGGATTTGTACATCGCTTGTCGTCGCTCTATCGGCCGTATATGATCTCTACTGTCAGCGTCGACACTCATCACCAGTTCCCGTCGTCAATGCTTTCGACGGAGATTACAATCTGGAGAAAGCCCATCAGGCATATCGTGCACAAGCAAAAGAACTCGTTGCCGATGGCCTGGCTCAAAACCATGATCCCTTTACCATCCTGACCCCCAACGGCCCCAAGATCATCCTTCTTGCTTCGCTCACAGACTGGGTCAAGACCAACAAAATTCTCGATCATCCCGTTGTGGTCAGAGATGACTTTATTTCAGGACATCCTGGCTTTGACGCCCTGACAGTCATGCACGATGCCGACCAACTCGTAGTCAACTTGATCAAAAGCAACCTCTCCAAGAACGAGGCCAATGTTCCCGCCATCAACACCCGCCTCTCAGAAGCTTTGGACCAGCATTGGGGCAACGACAAGACATGCCATNCACTTGACTGGCAGAAAGCCACCACCGCTCTCATCTCGCAAGCCGCAGCCGCCTTCTCTATTGGTCCACAGCTCGCCTAAAACCCGGAGTGGCAAGAACTCATGATCAACTATGTCCTCAACTATTTCACTGCCATCGGCCAGGTCCGGGAATGGCCCGCTGTTCTGTGGCCGGTAGCTCATCGTTTCAATTCTCTCTCTCAATCTTNNCGTGCTCGGATCTTGATACGCGATGAGCTGATCAGGAGAGAGGCTGGAAGAGCCACCTCTACCCCAACGTACAACGACGCTATCAAGTGGTTCACCGATGCCGCTAGGAAACGTGAAGTTGACCACGGCGCTTTGCAAATAGCTCTTGCTGTCACAGCCCTCTTCACCGCTTCTGAGGCACTCAGGCAGACTTTTCTGGAGATGTGTAGGCAACCTGACATAATGTTACCCCTTCGTGATGAGATTGAAGACGCCATTTAACAGTATGCATGGACGACAAGTGCTTTGTTCAAGATGAAGTTATGAGATAGTGCCATGAAGAAAGCCCAGAGAACTCTTCCTGCCATTGATACGTCAATCGAGTTCTGCTTCAACCATCTGTACTAATCGTTTCTGATAGTTGGTCTTGAGCGAAAAGCTTTGTCCGACACGACACTTCCAAACGGAGTTACCATACCGCGGGGATACCATCTTGCCGTCGACGCATCGCTGATGTAGAGTTCGGAAGTCTACACGATCCCAGAGGGGTTTGATGGTCATCGTTGTTCGTCGCTTCGGGAGAAGACAGGCAGCCCGGTCCATAGTTTCACAGCCTCAAGCAAGGAGCATGCCGCTTTCGGCTTGGGCAGATCTGTCTGTCCAGGACGTTTTCTTGCCGACACCGAGCTCAAACTTTGCCTGGCCCAGATCCTACTTGAGTATGACTTCAGATCACAAGGGGGTCATGAGTCCAGTTTGACGTACATGGGTTTCTATCCTATCGTCGATCCAGTAGCAAAAGTGGAGGTGCGTTGCAGGAATCGTGATGTGTGCGGGCCAGAGACTCGGATCAACAGAACCACGTTGCAGCATATCCAGCAAATATAGCTTCGGAAGGCATCTGCTTTTTGTTTTCGTGAGCTTTGCCTGATTGAATTGCTGAGAAGATCGTCGTCCCCGTTCGGCCACCGCGGCGAAGGATTCGTGACTGCGCCTAGATGCCGTCTGTTAGCATATATGCTCAGTATTCCCAGCTCGATTATTTGCCAGTACCACCTCGATCCCCTAAGCAATGTCGAGTCAAGAAGAATCATCTTTTGATCCTGTCAAATGCGCAAACTTACACAACCGACTCGTTCAACGAGCAACACAACCTCGAACCCCTGCTTGAACCCTCGATAATGCACTTGGAGAATGCGACGATGACTTCAAGATACGCCTCTTGCCCGATCTCCAAAGCTTCTTGGCCAGCATCATTGCTAGGCCTATGAGCAACGAACCAACACTACTCACGCCTTTCTGCCACCAACCGGATCCCAAGTTGTTCTTCCAGAACAAAGAATTGCCACATTTTGCGCCTTCCAAGGATACTCTCGTTCTGCTGTATCCAGGTGAGGCAACGGGCAGCGGGTTGGTTTTCAGTCAGCAACACAAGGTCGCTTCTTGGATCGACTCCGATCTTCAACTCCCGCCAAAGACATCATGGCTTCCTCTGCCTAAGATCTTAGAGCGGTGGATCCAGATGTGGGATACTGGTAAGATCACGCCAGAACTGAAGCTCGTTTCTTGGAATGAATGGGACCTGCCAGCGTCTCTCCGTGCTTGGGCTGAGTTGGGCGATGCCATCGAAGCTAGACTGCCCACTTCAGTGGCACGGCAGACCACGTACGAACCACTCATTAAGCAAAGTGTCGCAGAGAAGTGGATAGAACAGTCGTTCCAGTACGCATTCCTCACACGAGCCCGTCGTCCAGCGTTTGGCAGCATCGCACCAGGTGTGAGCGTTTGGTCAACCAAGTTGTTGGAAGCCTTGCACGCTGCGGAGCCGGAAGACAGCGAACGCAAAAAGGTCATTGGCCGTAAACCCGGAGACCCCAAAGACTATCAGTCAGCTCTCTCCTGCGACCTGGCACCTACATTGCTATGTCCTGGCAGAGCCGTGGAAACCAGTTGGCGCGATCATTCGAAGCCTTCACTGAGAGGCTACAAGGGAAGAGGGTCAGCTTTGTTGAATCGGAGAGCCGGATTTTATCTCTGTCCTGATGAAGATTGGAGCGATGCAATCGTCTTTTCTGATGGTAGAGGTAGGGAAAACCTCTTCACCTTCAGAGGATCGTGTCCGTGGATGCCTGGCAGACCACTGGCTCTTCTACGCGATGTCCTCCGATTCTGGAAAACACTAGTTGTCGACGGAGTCTGGACGATTGGTGATGGAGGTGTATCAGGAAACATGCCACACTTCCATTTTCTGACGGGGACAAGGAAATCGATCAACGTGGCGGGCACTCGGACTCATGTGGATTATTGCGCTGATTGGGAAGTCGCCGCGTCGTTCTGATGATCACATATTTTGTTTGCTTCGTTACGTCAGGTCACACTTTGCTTGCTGCATATGACAGTGTTCTCTTTCCCTAGTATAGGATACGACAAGGCGTGGCTAATCATGTCTACCATGACTACGGGTCAAGCACTCGTCGCTATTCTTGCCTGACGTATTCGACCTTGCGAGCCAACCAGCAGCCCACGGTAACTCTACTGTATAAACCATCCTTCTCATCCTTGAATACCACCGTCCAATCGCCGGGCGGCGTTGCATCAAGACCTCGTGGGTTAGCCAATGCCCACATCTGGTTCTTGCCAATCTGTCTCATGGTCCAGATAGGTCCGCGTCCGAGATAGCCGTCGAAAGAGCCATACAGACTACCACGTTCTCCAGTCACTGTAAAGACGCTGTCGCATTCTTCACTACGGTAGACTCCTACAGCGCCTTCGGTGGAAGATTGGCCGAAGTCCTTCTTGTCCACAGGCTGTAAACGAACAGCTCGCAAAGTCCTATTGTCGTCGATCCGTTCCACGTGCAGGACATCGCCATCTAGGGTCAGCTTCATGCCATCTGTTTTAGCTTCTTTCTCCGAGGTCAATCTAGCAGTCTCTCCTCCAGTGCCAGGGCCATAAATGACTGAGATTGTGCCAGGCTTCTCCCTATCGCCTTCTTCTACAGCGATATAGAGCTGGGTGTCCTCGTCGAAGAAGTGTCCTTTCCATGCGGCAGAAACACCGATCACCTCAGGCTCAGCCTCTTGTACATCAAGGACTTTCTTGACGATAAACTCGGCGGGCACGCCTGGCGAAGTCTCGAAGTTGTGCATGACAACAACAGAAAGACGATCCGAAGGAAACTGCATCCTCGCGTGTCGGAAGCCGCGAAGGGCACCACCATGAGCAATGGCTGATTGTCCTGCAACCTTGAGGCGCTTGAGTCCGTGCCCATAACCAGCAGGTGTGCCATCACGGAACTTCTGCTCCTGCAACGTTTGGACATAGAGACTCGTGTCATCCGACAGACTCTTGTCCAGGTAAATCTCATAAGCGATCATGTCTTCGAGCGAGGCAGCGATACCAGCATCACCGCCCCATTCGATTCGGTTGGTCGCGGCAAAGTATCCTACCTTCTCATTGCCTTCGTAGCCAACAATGGGCAGTGGAAGTCCATTCGTGTTTGCGCAGAGACTGGCCGTCTTCATACCTGCAGGGATGAACAGTCTCTGCGTAAGCAGCTGCGCGAGCGAGAGTCCAGATACATTTTCCATGATCCGGCCAAGTACGTGGAAGTTCACATTGGAGTAAGAGTACTCGGTTCCAGGAGCAAAGTGGTAGCTCCTGATGCGATCGAGCGCTTGAGGAGCGTCGTGCAGCAAGGAGAACTGGTCGTCAGGACGAGCGCCCCATAGAGTAGTNCCTATGCAAATCTGTGAGCGATCAATTACGGCGAAGAGTCATAATGCCACTTACAGGGCCCAATAGTCACGTATACCAGACTGCATGTTGTACAGATCGGCGACCTTGACGCCGTCTTCACTCCCACACTTGAGATTAGGCAGCAGCTTCTGGAGCTCATCTTCAAACTGTTTCGCAACTTCGCAATCGCGCTCAGCCATCATAGGTGTAGGGTCACGCAAGAGCGACTCCATGGCCAAGCAAACCATTTGCTTTGAGATTGAGCAGATGGGGAACTGCGTTTTGGTCGTCATCGGTATGCGACGGTCGAGATCAGCATATCCCCAAGCGCGCTGGCCGAGTAATGTGCCATCTTTGACGACGGCAACAACACCGCCAGGGCCACGGCTCAGGTGGGGCACGGCAGCGAGTATACTCTCAATGTCGACGGGTTCTTGTGCCATTTCGAAGTACCAAGATACGACTACGTTACGTGGAATGTGGTTTCTTGCAAGTAAATGTGCTCCTTGGTGACTTGACGTGTCATCTCCGCAGAGGGCGAGGGGCTACAGGTCCGGGGCCGATCTAAAACCGCTTAGTCATCAGCGAGGTCGACTCTCGGCTATTTGACTGCCTTTCCCGTGAACAAACCAGAGGATTCCGGCCTTGCGGGTGAACATGAATCGCGTTTCGCCGTCGAGTGCAACATGGCTGCAATGATCTGTGGCACGTACAGAATGCAGACCGTGAAACTTTCAGCTCTCACCATCTGTCCTCAACAACCTTCTTCCATTGCGCGTACTTCACCTTTCACTGCTCATCAATTCATGTTCGATCATCTTTGACGATATTGTCTTAACACCACAGAAGACTTTGGAGCGACCTGTAATATCCCAATAATTCATCAGTCCGCCAATTCCATGCTGTTGTTTACCTTGGCCAAGACCAAGAAAACACTGGCTGAGGGATGACTCATCTGTGAGGGCTGGAACATATCTTCAATCGATCCGTCAACAGACATCTCATGCGCCTTTCCAACTACCAGTCACCTTGCCATGGAAAACAGGACAGCTCTCGTCATTGTTGACGTACAAGATGGTATCGCAAACGCCAGAGACGGGGTTCCTGATGCTGGTCAAGTAAAGCAGGCCATCAGCTCTGTTTTGCATCTCGTCCGCCAGCACAACGAACATTATTTCCAGAATGGAAATCCAGAACTCGGAATTGAAATACTTNTTGTTCAACACGACGACAAAGACCCAAGTGATTCTTTGCATCGAGGAAAATCGACCTGGCAACTTGTTTTCCCACCACGACAGGGTGTCGAGACCGAAAGGCTGATTTCCAAAAACGTTGGTAAGACCAAGCCGGCCGACAATTNNGGCGTGGATGCCACTGAGATCCACTTAGGCGATATGTTCACTTCGAACCCAGATCTAGCGACCTCGCTCCGCCTGAAAGGTATCACAAACCTTGTCTTCGTCGGATTGCAGACTGACCNNTGCGTGAGAGCTTCAATCCTTGGTGCCATAGCGTCAGGTTTCAAAGCTTCCAACATTAAATTGCTGCGAGAAGCCCATTCCACGTATGACAATGTATCGATAGGGAAGTCATATGTGCAAATCAAGGAAGATGTGGAAAAGCAGATGGCAAATACCGGAGTATGTTTGCAGGACTGGAGGGACTTCAATTTATAGAGGAATTTCTTTACTTGAGAACCTTGTATCAGCAGAGAGTGGTTGACGAAATACGGTGCTCATGCTTAGGCTTTTCGGGCCTTGAGAGGGAATAGCATGGCATGACCGAGCATCAGGACTTCTCACGATGTAGATACATCACTATAGGCATACAACAGCTCTCTTGCTACAGTATTTGATCTTCAGCAAGGTGTGGCCGAGTCAAAATCTCGGGCGTGCTTGTGCGTTGTATGATGTAATTCTCGGTGCAACAAGCATAAGGCAGGGTCTCGGAAGCCTGAACTGATCAATCAGACACAGTACGACCTCTTAGTCTGATGTGTCTGGCATAATAAACGAGTTCTGACTATTTTAACCGGACAGCACATTGATATAATCCAACCATGGCTATATAGCGTCAACTATACGGCCGAGAAGCTTCAGTCATGAATTTACTGCTCTATACAGTCTTATGCATATTCATGTGGGCATCAGATCCCCAGATTAGCCGCTAAAAGGGACGTAGACTTGTGGGGTCGAGGTATATCACTTCAATCCGTCCAAATCCACTTGGTGCATTATCAGATCTCTCATTGGGACTTTGACGCACTGAGCACTTGAGTGAGATGCGGCCATACGATTACGATCTGCCAGAGCTTCAAGGTGGTATGGCTCCCTGCGGAGACGCGGAAGTGAGAAGACCCCATGATTCCCCGAGACGTGGCCTCCGCATGATCGACACTTTCAGACGAAGCTTGTTTGAACTGCTCCTCACGTCTTTAGCCTGCAAGTCAAAGACGGAATATTTGGCAAAGCTTGCTGCTGTTTGACTACATATTCAGAGGCTTGGATTACGCCCACACTCTTTGCCCTAATGTGCCTGACCCCTACTTGATGGTTGACGTGCTCAAGATGGCTCCGGCCCGTAGGACTGCACGACGCAGATCCTCAAACAAATCGTCAAGATATCCATGGATGTTGCAATTTAGCCAAATCATACACTTGCGAGAGATGAGACTGATTGGGACAGATGCTTGCAATTCTTCCATGCCGGATCGTCTAGGTATAAGTATCGCATGATCACTCCAACGAAATTGACCAAATCAACCCCACAAGAACCTCGATTGCCTTTCTTCATCATGCCTTCATTCAGAACCGTCTTCCTTGCTTCTGCATGCGCCGNNCTCGCTCTGGCTGCGCCTATCAGCGACATCAAGAAACGTAGCGAGACCATCACGGACAACCAGACAGGCAACTACGGCGGCTACTACTTCTCCAATTACGTAGAGACTGGTGCCGACACTTTCACTATCGGCACTGGCACGTACAACCTGTAATGGACCAGCGCCAACACTGATGTTGTTGCTGGTATCGGTTGGCAAACAGGTGCGGCTCGGTAAGCAGGTCGTCTTCGCGGTTCGGGAACTTCGCTGAATATCTTGCAGCNNACCATCAACTACTCTGGATCCATCAACGCTGGTGGCGACAGTTTGATTGCCCTCTACGGTTGGACGACTGGACCTCTTGTCGAGTACTATGTCATTGAGACCTACGGCACTTACAACCCCGGCAGTGCAGGGACTCATTTGGGCACTGTAAGACACCTCAAACGAGCTCTCCAGGTCCATCGCTGACATCAAACACAGGTCACTACCGACGGCGGTGTCTACGATATCTACGAGACCACGCGTACCAACGCACCCTCTATCCAAGGAACTGCTACATTCCACCAGTACCTCTCCGTTCGCCAGAGCAAGCGTACTAGTGGTACCATCACCTTCCAAAACCACATCAACGCCTGGAAGTCTCTTGGCTTGGTAGGTGAACTCCAAGTACCGTATAAAAGGCTCGTGAACTAACGTTCTCAGAATCTTGGTGCCTTCAACTACCAGATCATGGCCACCGAGGGCTACGAGAGCAGTGGGTCTTCCTCTGTCACTATCAACTGAGGCAGTCATTAGATATCCAGTCAACACAACGAGATATGATGTTCGAAGTGAATGGTGAAAACAGTCTGGAAGCTCCAAGAAGCAGGTCGCTCCTTGGGGTACCTATTGCACCCTTCAACCGAACATCTTCGATAGGTTTTCGTATGGAGCAAGTGCTGGTCGCTCTTATGCTCGGAGTTCCCTTTACCCCTATCGCGTCTGCCCGTCATCTCCCATGAACTCGAATCAATTGAATTATGACCGCACTGTTCACAAATGCCATGTCAAGATCTTTGCTTGCAGTCGCCATAAGCCCAGCACAGAACCCTGAGTTCAGTACCCCATGATCTTCTTGAGCTTTTTCCACTCGTCCTCGCCATGCAAAGTTTGCGACAGATGTTCCCAAATCTTACTTTCGCTTGTCGGACACAGTCTAGTGGCATCCTCGATCTCTGGTAAGAACAGGGATGGATAGAAATCCATGACCAACGACTTGATCGCAACTTTAAAGATGGCGTTTTGTGACCGCGATGAAGTTTGTCCAAGGGTAACATCTACTGCCTTGGCAAATGGTGGTACATCAGACTTCGGTTCAGTGACCGACCTCATGCATTCTTCGTCCACGAACAGACACATTCGGGTGCGAAGGCCTGGCTCTAGAATCTCGTCTTCATCGAGACCTTCGTCTTCCTCGCACAGTCGATATGCGAAAGCCACATCTTTGGGAGATCTACCACTCAGTGCATCGTCGTCGACCATCTTCATGTACAGTTTCTCTCGTACGCGTTCGAGTCCGGCAGATGTAGGTGCTGCGTCCATACCCTGCTGCAAGATTGGATCCCACAGATCGCGAAATTGATCCCAGAGGTTGTCGTCGTCGAAGTGTGTGCGAAACACTAGAAAGCCAAAATCGTTCCAGCCAGCACTTTCGACCAGCTTGACCAAACAGTGCAGTCCATCATCGTCCTCCTCTGCGAGGTCCAATTGCCTTAGGGAAGTCCCCAGGCTGTCCTTTCCGCGTTGAATTTTTGAACGAAATCTACATGGCGGACTTTTGCTTCTGCTGAAATTCTTCGAAGCACGTTTTCAACTTCCTAATGAGCGTCAGTTCCACTCGTATGAATTGAGAAACAGTGGACTGACATCTTCTGGGATGTCTGCAAAGTCTTTGTCACTTGCATGCTGATACTTCTCCTCTGTCCAACCAGCGGGTAGATATTTCAGAAGCGCGTTCAATGCCATTATGTGAGTGGCAGTATCAAAAACTTGGGCACACCCTGCACGCTTCCCAATTTGACAGAGGTTCGGCCGTGAGTTCGAGCGGTTCCTCTGACTTGTCCTTGTGAAAAAGGGGATGTAACGGTCTCAGGTCGCGGGAAACGTCCAAGTGATCAGAGCTTGGCAACAACAAACATCACGTGCAATGGAATCGGTAAAAGGTAATGTAATTCCAACTTCAACTTGCTTTGTACTGCAATCTCGAGCAGCAGACTTGCATTTCGTCTCTATGAGAATTTGGGTTGCGAGTATATCGCTGAAGATGACTATCGTGATCTACCGTAAGAACGGCTTTCCNTCTTTGCGCCATCTATCTAAGTACTCTGGCCATGAATGCCACGAATACGAATCGATATGCAAGATTGANTGTTTTGCTGCGCAAGATGCCATGGTTCTGGTTCCTTCCTCATCTATCTTCCTCACGATGACCCAGTCTCTAGTCTTGTAGAGTTCTGCGACAAGGACTACAATATATGTCCTACTGATGGACACCTCTGCATCGATGGACAAAGTCACCAAAGACTCAAAAGCTTGTTCGATGGTCTTTCCCGCACACGGCGACTGCCAACTTCTTGTGAGTGGAGGAACAGTCGCGCAACCATGGTCATCCGGGAGACTGCCTGGTTTGTCGTCGGCCAGCCAGAGATGATGGACACCCGACTCGCCATATGGACACCTGACTCGCATTGTGTGTTATGTATCAGTATCTTTACTTTGGTCTGAGCATAAATCCATANNTTCGGGAGATACATCGGGATTTAGTACGAAGTACGCTGCAAGATCGGACTCGTCGCCTAGCATGGGCATTTTGATCGCTGTGCGTTTGGAAATGGTGTATGGGAAAGTCTCCTCGGTATGCATGAAGCCTGCAGAAATATTGCCAATGCTTGATTTATGTGACTTCCTGGGAGACCAATGGCTCAAAAAGCTTTCTTGAATCTCTGATAGGTAAAGAGAATAGCGAGGCGACCCAGCTTTATATGCGTTTTGTGATGCGGGAAGATTAGGCGCCACCACTCAAGGAACAACGAAGAATCTGAAACAGTTTGGCGACTTATCACTTATCAGCTCGGGATCTTTTCTTCCGGAGTCGCGCTGATGGTCTACAACTATCACAAATGGCCGAATGTAGTGTGTCCTATGTACACGATGTTCACAATCCCGCGCTTCAGGACAGTTGTCTGTTGACAATGTTGGAACAAGCACTCAACAACTCGCCGTTCCTTCGATCATATCTTCTTTGATGCAGACATCATAGTCTGAGTTCATCTGAAAGGTCACCCGAAACTCCCAATCACCAGGATCATTGCTGAGTCTATCTAGTTTCCAGTTTTTGAGTGAGCTACAAGCTTTCACATGCCTCTTGAGAGCGTCGGTAATCCAACCGCGTTCCATGACAGTCCACAAGCTACCATCATGAGATATAGCATGTCTACAGCTCGCTTTGGGCGGAAACACCATACTGGTTGATGACGGTTCAATCGACGTCGCACTCGCCTCAACCCGAATAGTCGATGGCGGTATGATGGTTGGCCCAACACATACGGAGCCGGGAACACCAATGGTGAGCTGACTGAAGCTTGTGCACTCCTGAACACTTCCATCAAAGTTTGTCAATGTCGTGGTTCCAGGTTCTGCAGTCGAGATGATGGATGAGCTTGTGCTGGCTATGCTGTGAGACGTGTGCGGACACGCTCCACTGATCATCGGAGAGGTGACCACGTCGACGCCCCGAGCCACACTGACAGTGGCATTGATCGCTCGAGTCGCCGCTGCACCTAGTTTAGCAGGTGATGGGTACCGAAGCAGTCAGGTCCCCATTGAACATAACACCAAAGTGTCTCGCCGGTTGATTCTGGGCCTGGAGAACTGTTGGTGTCGAAGGCAAAAGCGGCTGGGTTGTGGTTGTTCCTTCGACGCTTAGAGAAGAAACACACCCAAGCGAGCCACAACTGTGGCAGTAGTATTGGTGTTCCATGAGAAACCTTGTACCACTGGCACACTGATTAGGGATAGTATCTACGAAAGCATGGGTATAAATGATGATGGTACAGAAAACAGATCATGTTCGCAAACACTTGAAAATTACCACTTGAACCATTCAATCTTTATGTGCATCCGGCATGGGAATTGGAAGTAGCTTTAGGCGTTGATCCATTCTATGCAAGAATGAGGACCATAAGACACCCAGGACCCAAAATTGTAAGCGCTGTTAATCTACCGCCGGACTGTTGACAAGCGACCATCGCACCACAGGCGGGTCCCACAAGAAACAACTTTGCTAGTAGGGTCCTTGTGTTGTTGCGTCTCCCACCTGTATTGGGGCGGTCATATCCGTAGATGATGTTATCCGCGGGTTTTATCTCGGGGAGCCTCCACATAGCTCGTACGACCACGACTAGCGCAGAGATTCCACAGTAGACACAGGGAACCGTCGTTGTATCGATTATGGCTTTGGTAAAGTCTAATCAAGTTGTCTTCTTCCACTATGTTTCAATTTACTGTATCTCAAAGAAGTACCTGAGCCAACGTCGATACTGTGGCAACCGCCGTTGATAACCTACAGACTAAAAGACTGGGCGACTGCGCTTACGCCACTGCTCCAAGTGATCTGGCCATAGGTCCCAGGCATACGAATCGATGTAGACCATACACATGTGTGCTGCGCAAGGAGCAGCTGTAATCCCGCCCTTTTCGTCGATTAGGTAGAGCACAACCCAATTCTTCTTTTCGTAAAGACACTTGTGCAAAACGATGGTGTACGTCCTGTTTAATGACTTCTCAAGTGANATCGTGGCAAGAAATTCGAAAGCATCTTCCACTACTTTGCCAACAAATGGTGACTGCCATGCTTCTTTCACTGGAGGCAGAGTTGCGTCCTCATTCTCCACTGTTAGGCCCTCGGGATTTGAGGTGTCCGCACGCCAGATATTACAGACTTCCGACTCTTTATATACTTGTTCCAGGAAATCGTTGATCATCTGAGAGTGTGGTCAATGGAACAGTTCATTCACTTTGAGAGCGCCCTGATAAGATCTCACGTTGATCGGCACGTCATCTTCGAGAACAAACAACGCTGTGAAGATAGTCTCTTCGTCCGTCATCGGCATACGAATCTCGGTTTGTCGAGCGACCGTGAGGAGAACCAGTGCTTCTTCATGCTGGTAGAGCGGCCGTCTGGTGTCATCCTGTTTGATTTCTTGCCAAGTCATTGCCATATTGAGGATCTCTTTGGTTGCCAGAAGTTTCTTAATGATCTATTCTGTGTGTAAGTGGTTCAAGCAAGTCGAGGAAGAGCGAATGTGATGCAGCTCCTGGAAGGCTGCCTAAAACGCCTTGGCAAGAGGTAAAATCAAGCAGACGCGACATGAGGGCGCCTCAACCTGGAAATGTCTCGGAACGACGTGGACAAGTAGATATCCGAGGCTGGGGGAGACCGAAGATACCAAGACCAAGCAACGCAACCAAGCGGCGCCTGAACCAAGATAAGTACGTTTAAAACCATATGCCGCACCCTAGAGTGGGGTATGCCACCTGCCACTTGTCTTAGTATAGCTGTCGACCAATTGGTAATGCTTCTAGATAATCATGTATATGTTCGGGGAGTAATGGCATTTCCGCGATAGGACGCGAGGCGTGATTCCTATATACATCCAGGCTACAAGCAAGTAAGTCCTGTTGAAACAAACAATGATTGAGGCAAATCGTTTGAACACTCGCCGTAGACTTCCCGCATACTGTCCAGGCTCAAATTTTGGCCTGCGAGTCGCGCGATCTGACAGTACACGCATGCTTGTGTGAAGAGGACAAAACCTTTGGAAGTTATGCCTGAGGTTGTCACAATCAAGACTCAGATCAGATTCACTGACCCATTGAAGTCTTCTAAGCGACTGTGGCTTGGTCTCCATTGATTGATTGCTGTAAGAATGTACCGGCACAAACTAATTGAGATTCAGAATCTGTAAGACAAACCTGGAAGCGTCCAATCCAGTCAACGATCTTTCGCTGTAGCCTGTGCCTGATCGCATGTCTTGGCTGCTGAATCTAGATTACTATATGATTAGCGAACCTCAAGAGATCGTCCAAGCGTGATTTTCGTCTCAAGTCACATGTGGTGGCATGATGACTCGATATTTCAGCTCAAGGGGCCTGGTGACATCAAGCATGGCTTCCTTCCGCTAGCAGACTTATCCATCATCTCCAACAGAACATATAAACCGGATCCAGTACATGAATAAGACATTCGTACGTTCTTTGAGCATTGTAGAACATTCCCGAACCCGCCCATCCAACATGTACACCCCGAAAGCCCCCTCTTCTCTAGGGAAGGCCCTCAACACCCGCTACCTTCATAGCTAACCTAGCGCACAAATTTGTCAAGCCATACCAGAGAAACGAGTACCACCAATCCTTTAGCGTGAACCTGGGAACATAGTCACCGTTCCACCAGTTTAAGAGCACCAGGCTCACAGTCGAGATAGATGTGTGGAAAATTATTGATGTGACCAGTCGCTTTAGAAAACCTGGGTCTGGTCTATCGACATGTGGGCGCTGAGCTAGCTCTTGACGAGTGATAAGTGCTCACGAAGAAGAAAAGGGCTCAAGAAAGACTTACTCGTGGCGTTGTTTGGTGTGCCGTCTTGCTTAAAATCATGGCTTTGCATCTCGAGCTGTGTTTGCAAGAACCGAGAAAACGCGTTTGTGTTTTCGAAAGCAAGGTTGTGTTCGTGTATCTTTGGATAAGTCTTTTATTTCTCTGAAGTCTCCAAAACGCAGAAGGAATGGCCCCGTGATTGGCCGCGAGATGGAGTCTATGATACGAAGGATGCGAGATCTACACCTTGGTCTCTTGGCATTCTGCGCGCATTTATAATAAGACATGTTTTTGCGATCAGTGGTGCTATCGAGCGCTCGCCGGTTCTAGCTCGTGGGTTTAGCTAAACCCTAATTACTCTGCTTGCGTGGGACATGCATCTATCTAAGGAAGCCTAAAGATGAAGCATGTGAACTATGCATATAGAAATTGGCATGAGCAATACTAGCCATGTTTCGGGTTCACCATCATCTTTGTTTAGCACCATGTAGTGAGGTGCACTCTGATCGAAAGGCAAAGGTAGTCCTTTGCTCCTGGTCTTATACTTCGAATCAATTGTAGTTCTTCCAAAGTGCTATCTCATGACCATGGAGTAACTATACGATCGTCTCGATACGAAATTCACATGGTAAGTAGGGCTAAAGCTTGAGCGGAGGGAGACAAAACCTATGGAAAATCAAGTGTTTTGTCCATGATCCACTCTCCTCTGTTCCGTGTGCACCATTTCCTTCAAAATCTGCTGAGTCACAGACCTGATGGCTTCCTCCAGTCAGACTCTTTAAGGAAATCCATCTGGTGATAGCTAGCATGACTATTGCTGATAAAGAGCCGTGGCTACACGCTTGTGCTAGCCCAGTACCAGAAGAGTTGGTGGTGTTTGAGGGGTATTGACGTGATCTAATGCTTTTGAGATGGTTGAAGGCAGGTGGGCAACAAGGCAATCTAATGCGGCTATATCACTGTAGAATAGGCCTCATTCGGTATCGACAAAGATGATGGGACTAACATGCATAGCATTTTGAGACACAATAGCAGAGACCTCTAACATTGAAGGATAAGACAACAACAAACGCAGGTCATAGAAAAAACTTGGCCATATAATGGTTTTTCCTTCGTCGACGAGGACGGGGAAAGAAGGAACCAACCGACGTATGCTTGCAGATGAACTCGCGGACTACAATGAAAAGTCCTGACAATTGAAAGCTCGATGCAACTCGATCAAGCGAAACATTGTTATATTCTTTGCTCTTCTGTCTCATCGTCTTCACACTACTGTATGTACAAAGTGCTGTCATCAAAGACTCGTCCTCTTCTCCTCTTCACCTTCTTGTTCATCAAGTCATCATGTGCTAGAAACAAATACCAAAGCGAGTGTACGCTGCTTTTTCACAGTTCCGTGCGCTCGAGATCACTCTACCATGTTGAGTGGTAGCCAGTGGGCTGGGTGTAGGTGGTCCACGAGTTGTGTCCGCCGTTGGTGGAAGAGTGAGAGTATGAGTGAGAGTACGAGTGGCTCGACGAGTGCGAGGAAGACTTGGAGGCCGACTGCGAAGAAGACTTGGAAGTAGACTGCGAAGAAGACTTGGAAGTAGACTGCGACGAAGACTTGGAGGCGGATTCGGAGGTCAAGGAGGCAGTACCAGGGGCAGAGACGGGAGGGACGGTGTAAGTGCCGTTGNCCGGAGCCAGAGCCACCGTTGCCAGTACCGGGAGAGGTGGCACCATTGGCAGGCAGAGCAGCCTTAAGAGGCAGCTTTCTGCTGGAAGATCCGACGTAGACGGTCTTGGGGTACTCGCTGACATACCAGTCATCAAGCTCTGGGCTCCAGTTGCTGACATCTCTGCGGGTAATCTGGGCGGTGAAGGTCTTCGAGGCACCAGGTGCGATCGAGAACTTGTCGAACTGACGAAGGACGACCTTAGGGTCGTTGGGACCGCCGAGAGAGATGTAGAGCTGAGGAACTTCCTCGCCTTCGACAGAACCAGTGTTGGTAACAGTGGCAGTGACGGTGTAGAGAATGTCGTAGAGACCGGGGTTGCCACCTGGAGCTCCAGAAGCGGGAAGAAGAGGCTGGGGTGCACTTGAAGAAGAGCCAGCAGGGAAGCTGTAGTTACCACCATAGTGGGGGTCTTGGGACGAAGCGCGAAGGTTGGTGGAGTTGAGGTAGGGGTAGATGTAGTACTCGATAGGTCTGACATCGGCAGGAAANACATAGTCGGCAGAGTTGTTCGAGATAGTGCCATAGATAGGAGCAGCCTTGGTCAGACCAGAGGCAGGAACATAGGCGGGAGCCGAAGTGTTAACCGAGACCGAGATGTCGGAGTAGCTGAAGTTGGTGTACGAGAGACCATAACCAAACTCGTAGACAGGAGTTTCATCTTGTCTGTCAAAGGCTCTGTAGTCGATGAAGACACCCTCCTCGAATTGAGTCTGAGGGGCTGCACCACCATTGTTGTACTCGTAGAGAAGATCGGTGCCGTAAGACTCACGGGTCTTGCCCATGGTGAAAGGAAGTTTGCCAGAGGGGTTGACCTTGCCGTACAGAACGTCGACGATGGCATTGCCTGATTCCTGTCCGGGAACACCAGCCCACAGAATTGCGGTGATGTTCTCGTGGTCGTANCCTAGGTAACAGTCAGCTCTGAGGTTCACTGGAAGGATAGTCAAGACGAACCAGTCATTGATCAAGACAGGGCCGACGGTGTGGAGCACGACAATGGTGTTCTTGCACAGGGATGATACGTTGCGGATGACATCTTCACCACCCTGCCAGAGAGTGAGGTTGTTGCGGTCTCCTTGGTTACCGTCGACGATGATGTAGCCCTCACCAGCGTCTGCGTTGGCAAATACTNNAATTGCTTGTGTTAGCATGGTCTGATGAGTGTGAAGGGGGAAAGGACGGAAAAGAGAGGGAAAGGACATACCGATACAGGCACCGTTCACTTCGTCAGCACGTTGGGCGAGAGTGTCGATTTGGCTGTAGGCGGCACGGTCGAGAACACTCTCAACAGACTTGCCGTGAGAGCGAACCTCATTCTCGATGGCAGTGTGAGGGGCAACAAGGTAGGGGAAGTTGGCAGTTCCACTACCCCATCCCATAGCAAGGGTACCATTGTCACAGCCGCGGTCAGAGCAACCATTAGGTCCGTACTGGTTGTCAGCAGCATCCTCACCAAAGACACCGACGAGTTGCTCGGTGCCCTTGAGAGGCAAGGCGCCATTGTTCTTCAAAAGCACGGTACCCCTAGCAGCAATCTCGCGAATGTTGTCACGGTGGTCGTCTTGAACGTCGACGTGGTAGTTGATCTGTTCATAGCCCTCTTGAGCACCGTAGTGACGGTATCCGAATGTTCTGGTGGTCCATGACGAGAAGTTGGGTGCATTCTCGACTTGGTTGTCTTCCCTGTCCACGAGGTACCAGGCTGCGACGATACGGACAGCCATGTCATCGAGTCTGTACTGAGGGACGGTTCCGTTGAGAACGGCGACAGTGAGGTTGGCACCCCAGAATGAAGTGCCGCTGTCGAAGCCGACATCTCCGGGCATGGTCATGTCGAGACCTGCAAGAGCGCTCGAAACACCGGAGTGCTGCCCTGACCAATCAGAGACGACGAAACCTTGGAACCCGAGTTCAGCCTTGAGGACCTTGTTCAGGAGGTGAGAGTTTTGGCANCTGGATGCGGTTAGTGGTGCTCTGCTCACAACATTCTTCTTTGTACTTACGACGTAGCTGTTGTTGGCCTGGTTGTACGAGCACATGACACTACCAGTACCGGCACGTACAGCATCGGCAAAGGGCCAGACGTAAAGCTCGTGCAGAGTGATGTCGTCAACATTGGCAGACACGGAATCAGAGATGTTAGGACCNCCTTGTCTGAAGTGCTCCTGCTCGTTGAGGATGTAGTGCTTGGTGCAAGCAATGACACCAGCATCCTGAATACCCTTGACTGTCTCGGCGTTCAAGATACCAGAGAGGACGGGATCGGGACTAAAGCCCTCCCAGTTGCGACCGCCTTCAGGACTGCGGCCAAGGGGGCCAACGACTGGGCCAAGCATGACATCGACACCCTTCTCACGGTGCTCACTACCCATGTCGTTACCGCGCGTGTATGCGAGTGATCTGTCCCATGTTGCGGCAACAGTGACGCCTGCGGAGAAAGCAGAGACGAAGTCACCTNNGGGTCATGTCAGTATACATAAAGGAGCTACTCGAGTGGCTGCTCATTGCTTACCAAATCTGACACCTAGAGGCGAGTCCTGAAGACAGAGGGACTTGAAACCCAGACGGGGAATGGATCCAGTGTTACCAACGCACTTCTCAGACTCCCAACTAGAGAAATGTCAGTATTTGTTCGCTCTATTCGGATTGCATGTGAACTGACCCAACACCTAGAGAAGATTAGCAAAGCACGAACACGGAAGGAGACGATGTGAGAACGAACCAGTAGTCAAGTTGACCTTCTCAGCAAGAGTCAATTGAGACACAAACGCAATAGCCTTCTCATACGCGCCTGCCCACTCTCCAGCACCTGTTCCCCAAGGAGAAGGATAGTAGGGAGGAGAAGTCTGGTTGAACTTGGCGCCAGCGACAGCATACGGTACTGCAGCGCCAGGGTAGTCGGTACCAGGGAANCTGCGCAGATGTCAATTGACTGTTGTGCGACCCCAAAGGCTAGCAATACTTACAGGCAGACCTGCAACAGGAGGGTTCGGGTAGCCGCCCTGAGCATTGGCGAGCTGAGCCGCCAGCAACAGGGCCAGGCTCTTGAAACCAGACATCTTTGCGTCAGAAAGTTTCAGGCCAGAAGATCAAAGGTGTGTAAAGCGACAAGAGCAAGAAAAAGTTTCAAGCCCAGGAAACGAAGGCAAACCTGGTTTGCAGAAAAGAGGAAAGCACGAAACTGTGACTTTCACTGCTGCAACTTCCCGTGAAAGTGGGCAACACAAGGTGTCACTCCAAAAGCATGCGGCCCTGCGATCAATTTAAATGTTTTTGCTGTCTGCAGCTTCGATTTTACCGGCAACCCGAGTGGCCTCATGATGCCATACAGGGATCTGTCCATAGTGAGGGGAGCTCTGACCCGCGGGGTAGATTATTTTCTTGACAGACCAGCTCTGTCAGCCTGCATATATTCGATCATCTATGCAGGCACGGCACAGCTCATAGAGAGGGGTGCATTGCAGTAGCGTTTGTCTCGTCACTACTCACTGTAGCGCAGCAAGGTGTGATTCTGCCCATCTCGAAGAGAAACAAGGTTTGGGGAACAGAGAAACAACGGCTCTCCAAAGAATTGTCCTTCCAGTCAAGAGGCAGCGGCCGGCGTTTCATAGAAAGGAAGGAAGGTGCCATACGGAGGGTCCTTGAGAGAAATCTTGGTTAGAGTACTCCAAGGTTTGCAGATCTTGCCCATGGGGAGAGGTTCATGAAATCTGCTTGGATATAGTTATAGAACGTGGGATGAGTGCTGCATGACGGTCACACTCCCGGCAGTTGCCGGCTTCATACCTTGCCTTCTTCTTTCTTGCAAGAACAACAGGTATAGAACTTCTGAAATATAATGCTTTGCCTTCCGATTCTCATTATTTGAGCTTGCAAAGTTTGCAACATCTCCTAGAATTCTGCTTTCCGATCGTGATATAGCGTACCAATACCTTACACTCTCTACTTCTCCCCTACCTGCCTATACCAACACCCCTACCTCTCTGCACCATCGAAAATGTGGGGAAAGCTCAGATGCTTGTTGATCAACCATCACGGGGACATCTTTCGCCTCGGTTGTATGCAAGTTTTGATAGCCCAAGGAACACGCAGCTTGCCTCATGACAAGCAAGGGTATCCATAAACCTGCATCTGTACTCCACAGCATCTTGCAGCAAATCCAGGTCACGAGCATGGCAGAGGAGTGTAAGCAAGGTAGCAAAAACGCACTTTGTACCTTTCGTACGTACCATGTCACGTTTTGGGCGCTGGCGACAAACGGATCACAGATGCCGCTACACCGCGCGCCGTCCTTGCGGAGATATGCACAAGACTGGAGTTTAACATCGCGTCCTCTGCGGGGGCAGACAGAAAGCGGGGTGGTGGGTGCGGTAGAAGGAAATTGTGTAGATCCACCTTGTTGTGGGTTAGGCATCAAGTTGTCAGCGGCACCAAAAGCTGCAATCTATCTCGGCCGAGAGGATCTAGCCAGACATCTGTGGCGAGATGCGAGATTAAGCGGCTATAGTAGAGACAGACCAAACAACGATTGGGTTGCTATGGTAGTCGAGTTTAGTCTGCGATACACAAAGCAGGCGAGAAAGAGATATAAAGTCATTGTTCATCCCTGTCATCTCCACGAACTCTCTGCATGTTTCAGAGAGAGCTTAGCAAACCAGTCCTTCCAGAACAAACAAAGCTTCAACGCGGATAAATCGAAAACTCGACGCCACAAGATACACCCACTCTGGAAGCAAACCACCTACCTCATCAAGGACCACCCCGCCGCTGCTGCTCCACCGTGTGAATCAGGCCCACAAATGGGCACTGCAAACCAAGAGCTTTGTCTTCCTCGGTCCGAAGAACGATGAGGACGCGGAAGTGCGGCCCTCACAACCGCGTCCTTCATGCAAGAGGTAGTCTCGATCGACGACAACCCTCATCACATCGCGATGGATGTCTCGGCAGTGGGGACAAGAAAGAATAATGATGCGTTGTAAGAGTGGAGGGGAAAATATCTACCGGCTGATGTGATTTTGACAGCATCGAAACGCCTCCATAGCGCCACATACATCCTTGACGACAAGAGAAAGTTTGTACACGGGGGTTGATAGGAGAGAAAAGTAATAATACAAAAGAAAGGGAATCCGCTATGCGCAATATAAAAAAGACGAGATGCCAGAAGAAACACACAAAAAGGGACCCCCAATGCCTATACCCCAAAAACTCCATGATTCGTTTCGGAGATTTCTATACGTAACATCTGGAACTTAGTGGTTCAAATCCTTGAACACCACAGGTGCAGGGTTGGAGGAACCGGGAGGGAGGATGGGTCCATCGGGCTTCTCGGGGATGCTAGGGATACCTGCGCCAGGACCTTCACGGTCGCCGCGGCCGCCAAAGTACTTGCTAAAGTCGCCCTTGTCCTCGAAGGGTCTTTGGCCAAGCATNCTGACGAGGTCGTCGCGAGTCAAGACTTCCTTGCGGAGCAGCTCCTCAGCGACGATACCGATCTCTCTTTTNTTCTTCTCCTCGAGCAGGCCACGACACTGCTTGTAGGCTTCGTCGACGATGCGCTTCACCTCGGTGTCAATGTTGCGGGCGGTCTCCTCTGAGAAGGGCTTCTGGAGCTGGTTCGGGTCGTCCTCAAAGTAGAGGTAACCAACCTTGGGCGACATACCCCACTTGGTAACCATGGCGGTGGCCATGCGGGTGACCTTGTTGAAGTCGTCCGATGCTCCAGATGTGACGGTCTCAAAGTGAATTTCCTCAGAGACACGACCAGCAAGAGTCATGGCCATACGATCAAGAAGCTGCAGGTATGACATGAGGTAAGTGTCTCCAGAGGGAAGGTATTGTGCGTATCCGAGGGCTCCTTGACCACGGGGAATGATGGAGACCTTCAGAAGAGGATCGGCGTACTTAAAGTACCATCCACAGATAGCATGGCCAGCCTCGTGGTATGCAACTGTGCGCTTCTCCTCGGGCGAAAGCACCAACGACTTCTTCTCGAGACCGCCGATAACACGCTCGATAGCCTGTTCGAAGTGAATCATCTTGACAGTGTCAGCGCCACCACGAGCAGCGATCAGAGCGGCTTCGTTGACACAGTTGGCAATATCCGCTCCAGAGAAACCAGGGGTAAGTGCTGCCAGACGGCCCTTGAGGTATTCGATGTCTTCCTTTGTCACGATGTTCTTCAAGTGGACAGCAAAGATTTGCTTGCGTCCGTCCATAGTAGGCTTGTCGATTGAGATGTGTCTGTCGAAACGGCCAGGACGCATGAGAGCCTGATCCAAAACATCTGCGCGGTTGGTACCAGCAAGTACAATTACCTGTNNAAGAACGTGTTAGCTTGTTGCATGTTGCTTTGTTGAGCAGTAGAAGCTCACCTGTTCAGTGCTGGCGAAACCATCCATCTCGGTAAGGATCTGGTTGAGTGTAGCNTCTCTCTCGTCGTTACCACCTCCGAAGTTTTGCTTTGATCTTGACTTTCCAATGGCATCAATCTCATCAATGAAGATGATGCAGGGTGTGCTCTTTCTGGCGTTCTGGAACAAATCGCGCACTCGCGAGGCACCAACACCAACGAACATCTCGACGAACTCGGAACCACTGACGCTGAAGAAAGGTACACCAGACTCACCAGCGGTTGCCTTGGCGAGCAGAGTCTTACCAGTACCAGGAGGACCAGAGAGGATAGCACCTCTAGGAATCTTTGCACCGAGCTTCTGGAAGCGCTCGGGTTGCTTCAAGAAGTTGACGAACTCCATGATCTCGACCTTGGCCTCGTCCATACCAGCGACATCGGCGAACTTGACCTTGACGTCGGTCTCGTGGTTAAACTTCTTGGCGCGACTCTTGCCCATACCGAAGATTCCGCCACTGCCACCACCGCCAGCTCCAGATGCGGCTCTTCTTGAGAGCCAAAAGATGGCACCAATAAACAGCAGGGTGGGACCGAAGCTCAATATCGTGTCAGCCCAAGAGACCTCACGGCTGTATTGAACAGGGATTCTCTCAGATGATGGGATGCCAAGCTCAGCTTGTGCGTCGTCGAGTCTGCGCTCAAAGGCCTCAACAGAGCCGATGGAGAAGTAGTAGTAGAAGTTGCCGTGAGCTGCAGGACTTTCGGGGTACATGGCTTGGACAGACTGCTGGTGAACGTGCACTCTGACCTTGTTGTTGTTGACGACGACAAGTCTCTCGACAAGACCCTTGTCAAGGAAGGTGTTTCTCAGCTCTTGCCATGTGATCTCGCGGGAGTTCTCGCTTGGGACGACCAGGCGATAGATGAGGTATGAGGTGAAGGCGGAAAGAATGATGCTGTTCATGTCCAGCTTGATATCCTTGATGTGGTAGGCTGGACCATCCTTGTCTTCGCCCTTGTTGTTCGACTTTGACTTGGAGCCGGCACCGGGATCGTGAGCACCAGACTTCTGCTGAGCACCCTTGGCCTCGCTGTTGATGTCGCTCTCGGCAGTCTTTCTGGCCATGGAAGAGACTTGACGCCACAGGCGGGCGGCGACGGCAGGCGTCATGTGGCCCTGCTTGACCTCGTCCATGGTGTCGCGGAGCTCTTGAGGGATGCCTTCGGTGCGGATCCTTTGAAAAGTCTTTTCCACCTCTTCTGCCATGGAGGCGGGCATGCCCTTCTTGATCTGACCAAAAACCTCGGTGAGCNNTTCCTTCTCTTCCTCGGGGGTAAGCTTCGCAAAGCCGGGACGAGGCGAATCAGATGAAGATGAAGCAGTCTTCTCGTTTGTCAAGGGGCCGCCCTTGTTGTAAAGGTGCTTCATGCCGGGGGCGGATTGGCCGGGAGTCTTGTCCTTGACCTCATCTTTGTCGCGAGGCTCTTCGGGTTGAGTGGCGTAGCGGCGGACGCGCTGGTATGCATATGTTGGTCGCGGGATCGAAGCAGGTCTTAATGATAGCGAGCGACCGCGGGTCGANATCTGGTAGGTCGGCCTGTACAGGCGACCAAGGTTGATGGTCTGCCTCAAGATGCCTGACATGACTGGTGGCGGGATGCGAGGCGGCGAGGGTGAGAGAGGGTGATGTATGAGTTTAGCGTGCAACAACCATCCAGCGACAGGATAGTACGATGCGTGCGAGGGCGAAGAGTGCAGCGGCGAGAGATGGTGCTGAGGGTATGACTGCGAGTAGAAGGCGAGAGAAACGCCGACAGTCAATGACGCGAATCTGCCGTGCAGCTCACGCTTCGCAACGCTTCAACTCACGTCCGCCCGGCGTTTTCCGCCAGCTTGCTAACCATGCCACCTTGACGCTGCGACAATCTATCCCCTCTCAGTCGTATCGTCCTATGAGTCATCTTGTCTTCGAACGATGTGACGAGATGATTGAGTGAAGCATTGTTGAAATATATAGCATCGTTGCAACTGGAAACCAAGCAACCAGTGAGGGTCTTTGATCATAAACGGTCTATGAGATTCTGTTCATGATATGTACATGCATAAGGTGCTATGTAAAAATATATGTACTATGCGACAAACCCGATACTCTCTCTGTTATCGTCAACAAGCCTGCCGTATTCGAGCAAGAGCCTAAAGAACCACACTTCAAAGTCTTCGTTTCTGAGCACTTTGTTGCTCCAATCTCTGCCTTGTTCAGCCATTTCTACAGCCATGCTTTTGCCGGCCTCCTCAGCTCCAAAGTAGCGTACCGACTCAAGAGCTTCTTCTGCTCTCAGACTTAGAGGCACGTAATGGATCCAGGGCTTGAGCCACTCCGCATGCCACTCGCGGAAGACTGCCATCTTGAACACCAAGCTGTGGGATTTGAGGAAAGCATAGAATCGGCCACTGAAGGCATTGCCATCGATATCAAGCAGATATTTGTACTTCCAAGCATCTTGCTGGTCGGCTGGTGGGACGATCTTGAAGAATTCCTTCTGGGCATCGCAATCACCAGGATCGCATTGACCGACATGAGAGAAGTGGACATCCATAAGTTCTGCATAGTCGGAGCGCGGCACAGAGCGCGTTTGCCAGTCGGGAGTCTTGTCGTCGTGCGAGGTAGCTGTAGTGAGGTGTGCATCGTACATGATCTTGGCCTGGTCAGGCGCATTGAGCTTGTGCACAAACTTTTGACGGTGTTGACGGCGCCAGCCTCCGTCGCGTGAGAAGCCGCCAGTCGTGCTACCAACCCACCAAAGCTTGCCTTCTTTCTTATCCCAGGCCACGTCCTTGTGTGAATCGTAGGTTACCTTACCATACCAGTACCAGGGCGAAGGATATAGGATGTCCTGGAAGCTACTCATCTTGGATTGCGAGAAGATTGGCACAAGGTCGTGCACAACGTTGAAGGCATTTGGTCGGTCAAAGAAGCCGTGTGATGTGCCAAAGGAAGGAGAGTTGCAGACGTCGCTGAAGGCAGTGTCGTTATACACAAAGCCTAGCTCGCTCATGGCATAGGATGCGATGTTGTCAGGGGTTGTTTCCTCTTCCAGCGCTCTAGCAGGGCTGTCTGGAGAACACGACATACGCGACGGGATCCAGGTAGGCTGGTGAGCAAATACGTTGAAGCGTGTGATCTTGACCTCGTCAACACGTTCACCTGGGTTCAGGTCTTTCGGACGAGGCGAAAAGGCGTCCTTGGGGCTGTGGTTCAAGAAGGCGGCGGGCATGTTCTTGGTCTTCGCTACGTCTACCAAGCGAGACAGTTCATCGTGTGGGACAACGACTCGAGGTTCGTCGTGGATGTTGAAAGCCAGGTCCATGTCAGGCAGGTACTGAATAAATTTGTCCATCATGCCGATCGTCGCCTTTTGCTGCCATTCTTGTCCGCTCCGTACGTGTNNAACCTTTCCACCTCGTATCATCAGAGCAATCAAATTGTTGCCATCGAAGCCAATTGCCTCTTGAACCCTCCGTCTTATGGTTACAGGCTTCAGACCCCAGAACGGAAGCAGCGAGTGGTAGATAGTGTCGAACTCGTCTATGAGCTGGACGTTGCGATCCTGGGCGAATTGGAACCACTTGTCGAAGTGGGGAGGAGGTGGGATGTTGTATCGGCGCTTGTACTCGGTGACGGCTTCCTGCAGGGTTCGTGACTGTCTTTGCAAGAGAGCGCTGAAGTCGTTCTCGGCGTTTCTTGCCAGATACTCGATCGGATGGACATGGCTGTCGTTGTATTGCAAAGGAACAGATAGATCCTGGTCGCGCAACGGAGGTGACTCGGGACCAGCAGGGCCTGTAGGAATAATCGGGATGACTCTTTCTATCAAGCGATCGCGGAAGCTGAAGGCTGCAAGTAAAGCTAGCGACACAAGCAGAAGCAGCGTGAGGAGGCGTCTCGAGCGCATGTTTGCTCGACCGTCTGGCGCAGAGTGTCGAGTCGTCGAGGTTGAGCGGTCATGGAGAAAGGCGTAGAGTGAGAGCAGACATAACAATGCAAACCACAGCCGTCCTAGTGAGAAGTCGACTGCCAGTTGGGCGGCAAGTGCTGCGACAACGAAAGTCGAAGCTGTTGTGACTTGGTCGCATTTATCGACCTGCAAAACACCCTGGTCAGTTCACCTGCCGAAGTGCGTCCGCCATCCATTTCGGGTCTTCTCATCGCGTGATCGACTTACCGCGAGAATGATCGTTCTGTTCAACATGACATGAACCACTATCATACCCAAGCCCAAAACTACCATCAAGATCTGCTGTGGTAGAAATGCAAACCAGAATGGTCTTGTGCTGAAACCCTCGAGGACGAAGGCCGACAGCCATTGCGCCAATGCGGCTGCGAACGAAACATCTACCAGCACTTGTCGTGTGTCTTTCTTGATGGTCGGCTGGGACAGCAGACCGCTCACAGATATCACTCCGTCGTCGGGACCGCCGGTCGACACGGTCTCGCGGTGGGCAGACTGTAAGAGCGACAGCACCACGGCTACGAGCACTGCATTACAACAACCCGATGCAAATGTTGTCCTCAGGTCGCTCACATAACTCAGAGCTACAAGTGCCGACACAGTAAGCACTGCTAGAAGTCTTTTGTCTCCGCTCTTTGGTTTTTCTGCAGACCGAGTGTCGGTACTCGAGTTGAAGCGCGCGGTGCCGAATGCATCCACCTTGACGACCACGCAGACGAGAACGGGGATTAAAGCCTTTTGAGGAGAGAGTTTCAGCCGATGTTCATTGTGTATATACTCGAGGGCATCTCATCTGACCTTTGCCCAGTATATGTGACCCTTTTCCACAGCCCGTTCGCATACGCTGGACAGGGCCAACAGCACTCCTGCCGTCCATGACAGTACTCGTCCTTGCGACTCTTCGGTGCTGCTGAGATGACCCCTAAAGCGTGTATATGCCCAGAGACATGTCCATGCCGCAGCGCTGGTGGTGAGAGAGTGTCGGGGTGAGGAGCCGACTAGAGCGAGGGCGGCGGTGACGAGCAAGGTACCCAACAGCACCGCTTGCTGGTTATCTCGAATCACCCGACCCGGCGATAGCATCAGTGTCTTGGAGTTTGGCGACAAGTCTTCATGATTGTACAACACTTTCACGAATGACCTCCTTGCCTATTCGTGACGCGTGAGCTTGGCAATCCTTCCTCCGAGTCGCCGAGAAGTTTAAAGGAGAATAGAGGCTCAACGTGATTGGCTGCGCTGCATAATCCTGATTCCACTCTTCTGCTCAAGCATGTTGCCATGACAAGACCAGACTCCAAGCTTGGAGAGGCATAGCGATACAAGAGGCATTTTCCAGAGAGCATGTGCTTCATTGTCTGATGAGATATGATTGGTGGTCTCGGCTCGAGTCAGGAACACGGACCCGGTTTCGACTATCAATAACGTATCAAAGCTGGGGAAGGCGCATGACCAACGCCGACTAACTCCGCACCGGCTGTGTCATTGCTATCTCCTACTCCTTCTCCTCTTCCTCAAGCACTCCTTGTTCTTGTTCAATACACGTTTCTCAACATACTTCGCGTGTTGGCTCTTCGGCTGCTCAACTTACATATCTTATACCGGAGCTTCACGCTCTGACACGTCGGCCGACATGGCGTCCAAAGCAATGATCCCGGTCCTGGTAGCCATGATGCTGCTGACGGGCATGTGCAACACCCTCTTTACCAAGTACCAGGTATCATCTCTCGAATCTCCTTTGTCTGTTCACTGCTGACTCGATTATAGGNACATGCAATGTGTCGCCAACTGTGACGACCCCAACCCAGCCAAGCGCAAGAACTTCGAGCAGCCCGTCATTCAGACACTACAGATGTTTGTCGGCGAGTCTGGATGTTGGCTCGTCGTCTTCATCTCCTACCTCTTCTGTCGCTTCGTCACCAAGACATCTGACGCGAACGCATACCAGCCACTCGGCACGGACGACAGTCGCAACCCTCTGTTGCAAGAGGACGTCGAAGCTCCCGCCGATGCCACCAACGTGCCTGCCAAACCCTTTGCCGATGCAGAGCACGCTGGACAGCGGCTGCCGCTCAGGGGATGGAAGATTCTACTGCTCGCCCTGCCTGCATGCTGCGACATCGCCGGAACCACCTTGATGAACGTCGGCTTGCTGTTCGTCGCAGCCAGTATATACCAGATGACCAGAGGTGCTCTCGTGCTCTTCGTCGGACTCTTCAGTGTCGTCTTCCTCAAGAGACACTTGAACGCTTTCAAATGGGCCAGCTTGTTCATCGTCGTCGCAGGAGTGGCAGTCGTTGGCTTGGCTGGAGCTTTGGAGAACAAGAAGGCCACAGTGCCTGGAACCACACCTGGAGCTGACNCCCCGAGCATGAGCGAGCTGCGGCACCAGATGGCTCACAGCACCATCCACATGGTTCGTGACGTTGCGAAGAGCGTCGCGGCTACTGCTCAAGAACACTCGGCAGCCCAAACCATCATTGGTATACTTTTGATCGCGGGAGCACAAATCTTCACGGCATCGCAATTTGTGCTGGAAGAAAGCATCATGGCCAAGTATGAGCTAGACCCTCTGGCAACTGTCGGATGGGAAGGAGTTTTTGGATTCTCAGTCACGGCTATTGGTATGGTGTTTCTACACTTTGCAGTCGGACGTACCGAGGCTGGCAGAGGAGGGTACTTTGATGCCAAGGAAGGACTGGGACAAGTGCTTCAGCATAGAGCGATCGCAGTCAGCAGTCTGTTGACGATGGTGTCGATTGGTGGCTTCAACTTCTTTGGACTGTCGGTCACGCGTACAGTGTCGGCGACAGCTCGCAGCACTATTGACACTTGCCGAACACTGTTCATCTGGGTGGTCAGTCTTGGGCTAGGATGGGAGACATTCAAGTGGCTTCAGGTGGTGGGCTTTGGACTGTTGGTGTACGGCACCATGCTGTTCAACGAAATCATCCAACCACCTACCGTGGGATTCTTGCGCAAGAGGATTGCGCTCGAGTCGGAGGATGACAGAAGGGGAGAAGTGATTAGGTTTGCTTAGTGTTGGATAGTAGGAATTTATGCACGTCATTGCACAAAAGACTCCCTCTCCACATGTTCGGCTGCACGACGTTTGGATGCGACCAAGGACCGCTCTTCTCTTGCTTTCCTGTGACGCGCTACATTTCGACAAGCACATTCTGTATCCAAGGTCATCATGTCGACGGCTCCATCATCACGTCCATTGTTCCAAGTCCAGAGTGAAAACATGGGACCTCCAGGAAAAGCAATTGCTCGACAACGACCAGACAATACCAACCGACCAGTTCTAGGCGACTTGACGCCAAATGCCAAACTCGACAAGCACCACCAACAACAACAGCAAAGAGGCGGCAGTCCACTCAAGCGACAAGCGAATGTCTTCGACGATGGAAAAGGCTTCAGCTACATCAAGCGCCGCCGTCTCTCACACAACAATGCCCTGTCGCGCCGCATCACGCCGCAACCAAACCAGGAGCAGCAGAAAGGCCTCTCTCCCACCGACCACGATTCGCACGACGACGCCGACAGCGGTCGCTCATCCCAAAACTCCAACGCTACCCGTGGCTCCTTCTCGTCTCTGATCAACTATGACCCCTCGTCACAACAGCACATCTCGCAACAACACCAACACCACCAAGCCACCTCGTCGTCAGCCTCCATGTCCATCCGAACCGCTGCCCAGACTCTACGGTTACGTCTACGCATCGCCATCTACAAGGTCCGCACCAACCAGATCAACGTGCCCTTTTCGCGTCTGCAGATCATGGCCAAGCATCCCACACGACAACAACCACCCCAACCACAAGCCCCTCCCTCTCCCGACGCCCTGCCCATGGCTCCCCCACCACTACGTCCCTACAACGACAAACACACACATGGTGCCGAATCCCAGCCTCAAGCCCAACAAGCCCTCTTCTCCACACCGAACATCTTTTCGAACCGCTTTATGCCGTTCAACGCTCCTNCGAGCTCGCCGCCACTGGCACACGACCCCCGCNCGCGTATTGCAAGAGAGGCACAGGCGCGTATGGCTGCCGCTGCTACCGCGGATAGGGATAGTCTGGACTCCGAGGCTACCGAGTTGGCTGATGATCACGATGAACATCCTGTCGCTGAGAGCCCGCTGGACAGGTCTAGAAGGCATCATATGCTACCGCAAACTTGAGAGCTTTGATCTGGACACTCTTTCTCTTTTGCAATTGGCAGTAGTACGCTGCTTTTGCTTTCTGGTGCGACCCTGTCGCGTTCGCAGTCGACGCTCAGCAAATTTCTAGTCTCTTACTGGGCTTCTTTTGCTCTTCGTTCGCTTCTGGATCTTACTTTCTGGCGCCGAGTCATCTCCAAGGAATACCCTTAGGTCATTCCGAGGGCTTTTGCAGAATTACAGATACGATGCAGAGAAATGAAAACTGAAAAACCGGGCTTTCGGGGACACACGCGGCGTTCTCATATGATCTTTTTGACCCTTTTCGTGGTCAAGGCTGGGCTGGAGGTTTTGTTCTTGATATCCGATCTTGCTTTTGCGGTCACCTTTCTTCCTGTCATCTTATGTTTCAATTTCTCTTATTCAACTTTTCGCTTCTTGTCTCATCATCCTTTTCTTGTGTCTGTTTTGTGCAAGGCGTGTGCTGTTTTCATTTTTCCTGCTTCTGATGCACGCATGATGGAAGATACAGGTCTTATGAGAGCAAGAATCAAAATCAATTCTTTCGCAATTGTTGTGTCTCTTTTCTTCTTAGTGGCCCCGGTTTCCAAGACCATTGACATAGCGGTACGCTTTGCCATGCTCAAAACCTGTCACAGAACTCGTATCTCAGCTGCTCATTGCTACGAGTTTTGCTCAAACTTTTGCGATTGAATCAAGGCAGCTTATTACAATCTGAGCGGATATCTGTTTGAACACACATGACTACCAGCTGCCTCTTACACTTACAAGCAGCACTGCAGCAGTATACGCTGGTATAAGTAGTTTTTTTATTTTTTATTTTTTTTGCAAGATTAGACGTCTAAAGAGCAGCAGAGTTCGAAGTCATCTGTGGAAGAGTCCAAGTGCGTGTCTAAAAGGATGGAACAGTGGCGTAAGTCATCGGGTCAATGACTTCGAGTCTCGCAGTGGGGTCTTAGCATATCTGCTACCAGACTCGATTTTCTGAGATGAGATATCACGTACTCGGGACAGAGGAGAGGTAGAGTATGGAAAAATGTTTCAAGAGTCATGGGCCTGATGACTTGATTAATGTTGCTCTCCTCTCTCTCTCCATGTGCAGATTTGTTCGTGAAGATCTCGACATCGTCCCTTTTATTGGCGAGTCTGTCTCACCAGACCGTGAAATGTCCTTGCGTTTCTCTTTGTTACTGAGAGACTTTCTGTGTGATGTTCTATATATATTGAACATGAGTATAGGACTGTTGTGTGCATCCTTCAATGCAACAATCTTGTCGTAAGGGCTGGCGTTTGGAAATCGACCCACCAAAGAGAAGAACCAAGCAGCTTTTGCGGCTTTTCAGCTTGCAAGGCACAGAATCGCGACGCGAATGACTTCTTCAAGAGTATGTGGATCTTGGATGGAACTTACATCCTCCAATGCCATATCACAATTTTGAAGTCACGCAACATTGTGAAGCATGGTGATCTGTCTATAAAAGCCGTCGTGATCAGATTAACACAGTACCTCATCGATGACAACATCGTCCTCGTTTGGTGCTGGAACACATTGGCTTCGCAACCAGCATACGGTCCTTGGTTGAGCGCGAAAATGGCTTGTTTGGCTGGACCGAACGAAGAAGTAGGCAGGGGATGCAGGTCGACTGCGGAGATGATCTTCACGCTCTTCATCAATGGGTATCACCACGGCGGCACCGGATTTTCTCATCATCCAGCAGGCCTATCCAGCAAGAAAGCCTTTGAGCAGGTATCACAGGGGCTCCACCAAGAGTTTCTGGAATGGCCATCAGGTCGATAGGTCAATGAACTTGAGTGAAGAACCTTGTCCCAGCTTCATCTATTGACTGGAGCCAAGGCCCTGGTGTGCATCCTTACAGTGGCCAGATAGGAGAGAGAAGGCGTCAGGAAAGCCGGAGTCATGAACCTGTCAACCTGCTCTCGATGCTGGCGAGGTTGGGAGTCCCCAATCAGGAAACGATCCTCGACGGTGACCTCCTGCTTTCCAGGAACAAAGACTGAGCGGCGGGTAACGAGTGACCAGGTCTTTGATACCGTAGATGCCTGAGAGTATCTCTTTGATTCCATCAAGTCTCTCAGCGACGCTGACCGATGACTGATCCAAGGCAACGTTCGAGAGTACAGGAGTACATGGACCTGAGGCTCTCCTTCGCGTGTCAGTCCATCATGTTCGACATCCGCGTTGTACCGTTATCGCCGTCGGGTTGGGTTGGACACCGAGGTCGCATGTGTAATCACATTCTTTCGCTGAATCAAGCACAAACTGCACGTCAGGCTCGAGTATGATACGCAGTCAGTGAATATTCCAGATTTTGATATACGAGCCTCGAGCGAGAAAAGAACATCTTGACATTCCAAACTTGGTCAGATGTTGTGACGTGAGATCGTCAGAATATTGTAAAGATTATGTCCTGCGCATTCGCTTGGGTGCTGCTGATGATAAAATGCCGGGTGTGCCAGACGTAAGGGTACATAATGTTCGCGGTTATGGTTGAGCGTGCATATTCTAATGCGCAGTCTCACGAATACGAGCTTGTGGAGGCCGGAATAATGGTTTCACTCATTTCACGGTGGTCACGTCGCATGTAAGAAGGTCGAAGATGAAGAAGTCGTATTGTGGTCAGCTCGCGTCAGAGACGTGAAACGCCCCTTGTCATGATCCTCCTCAGAACGACTAATCATGATCTTCAATCCAACAACTCCATCTTTCCTCCTTCCGCGCTTGTGCCTCCATCGCAGCAAAACAACGTCAGTCCTATCAAGTCATGCTACAAGAGCGTGCCAAATCATAACATCAAGAGCTACACACTCAGTAAGAGTAACACTTAATTCATCATGTCGATGTGGCGGTAAGTCAAGATTTCTCGTTCTTGAATCTGCATTTTGTCTCTATCGAAAAACAGTTCTCTGCTTCTTGCACAAGGTCAACATCCTCTGCTTCTCATATATCTAATCTCTTGCCTCTGCCAATCTGTCCATCATGCCCTTTTCTACATACCATCCTCTCTCTTCCCGACCACCTAACCCCAAAATCCCCCTCCACTTCTTCATCCACCCCTTCCACAAAACCACTAACAGACCTTAGCTACTACACCTCTCTATCCCCAAAAACACGCCTCATGGTCGGCGGCGGTATAATCGGCTACGCAACACTCGGCCTCTTTCTCTCCGACACCGCAGAAGAGAAACTAGGTTACACGCCTAGTGAAGAAGATAAAAAGCGTCTCAGGGAAGCGATGCCGAGGATTAGGGTTGTGGAGGAGTGATGGAGAATGTGAGATGGATGGAATACGGGAGTCGGTATTGTGGTAGGGGTAAGAGAGGGCAAGAAAGAAGATGGAAAATTCAAGGGAAAGGATGGCGATGGTGGCACCCTGACGGTGAATCACGAAAAGGGATCCAGGCATATTGAGAGCTGTGGTCTTGGTTCTTTGCTTTTCGATAATTCAAAATGACCTTTCTACGCCTATTTAGAGATCTATGGCTGCTTGAGATCAAGGATCGGATCGCGATGGTGGTGTTGAATCTATCGATGGCTTCAGCCACAAACCCATCAGCCAGAGCAAACCATACACTTGGTCCGCGAGCTACTCAGCAAGCATGATGTCAAAGGCTTCTCTATCCTCTCGGAGCTACACAGCAACACGGAGTAGGAGACGTAAAGAGTCCGCTCTTACAAAGCGATTTTTGATATAGAAGCGCAATCCATAAAAGACCATCACACCAATACCGCGGCACCGCCACATCCGACGACTCGCGAATACTTTGTCTTCCGGCTACCTTCAAACATATCGCGCTGTCAAGGCACACCCGAGAGCGAGAGCGAGAACGAGAACATGTCCGCACAAAGTCACCTAATCAGATAACAGTATACAACTTCTATGCTATGGGTCTTTGATTGGCAAAGGCAGACATTAGCCCTTATTTCATCGAAGATATAGATCTCAGATTCAGTCCGCTGCTGCCAAACGCGTGTAACAAGCGAAACACCGTCAATGTGTGCAGACTACTAATAACTGATAGCGCAGCCTGGTTCCGACGCACGCATCGGAATTTGTTCAAGCATCGCAAATCGCAATCGAGAACATCGCAGAAAGGATTTGTGGAGAAATGGCAACAACAAAAGCTTGGCACATGCACGTGTCGTTCACGAAGAAGGTATGACGAATGCAGTAGTAATTAACAGCTTCCGACTTCCGGATGCACACCGCGTGTCGAGGGTTGTTCTTTTTGGGTCCAAAAGCCGAAGGAACAGACACCAAGAAATGCACCTGCCGTGTTGGGTGGGTGGATACATGCGGCTTTGGCAAGTTCAGGGGACGCTTGACAGCTCAGCTTGTGGACCCTCCTCGGTAGTGCGCCGGGAGCTTGGGTGCTTTGTTGTGAAGTTGAGGCGGTGACGCTGGCATGTGGCTTGGTTGAGCTGTGCTTGAGGCTTTAGGAAAGATTAGATGGCGCGTACCGATGCTGTGATGTCTCCATGAGCTGAGACGCGGAGGATGACTTGTGGTATCGCATAAGACTGGCAGTATAGGTACGCCATCAAGGTGATCAGATGTATACATGGGTAGACAATCAACCACCCAGAGCTTTTTGACCGCCAGTATCGCCTGATCAATTTACATGTTCAGCCTGACATGTATGCGCGGCCTGTTCGCCTTCTACTCGAGCTTTCCGTGTTTGTTGTCGTTGTTGAGCGCAAGCCTCTTTGCGAAATCTGAAGTCCATCGAGAACTGCTATCATCGATCCTATGTTCCAGCCCCTCCTCGCGTAGCCGCAATCCCCGATTTTCCCGATGCAAATCTCAGATGCACAGAACAACATGCGATTTCCGAGTCCGTTGGCGTTTTTTCGCGCCGAGAAGCAAACAAAACATGATGCATGCAACCAACTGATTGAGGAAAAAGTAGGAAAGATCAAAGCACTCGAGAGGGGCTGATGTGTGATGGAAGGGATGGAAGCAATCGAATTCCATGCTGCTGAATCTGACAAAGTCGAGCTAGATCTCCCGATTACCGAACGGTGACACGTCCCATTGGTTCGGCAATGCACTCCGAGTCTGGAACGTCACTTTTGGTTTTGGCTTTGGCTTTTGTGAACGACGTCTGCCGCCTTTTGCTAGAGACTAGATAAATTGATTGGTTGAGCTCGTTGTAACATCTTGTCATCCTGTCGAGATTTCGTGTTCTATTCGCAGCAGTCGTGGCTCATGATATGTGCGTATCACCGGGCTGTTCTGTGAAGGCAAAGCATAAGGCGACCATTTGAAGGAAAAGAATGGAAAGTGACCCTAAATATGGGCTTTGTGGTTCCCATCATACGACACGGCGCATATCCTGCGCATGTCATGGCTCGTCTGCCCTTTTGCTCGGAAGTTAAGTGCCGTTGGCGCAAGAAACAAGCGCAGCGTACCAGCATCAAAAGTCGGAGTGCGACTCCCAGGGATTTGGATCCAACCATTCCCCATATTGAACATCGGATGTGTGCCAGATCACCGATTCTTTCGCGTGCATTGTGTTTCTTCTTTTTTGACACGGGTTCCTTCTTTTCATCATTTCGAGATTGCTTTTGTAGCTGGGGACCATGAAGACTGTCGGGAAGCCCGAGGTGGATACCAGTCACAGCATGGTACCGTTGATACGAGTTACGGTTGTGGTCGTAGTGGGGATCACGGTCGTGGTCGAGGTATAGGAATTCGAGTAGGTGACTTTGTCGATATAGCTGATCGAGAACAAGGCCATTGGTCGGTTCCGCTACGCTCCAGGGAGTGTCTGTCAGCCCCCATACCCCGACTGCCTTCGACCCATTGGTTGCCTAGTCCTGGGGTAAACGTTTCCATTCGTCCAGTCGGTCTGCGACATCTGTGTATTGTAGAGATAAGGATTCTGGGACGGTCCGGCTTGACCATCTGTCTTCGTCCAGTCTTGAATGTTGGCTTGGTAGGATTCTTGTTGGATATGAGACGAGTCCTGGAACGGCCAGATCTCCGCCNNCTAATAAGGAATTAGCATCGGTACTGACTGGAGTATACGCAATTTCTGGGAAACAGAGCTCACTTCTTCAAGAGGCTTTATTCGCGGTGGCTGCACATCACCGAAGATAGATGATGACTGACAAGAAAGGGACAATGCCACTCACAGGCTCTGTAGAGTCGAACCATTGGTGCCCGGGAAACTGTACAAGGTTTGCTGACCGAGGCGAGGATCGATCATCAGAGGAGGTTGCTGTGTGGGACTTGTGTAGTCTGTCATACAGAGAGAGTCTGTGTACAAGTTCGAATCGCCGTCTTGTTGGTCTTGAGACTGGGTCGACATGGGGGACAGGTTGGACAGTGCGCCGTCTTCCAGGAGTTGATCCGAGGGTCGTTTCCTCGAAGGTGGTCGCGATTTGCGGAGCGTTCTGGCGTAGGTTTCCACATCTGGACACTCCCTCAGCCGACGAAGATGTTCGAACGCTTCCAACTCCGGTGTAGTATGCAAAGCGTTGTAAACAAGCTCGTAGTCGGAATTCCGTTCGCCCAACTCCTTGTTTCGACGACGCACGCCTTCGACTCGTGATATGCCTGCTTCCAAGTCGTAGACACAAGACTGACCTCTTTGTTGACAGAGCATACACATGGGTCGCTCACCACTGCACTAGATGGTTTGTGATCAACAGAGGCCCTTGTCAAGCCAGTCCAAGGCAGTTCTCACTTTTACTTTGCGCTTCTGACATGACTGACATGCGGCCTTGACGAGCTGTCTTTTTGGTCTGATTGACGACGATATATCCGTGCTCATCTTGCGAGTGCGGGACTCGGATGCCAGGAGGTTGAGGCGTTGCGGTGAAATGCGTAAACGGCGATGGTAATGAGAGGTCCAGATATGGTCGGTAAAGTTGAGAGTCTTGTACTTGGTTGTGCACGAGGATTGCCAATGTTCAATGAGCCAGCCCCCAGATAAGTCTCCCGAAGTGCCGTACGCTGTTCAAATCGACGATGCGAATCGTCGGTTTCGTCGGGCACAGATCTGTGGGTTTTGTTTCCGAACCCTGACGCGCCAATTCGAGGGCTGTTGATATGAGTCTTCTAGAAACACCGGCAGAAGCGTCAGGTCAGAGAGAGACGCGCAGGAGTTCTAGATGGGAGCAGCGTTGTTAAGAAGAGGAAAGATATCCGGTTGAAATGGCAAAGCCTTCTTTCGGACTGGACTCCGAACGGCCTGGTTGTCGAGATGGCCGGAATTGGTTCTCAGAGAAACACTGTGGGGGCAAACTGGCTTGTTGTTAGAAACGTTTTGGCTAGGTGCAGCCTCACGCTCACGAGTGTCGAACGAGTGACCCCAGAGTGGTAAACAGGGATCCAATCTCGATGGTCTGCTTGCGGTTTGTGAGAGATTCCAGTCAGGGAAGGCACTACCGCAGCAGCACCAGCCTGCAACCGCAGACCCATCGTCTTATATTGCGGCATCTGCTGTGGCGATGCGTAGACCCGGCACGCTCTACCAAACTATGCTCTGCTCACTAGACCTGAGTTGGGAGGACAGACGGGGAGTCGGTCAGGCAGGCCTGGCATCCGCTTAAGCGCCTGTTCGGGCCCACGTCACGAGCTGAGCGTCTACCTAGGGCGTTCATCGTACGTGCGAGCGAGGAAGGTGCAGAAAAGCAGGCCATGGGATTTCTGTAGGCTCTTCTGTATTTTCGCTGCTCCATTCCTGTCACCCATGTAGGTAGACCGGGATCCCCTAGCGTCTTCTGAACGGCCACGGCAGACCTACCGTGTCCGAGGACGAATGCCATCGACCCTGAACACGAACTACTTTCTGCTCACCCCCGCCCCGATGGCATTCTCGTGTTAACCTGACGATGGTCTCGAGGTGGGAATTTCGCCTTCCACACTCCCCGACTCACATCGAGTTGACTCGTCACCTCGCTTTTCGGAAGGTGAGAAGTAGGTACTCCACTGTGGCTTTGCGTTGCTACAGCTGCCCGGCACTTCTTCGTTGCATTTATCGTTGCATTCATTCTCTCGTAGTCTCGGATCCTGCCGTGTTGACCAAGTGATAGCTGAATTGGATCAGAAAAGGATAAAACATAATCATGGTTGCAATTCGAAAAGTCATAATAAAGTAAACAGCGTCACTCAAAGTTTGCTCTTGCTGACAATGCTGCTGTTGCCCTTGCCAATACATGACACAGCGTCGCTAACCATCTCATCAACAATCTGCTTGGCCGACTGTCGTTCGTTGACGACAGCGGCAGCCTTGCCCATCAGGAAAGGTCGAGCATTATCCATAGTGTCGTCGTCAAGATCATCACCTAGGCTTTCGAGATCGTGCTCGACAGGGATGACACCCTCGGATGTCAACTTCTTGATCTCAGCCTGTCTCTCATTCTCCCACTTCTCAATGTACGGGTTCTTTCGTACACGAAGTGGGCGTCCGGTGAAGATGATGGTGCGGACATTGTCGTCGAAGCCAGAGGTACGTACTGCCTCTTGATGAGCCTTGCTGGCGCCGGCCTCCTCACTGAGCACAAAGCGGGTACCAATCCACACGGCGGTGGCACCAAGCATGAGGGCGGCTGCCAGAGACTGGCCGTTGAAGAGACCACCAGCGGCAATGACTTGGACCGGCTTGCCGGTTAAGGGACTCTTGTGACCTTCACACATCTTGACGACGGTGGGGATTAGAATAGTTGTAGGCACATCGCCAGTATGTCCACCTCCTTCTCCACCCTGGGCGCAGATCATGTCGACACCAATGTCGAGACATTTCTTGACATGCTTGGGGTGGCCGATCATGTTCATGTACAGGACTCCAGCTTTGTGTAGTTTCTCGACAATGTGCTTTGGGGGAACACCGACGGCGGAGACGAAGAGCGAGGCCTTGGAGTCGATGATGATGTCGACGAGTTCGTCGAGTTTGCCCTTGGTGTAGTCGTAGCTNGCATCTTCCGTCAGTACTGCAACCTGGTCGCTTGGGAAGGGCAACGCGTACTTTGTCTTTCTGGCACTGCCACCTACTTGCGGAAGCAGAAGATCGACTCCAAACGGAGCGTTCTTGTCCTTGAGATAACTCTTGAGTTCGGCAATCTGCTCGCGCAGCATGTCTGGTGTGTAGCCAACTCCGCCGATGACACCCAAGCCACCAGCATTTGTGACGGCAGCGGCGAGTTTCGGGCCAGCGGCGACGTTCATGCCAGCCAGCATGACGGGGTGGTTGATCTTCAGGAGATCGGTCGTTGTGGTTCGGATTTGCTCTGCGTCTCGTCAGCAAGCGTCTGGTGTTGTCCTGTGGGCCTTCATACGAGGAGATGCCATCGTGAGCGTTGACAATATGGTGTGTGATCTGGGACAATGAGTGGGTCGACTGGCAGGAGATGCACGAGACAGATGTATGGATGAGAGGAGAGGAGAAGACAGGCACGACCGAGGACTAAGTCTTGATCACCAGATGCCGAGGCATCTTGACGCTCCGCAGCAACATCCTTCGACATGATCATCTGCCATCACCAGACTTGCAGCCAAGTTCCCGTTGTTCGCGTTTCGTCCAGGGAGAGTCTCTTCCTTTCTACCAAGCCTACACAGGCTGTCATCGTGTAACATCATGTGAGAATGGATCTTTTGCGAGTCAAGCGAAAGATGAATGTTTATGTTGCCCTGACAGGCGCACAAGCCTCAAAAGCGGGGCGTCTGGGGAAGCTTTTCGGATCTGCTGCCTCGCCTTCCGGACAGGGTCCCCTTTCACGTGCCTGCCTGATCGCAAGCACCATCTTGAAGCAGCCTCACATCTCGCTCCGAGGTCGAGTCTGCCTCGCAATCATCTTCTCCCGGAAGGTCTGATAACGCACTTCATCAATCTCGGTATCTCTCCACGACTTAGATTCCAGATCAAACTCGATGGTCTAGAAGTCACCTTGCTTTCTTCCGCTATCGGATCTCTTGCCTGCAGCTCAAGCCGCTTTCGCCCAGCGGCCGAAAAATTCACCACCATCCTTGGCCCACTTTATCGACACGACATGAAGTTCCGGAATGAGATACGCCATCACGACAACCAGATTGTCTCGTAGATGCGCTCAAGCATATAGCCATCGACCTTCTTCTTTATCTTCACTCAGCCGTACTTGTCATCAGTTTGTACGGACGACCGTACCAACACAGTCCTGTGCACCTCTACCTCGAATGAGTGGCTTGACTTTACAACAAGGAAAGACCCTGACAACGGCCATGCCACTGCTTCGTCGCACAATGTCTACTGATGCAAAGGTTCGCCGAAGAGCATATATCGCTCTTGGCAGCAATGTAGGCGACAGGCTTGACATGATCGAGAAAGCATGTCTGGTCCTCGATCAGCACCCAGATATCAAAGTCACACGAACAAGTTCGCTCTACGAGACCGAGCCCATGTACGTCGAGGACCAGGCTCGCTTTCTGAATGGCGCTTGCGAGGTTGGAGCTTTTTTCCACATTGTTTTCTAAAGTAAATGACTGACGTTCGAGGACAGANTAGAAACCACACTAGAGCCAATGCCTCTACTGGACAGATTACAGGCCATCGAGAACGAGCTAGGGCGTGTCAAACTCATCGACAAAGGACCCCGAAGCATCGACCTCGATATCTTGTTGTACGAAGATCAAGTGATTGATACCGAACGCTTGAAGATACCGCATATCTTGATGCTCGAGAGAGAGTTCGTGCTTCGCCCTCTGTGCGAGTAAGTGTTTTCAGTTCTACAGAATTGACTGCNNCATGTCTCATTCATCCTCAGCATCATTCCAGACACGATACCTTCAATTGGTCAAACACAGGTGCCTCTTTCGGAGAGTTTGCGAAAACTGGCATCTTCTCCTTCCACTCCCATATCAACCACGACGAGCATGGGAGAAAATACGTTTTCGGTTCGAGCTTTGGAAAACACACGTCCTACGCACGTCATGTCTATTCTCAACACCACTCCTGACTCATTCTCGGATGGAGGTCTCAATTCACCAACAGACGAGATGGCGCTCCGAAAGACGATTGCATCTCATATTCGTGCTGGTGCTACATTCATCGATATAGGTGGACAATCGTCCCGTCCCAATGCTCCGGACGTGACGGTGGAAGAGGAGATTCAGCGCGTCCTGCCTGCCATCAAGGTCATCAAATCTCTGCCCGAAGGATCCAACACTTGCATCAGCATCGACACGTATCGTGCAAAAGTGGCCGAAGCAGCTATCAAGGCAGGAGCGCACATTATCAATGACATTTCCGGAGGTCTACTTGATGTCGACATGCTCCCTACAGTTGGCCGTCTGGGCTGCACCGTGTGCTTGATGCACATGAGAGGTACCCCGGCGACAATGACTAGTGCAGAAAACTGCTCGTATCCTGATGGTCTAATCCCTACGATAGCCAGGGAACTCCTGGAGCGGGTCAAAGCGGCAGAAGAGGCTGGCATTCGTCGTTGGCGCATAGTCCTCGACCCAGGGATTGGATTTGCCAAGACGACCGAGCAAAACCTGGAGATTCTCAGGTGTATGGGTGAGCTCAGAAAGTGGCCTGGTCTGGCTGGTCTCCCATGGCTCTTAGGCAGCAGTAGAAAGGGTTTCATCGGCAAGATCACCGGAGTCAAGGACGCAAAAGAGCGCACGTGGGGCACGGCGGCGACTGTGGCAGCAGCCGTTCAAGGTGGGGCAGACATAGTGCGTGTGCATGATGTGGACGAAATGACCAAAGTGACCAAGATGTCGGACGCGATTTGGAGAGTGTAAGGAGAGAGAGGGACGCTTATCAGTTGAGACGTCGTTGGAAAATTAGAGTACAGACACTCTGGCCCTGCTGACCGCCAAAAGTGAAAGTAGGATACTTGGCCTCGTCAAAGAACTGCAGCTCACCGTCAGGAGCGACGAACCAGTTCATGACTTCCTCCTTGGTCCAGTTGCAGGAGGTGATGATGAAAAACTGGCCAGGCTTGATGAGGGGAGTAATGTGTTCGCGGTAGAATTCGCAGATACGACGGCCTTGAGCGTCTGTCTCAGAAGAGAGCGAGATGGCGTCGAAGGTGCCCTTGTCCAATACAGCATCGAAGCCTCCGACCAACCATTCTCCGGGCTGGTGATTCAGAAGATCCCATTCCTCGAAGCGCACGGGAGCACCCTCTTCACTGCGCCCTTGGGCAATCTGGCGGGCGAGCTTCACACTGGTGTCGCTGTAGTCGACGCCGACCAATTCTCCAGCCCAGTCTTCGTCCAGAAGAGAAAACAGCATGTGTCCATTGCCAGTCCCCAGGTCGAGGATGCGCGAGTCATCTTTGCTCAGCAGGCCCTCGTCTTCCAAGGCTTCCAGACGCTCAATGACCTTCTCTTCGGCGCCGCTGTCGTCGAACCAGATTGTGCCCTCGTCTTGTGCATCCTGTTGGTGGTTTGCGATTTCACGTGCGTAGGCGTCGTCCCAACTGCGCAGTTGGTCAGCTGTCTTCTTGTCGCATGACGCTGGGTTTGGACAGGCGTACTATTGCTTGGTGCCGAGTTCGCTGGGGTCGAGGTGGGAGCGCATGATTGCTATGTTCTATGATTGACAGAGTCGGGTGTAGATCTGTCTAGGGAAGAATAAAAGAAAACAAATGTTTGGACCTTCACATGCGGCGGTCCTCGGTGGTGCCAACGGGCCGCACGGACTTGGCATGACGGTGGGTAATGACTTGGTCTTGTTGGCTTGAGGCTCAGCACGAGTCCAAGCAGCTCCCGACACGCATGCCAATTGGAGAATTTACAACTGCTACACCGCTTTCCTGGATGCCGTGAATCCATCAAGACACGTCCGTCTGTTTCCTTCTCGCCGCACCGCCGTGCCCGACGCACGCCCGACTGCCTTGAACCCTGACCGCTACCCTTCCCCGGACACGCAAGCCCCCGTCATGGCCGCCGCATACTCTGCAAGTGCTCCGGGTACCCTCCCTCCAACCATGTCGAGTTCGAACGCTCCTCCAGGCACCTTCGCCCCGGGCACCAAGGTCCAGGTCGGCTCACACCGCGTCGTTATCGAAAAGTACTTCTCCGAGGGAGGCTTCGCTCACGTCTACACCGTCCGCGTACCACCGAAAGATGCTTCCGCCAAACCCACCATCGCCGTGCTCAAAAGAGTCGCCGTACCAGACAAGGATGCCCTGGCCAACATGCGTACCGAGGTCGAGACGATGAAGAAGCTCCAAGGCCACAAGCACATTGTCACATACATCGACAGCCATGCCAGTCAGCTGAAAGGAGGTGGCTATGAGGTCTTCTTGCTCATGGAGTTTTGCTCCGGCGGTGGTCTGATTGACTTTATGAACACGCGCCTGCAGCACCGCTTGACCGAGCCCGAGATCCTCAACATCTTCGGCGACGTCAGCGAGGGTGTTGCGACCATGCACTACCTCAAGCCGCCGCTCTTGCACAGAGACTTGAAGGTCGAGAACGTGCTCATCACAAATTCGTCAAAAGGTGCTATCTACAAGCTTTGCGATTTCGGTAGTACCGCTCCTCCGCGACCTGCTGCTACCAATGCCCAGGAAGGCAGGATGATCGAGGAAGACATTCAACGTCATACCACCATGCAGTATCGCAGTCCCGAAATGGTCGATGTCTGGCGCCGGCAGCCCATCGATGAAAAGAGCGACATTTGGGCGCTGGGCGTCTTGTTGTACAAGCTGTGCTACTACACTACTCCTTTCGAGGAGGTTGGCCAGATGGCCATCTTGAATGCCTCGTTCAAGTACCCGCACTACCCTGCCTTTTCGTCTCGCCTCAAGGCCTTGATTGGTCAGTAATCTGCCACTGGACCATGCTCACTCTACTAATCCCTACGTTGCANNGGCTCTTGTTTGCGAGAAGATCCTCGTCTGAGACCCAACATATACCAAGTCGTCAGCGAAGTTTGCAGTATGCGCGGCACACCAGTCCCCATCAAAGATGTTGGTTTACCCATACGACCCTGCAACTAATAACTTGCTGACAGTCTACAGATCTATGCACACCGAACACAGTCCGAAGCTGGGCGCAATCAAAAGCTTCCTGATCTCACACCTGTAGCCTCGCCACCTCCAGCAGGCATCAGTCATGCATCGCCTATCAAACAGAAACAGTTTATCCCCGAAATTGCTCCCATGAGACGTGGCAGACCGACCGCTGCACCCCAACCGCAGGCTGCAGCAGTATCCTCTGCTAAGCACTCGGATCCTTTCGCCGCTCTCGACTCTGCCTCGAATACCATTCGATCCCGTGCTGTAGATGAGCTCTCAGCCAAGTTCNCCTCGCTGGACGAATTCTCCATCGCACATGAGTCAGGCGGCTTCAACTTCAGCTCGTCTAAGCCGCAGAGAAACGATCCCGTCACAAGCGCGTTAGCAGATGAAGTTTTCGCTCGTCCTGCCTCAGCGAGAGACACGCCTCCTCCGAAAACCGGGTCTGCACCACCTCAGACCCTGAACAAGCCTGGCACAAAACCCGAACCGAGCGTGAAAGCCCAAGTACCTCCCAAACCCAAGACGCTGCTGCATCAGCCAGCCCCTCAGAGGCCGGGTTACTCTTCCACTGGTACCATGACATCTCCCTCCGAAGCGCAACCCACACAGCCAGCCCTACCAAAGATGCCAGATGTGAGCAAGCGACCAATCTGGCGTGTGCCCGATCACTCGAGATCCTCGAGCCAACCTCGTGCCTCCCCTCTGGCTCAAATAGAAGCCGACAGACTTCAGCCCAGTGCACCTCCTGCGCAACGACCTGTGTTGCTAGACACTCACCGATCAAAGTCGCAGACTGCCACGATGACAATTGCGAAACAGACAACTTCCTCGAGACCATCGTTGGAAGGTCATAGACCCTCGTTCGGATACGAGGACGGCATCAGCAGAGCAAGATCTGCCAATTCGAGGCCACGACCTGTTAGTGCTGCGTATGTGGATTCGAATCTTGATTACCTGCGAGAACAGGAGGCAGAAAGAAAGAGACCATCACTCGAGATCAGAAGATCGAGTCGATCGATCAGAAGCACCGAAATCAATTTCGACGATGCAAACATTGAGAGCGACGCCGACTATCTCCGAAACCTGGAGAATAACGATGGGTTGAGTCGTAGGAGCAGCGGCAAGAGTGCTGCTCACAACAAGCGCTCCAGTATGTCTTCGTTCAGCCTCAGTGGAACCAAAAATATGCTACAGGGCAGATTTGGTGATGCTTTCAAAAGATTTGAGCAGACAGGTGGGGAGGTGAAGACTCAAAAGAGCGGAAGAGCGTCTGAAACGGGATTCAGAACTCCGAGCCCAAACCCACAGATGCAGACAGAAGGCAATTTGCTGAGCCCAATCTCAGGCTCTGAGACCAATGAGACACCACGACGTCCCGAAGTCTCCAACACTGATATTGGCGACCTGATCGAGACAGAGGACTTGCCGCCGGAGATGCGCAGAGAAATGGAGAGACTACAGCTTGCACAGGAAGAGAAGCGTGTCGCAGCGGCAGCGGCCGAGCACAGAAGTCGTGGAGGCGCACCTCCTGTACCCTCGAAAGCAAACATGATTCAACAGCGCGTTCAATCGTTGTTGGACGATGGGCAGAGGTCTCCCGTACGCAAGAGGCAAGCAGAGGGCTATGGACGTTATACCGAAAGGACAGAGGCTGCGGAGCCCGAGCAAAAAGCACCACCCACAGCTCAACCAGTCATCAAAAGACAAGCACCGCCTGTCGCCAGAAAGCCAGCTACACCTGTACCTGCAGCTGCTGCCGGACCTGGAGAAGTGGATATGAATCTGAGATACCACAAGGTCAGACAGTCTCAGTCATTCCCAATTCCAGCAGACACATATCCCTTGGAACATTCGGTCTCAGCACCAGCGCAACGCACAGGAGCACCAAGGCCGAACACACCTGCCAAACCAGCAGCGCTCAAGACAGGGNGATCGGCCGTGTCGCAAGGTCGACCGCCATCGTCGGGAACAACAAAGCCAGCTTACAGTCAGCCTTCGGGAGCAACTCGTGGTTCCAGCCTTGCAGCGCTGATTGCACGCGACAATGAAGGGGTCGCAGGGGTCGGCGCTGGCATCAATATTGGTATGGAGCAAGGGATGCGACAGGAGTCTGACTTTGCCAATCAAGCGGACTTCGATGACTGGCAAGCCGACTTTAGCAAACGATACCCCAGTCTGAGCGGCATTGAAATGGTGGAAAGGGAGATAGCGGCGACTGGTGGAAGCAGAGATGGCGGACGACGTGGGATGAGAGTCAGAGATGTATAAGGAGATGACCAAGGTGTAATATAGACATATTGGATGAGATATCTATGTATAAAGGTCATGTATAAAGTAAAGTTGGAAGGTGTGGCTTGTGGCTTGTGTTTGTGTTTCAGGTTTGCCGGCGGCTTTTTGACGAAAGTCCGACGACTGCCCCAAACGCTGCCCCCACCTTCCGCATTACAAACATCGCACGCCCTCGCGCCCGTCCTCTCTGTTGTTGTCCGGTCCAGAGAAAGACGCATCACGTTATTGTTGTCGAGAAAGAGAAGGGACCAGTCCGGAACAACCGCACCCAAGCGGTGCCAACAACTCGAACAAGGACGCAGCAGCGTCATCGTCATCACAACACGCGCGCCCTCCCCTCCGCTATACACCGACCGACACACGCACGAGACTCGACCACCATGGCACCCTCCACCGAGCGCCCGCGAAGACAGCGTCGTCTATCCAATGTCACCAACTCGTCCGTCTCATCCACATCGCCCGAACGCGAAGTCGACGATGATAACGACTCGTTCATGCTGCAGCCCAACGACTCGCAGTCGTCAGTCGCTGCCTCACTTGACCTCATGGACAACGCCAACTTTGAAGAACGATGCCGCCTATCTCCCGTCTACCGCTTACCCGCCGAACTGCTCATCGCCATCTTCGGTCGTCTCGCATCAACAAAAGACCTCATGTCATGCATGCTCGTGTCCAAGGACTGGGCGCGGAACAGCGTCGCCCTGTTGTGGCACCGTCCACAGACCAACAACTGGGCCAGCATACACAGCGTCGTCAAGTCAATACGCAAGACCGAACGCTTCTTCGCATACCAGGATCTGGTCAAACGTCTGAACCTCTCCACTCTGGCCTCTCAAGTCAGCGACGGCACCTTGATGGGCTTGACGGCTTGCAAACGCATCGAGCGTCTGACCTTGACCAATTGCGCCAAGCTGACCGACCTGAGTCTCAGCAGTCTGATCCATGGAAACCGCAGCCTGATAGCGCTGGACGTTACTCAGCTGGACCAGCTCACCGATCGCACCCTTGACCTTGTCGCCCGCAACTGTGTCCGTCTCCAAGGTCTCAACATGACGGGCTGTCGGCGTCTCACGGATCAATCCTTGGTGCAGATAGCCCAGAATTGTCGCCAGCTCAAGCGTCTGAAGTGCAACAGCTGCTCCCAGCTGACTGACGTGTCGATGTTGAGTGTCGCTCAAAACAGCTCACATCTGTTGGAAATTGACCTCTACGATCTGCCCCTGCTTGAATCAGACTCCATCACCGCTCTCCTAACGCAGTGCCGCCAGCTACGGGAATTGCGTCTTGCTCGATGTCCGCTCATCACCGACCAGGCTTTCTTGCAGCTGCCATCCAAGGCTGCTCCCTTTGACGCTCTGCGTATACTTGACCTCACAGACTGTCAGGAGCTCACCGACAAGGCCATCGACAAGATCGTGCACACATGCCCCAAGTTGCGTAACCTGATCCTTGCCAAGTGTAGGCAGCTCACCGACAGAGCCGTGTGGGCCATCACCAAGCTCGGCAGGAATCTCCACTACATTCATCTAGGCCACTGCGCCCGCATCACCGACGCTTCCATCATCGCCCTGGCCAAGTCGTGTACACGCATCAGATACATTGACCTGGCCTGTTGTAGCAATCTCACCGACCAGAGCATTACTCAATTGGCCAACCTTCCCAAACTTAAGCGCGTTGGTCTGGTCAAATGTGCTGGTATTACTGACAGAAGTATCCATGCTCTAGCTACCTATGGTGGTCGTGTCATGCAGAAACCTCGTGACCGTCAGCAGAATGTCAGCGCTCTTGAGCGTGTTCACTTGAGTTATTGCACTCTGCTTACCCTCGATGTATGTACTTGACCTCGTCCGCTTTTGCTCTCCTCTTCTGACAATCCTCTAGNNGGCATCCATACATTGCTCAATAACTGCCCTCGCTTGACGCATCTGAGTTTGACGGGTGTCCAAGCCTTCCTCCGTGACGACTTGACAGTCTTCTGCCGCGAAGCTCCTGCCGAATTCAACGATCACCAGCGCGAAGTCTTTTGTGTCTTCTCAGGCAATGGTGTCGCTCGTCTTCGTGAATACCTTAACCGTGCAAGCGGTCCTGGCATGGAAACTGGCATGGTTAATGACTCTGACGACGACACCGACGGCGCCACTCTCCGCAATCTTCCTCTTCCTCCACCTCCACCTCCTCACCATCCCAACCTCATCCACACGTGGCATAACCCGGCCTTCCACAATCACAACGACCAAGATATCGAAGACGAAGACATGGAAGATGATCATGACGGGGTCGACACGCCCAACGACAGCCACGGTATTGGAATCATCGACGCCGCGGTGCATGGCCATATGCTCAATTTGGATGTTCACTCGACCCCGGCAAACGATTCGGATCAGATGATTGGAGAACCTTCACAGAACCACGGCGGTGCACTATGGGCTGGTGGCAGTGGCGAGGCTCAGCATGTTACTGGCATGATGAGCGCAGCTATGCTTGATGACGTGGACGAGGATATACCGCAGTGATTGGGGCTTTTATTTCTTGACATGACGGGGCGCAACACAAACACCACAACGGCGAAAACACAGTAGGGGCCGGCGCACTTTGCATTCCCATGGTATTGGGCGGATGGAGTTTGTTTCCAGCAAGGGGGTTGTCTCTTTTTCATACCTGAAAAACAACCAGGGAAGTCATTCGGGGGTGTTTTTGATTCTCATCTTCCTATTGGTGAAAGGCTCACGGGGCGATGAGCGAGGGGTTCACGATTTGGGAGTCTGTTTTTCTTTTCTCTTTTGATCACTTGAGGATGAGGTTCATCCTTTTTTAACTACTTCTGTTACGTGTTCCGAGTAGCCGAGCAAGCTTATGAGAAGCAGGGTTTCGAGGGAATGAGAGAGGAGGGCAGTAGCGTTCCTTGAACTGCTGTTGGTATCATAACTTTTTTTGACCATGCAGCACCCATCTCAACATCTCACCTTCTGTGTTCGATCCTGTCTGTGTCTCTCTCAGATGAGGGATTTGCAGCATTTTGCCGCCATTTTGCGGTCAGTCTTTTGCCTCTTTATGTTGGAGTCCTGCTTGTGCCGCAATATGAGGCCAGATGAGGTGTACCAATGAACGCCTTTGTGGTTGTTTCTAGCTCATCATCGATTCAGTCGCTCACGAGGTCATTCTCTGCTTGAAATCCTTCAACACCTCTTGTTTGCTCTGGGGATCCAAAGTACGATTAGTTGACCCAGTTTTTGGGCAAGTGAGAAGCGAAAGAGCAAGAAGGTCGTTGGATTTGTAAAAGCCAAGATGGTACTCGGGTATTTGCATGATGCCCGGCTTCCCACGAAGACTTGGGGTATATGGCTTTCATTGTTCCGAAGATCGATTCTTTGGGAATGTTTGGGACAGAGTGGTTATTTTCCGTGGACCTGAATCTTTTCTCCTTCTTTTTCGCTGTGCTTTTTGAGGGAGCAAGAAGATTTGGTTTTAGTGGACCTTGCAAGCATGTAGCCATAGTCCTTTCCTGGGAAGCCCGTGAGTTTGACATTTGTGTTCGCGTTTTGGTGGCATCAAAAGAACGCAAGTAGACTTTGATGTAAGAGTGGGCGGTAAAGGACAGTAAACGATGGAAACTGGACTATGTGTACCAAAGAATGTATTTTTTTGGCTACCATTAACTGTTATACGATCCTACAAGGCTAGCATTGGGCATCAAGACTTGTTAGTTGTGTATCTCAGCTACCACATGGAAGAAAACCGGGTGAATTGATGTATCACTAGGAGAGCAATGAGAAAATCAGACGTAGATCTGTTTACACTCTAATTGGATATGAGATCATCTCTCTTAGTCTAGAACGGTATGGGAGCTTTGAGTATGTGTAGTGTAGAAGAAGTGAATATCTTGATGTTGGGTTGTATAGAGTATAGGCAGAGAAAGCCGAGAATTGTATTGGGTCCATAAAGCTATCTTATTGGCCTTTTTGTCAACGAGGGGTTGATAGCGAGGTTCATAGGGGAGAACTTGGAGATTCAAGAGGGTCTAGAGAGGGGAATGCTAGAATACGATTTGGTTTTGGAGACCTTATGTTTTGCCCTGTGTTTCTTTGTCTACCTACTGTGTATTGCCTTAAAATAGATGTATCTTGGATCCGAACAATTGTTCTTCGAGGTCATTAAGAGCACTCAAGATTCTTGGTTGTTGGTGGGCATTAAGAATGGTGATTACCTCCTTATCATAGTAATGCTTATATACGGCTTTTAGTGTATGGGAAGATAACAAGGGAACAGTCAAACAGAGTTGTCTGTGCACCAATTTTGTATTGGTTCCTCTGTTTTTGATGCGCAAAGTCGAGCTCAAGAGTATGTCTTTACTCTGTTTCTTGATTAAATGTGATTTCAGATAGGAAGGATAAGAAGGGCAAGGAATTCATGGAAAGCTTTTTATTCTACCAATACTAAAGGTTCTTTTATTCTACTCTTTGTTAATAAAAGCAACGTTGAAAAGCAATAAACCCTCCGGGGATTACGCGAGCTAAGCAAAGGAGATACGAAATACATGAACAAGGGCCATAGTAAAGCGATTAGTCAAACTCATCAGCCTCAACATCGCTCTACCAGTTGCAGTGGACAAGATTGTCCAAGATCAGAACGGTCTGAGTGTTGGCCACATCATTGGCCACAATCCCAATAGTAATGTTGGCCAGTTTCGAGTACGAAGCAGGGAAAGAGGCAAGATTCAACGGAACTCCAGTCAACGCAGTTGGTGCAAACGCAAAGGTTTGCTCAGGGACTTGCACATTGTCCTTTGTATAGCCAGTGACTGCAATAGTGCAGCCAACAGTGGGAGCAACAAGACTGGTGTGTGAGTCAAGTACACAGCCAAAGTAGAAGCTCGAAAGATCGAAAGATTTTCCTGAGGATGCGGAGATGGTGCCAAAAGGGTTTAGGGAGAGGGAACCGAGTTGGAGGAGGTCTTCGGCCATTGTTGCAGCTGCAACGTTGGGGCTGGATTTAGGGACGATGCCTTGGACGCCTGCGGGTTGCTAGATGGGCTGTTAGATTTTGTTGTTGTGCTGAGAGAGATCAAGGCATGCGAGAGACTTACGGTGACAACGAATGCTCCGTATGAGAGCCTGTGGTAGTCGCCCACTGGGCTCAACTGGGGAAGGAGAAGATTGGCGGTCAAGTCATCGTACTGATCTCATTAGTGGCAGGATCGAGAGCTCTGGTGGCCAGGCTTGCATACAGTGTCTGTATATTTTGTGCAATAAGACTTGGAGGATGTAGGAACAGCAGCGGCGACATTGGCCAGAGCCAGAATAGCGCTGAAAGTCTTCATAGTGGTAAGATTGAAAGGTGTGAGTATGAATCTCAAAGGTTAGAGTGGAGGAAGAATGGTTGCGAGGATGAGATGGTTACTCCTCAGCGAGAACTCCATCTCTTGATATAGTCGAGCGATTGTAGGTATCTGTACTCGACGTCACCCCTCAACAATCTCTTCCGGACTTGGTGTAGGAATCGATTTGACTAAGAACCAGCTCCGTGGCGTTGTTGCTTTTGATCTTGCATGAAAGGCGGCTCGTGAAGGCTATACCAACGACAAGGGATCCTTGTAGATTCGAATGGGAGTAGTGTGTAAATGCTAAACAACAGCGATGCTGATCTCACGTTGTAGCTGTTGAGAAATAGAAGACCCCAATTGGATATTGGCGGAGTGATGATCCGCAAGGGTCGATCATCATGCAAGACGGTTGATTGACTTCGTTGCATTGGTGCAATGGCCTAATAAGGATCGATCCCCCACTCAGGCCCTAGATGTGCACAACACAGTCGACAAACCCTAAGGAAAAGAAACAGTTTGCTACGTAGCTGTGTGCATTGGCGATAGGAGGTTGCTACGCACTGGGACTTGCCTATCCAACTTGCTTTTCTCTACTCGAGCGATAACCATGGTACTGGCACGGTACAAGAGCCGATCCGATGCGCTGCCTCGTTCCACTGCGCTACCGTACGCCGTGAGATCATCGCTCTTCCATTCCGTGGAATCTGATGTGGTACTCGAAAACAAATGAAGCATTCAGGTGTAGTGTTTTAGGCGCTCTAGCTCCTGCTCCTCAGCATTCAAGCCACTCACGGACAGGCAGGATATCTCGACCTGTACCTGTTCATAAGGCCGTAGACATGCTAGTATCATGTATCTGGTCACTAGCGATGCGAAAAGCAATTGACTTTCGGTTCTCCAAGAGCTTGGGTTCAGGACGCGGGGTCGTGCGTTGAGAGACCGGTGTCCCATCATTCGGGACAGATGCGACATCAATTGGTATCCAGGCACCTGGTTCTCCAAAAGCTCTTTCTGGATGTCGCTGCACTAATGCGTCAACCACTTTCGTGATCGCAGATCCACGGCTGATTGGCGTGAATCGCATAATCTGTTATTTTGGCGAATCGTTCAACCTGGAAGAGGCTTCTGTGAGTGTGTGTCATAAGTATGAGGTGAAGGCAAGGGCCAGCAAGTCATCAGGCATAGGCAAGGGCCAGCAAGTCTCTAGGTCTGCGAGACAGAGCCATCCTCCATTTGTCTTAGAGATTCTGGCTTACATGGCAGTTTCTGCCAGATGCGAGTAGTGGATTCTGGAGACCAAGATACAGAGAGAAGGTGTCTTGTAGTGACTGCTGCCCGAGCTCGATGTTGTGGTGTTCTTCAAGTAGCGCTGCTCACTCAAGTGTTGTTAGGCTAGTTTAGATTACCTTTGGTACATACTAGAAATTCGAAACAGACGTAGCGTAGAGGAAATCAGTGTTCCGTATAGGACAGATGAGTTTGGGATTCCATGGAAACTCATATTAACTTGCGAGTCTCATGTACTTGGATGTGAGTATCAGATGGAGGTCCGAGAGCAGTCGATTTTTATAGGTTCTCCTTGTAATGTTGGATCATGTGTTGGCTGGGCATTCGAACAAGTGCAAAGTTACATGCCAACCGCATATCTGAGTCTGTAGAAGCCCTTATTGGATGACGTTCCACTTATAATTCAGTGGGTTGGTGACCATAACTCGAGGATTATCTGGCGTGGGTCGTCTGATCTGCTGTTTTTGATTCGACTCTTTCAGTGGCTTTCTAGCCTAGAAAATTCATCATAAAACATCTAGACATGACTAGAATCAGTCCTGTTTGGTGCCAATTTTACCTATATTCCTTAGCCCCAATGCGCCCGCAAGACAGACCAATACCATCCATCCAAACAGGACCCGGAAGGCTAGACGATATCCAACCATTAGAGTGTGGGACAAGTCATCTGAGGTAGTTGCAGCGGTTCGAGAGTCGGTAACGACGGCCGTGATGGTCAATCCGATCGAAGTGCCGAGCTGGGAGCATGTGTTGAGGACTGCACCGCCGAGCGCTTGCGTACGCGGAGAGAAGACGGCAGAGATAACCAAGATGTCAATCGTAAAGAGTACGTTGGTACTCAATGGTTGAAGCACCTGCATTGAGTCCCGTCAGCCAATCTTGTCTGCTAAGAACTGGGGATATCATGAGAGAGATGATCGTGAGGATGGGCGCAAATGATATGGTATTCTATGAGTCGGCCTGACGCACCTGTGCAACGAATGCCATGTTCCAATATGACCATTCAGGTTTGACTAGAGCCATGAGAAGTGGTAAGACGGCAGACAATGCCGAGGAGACAACCACCACCCACATGACCGGCATGCGATTGACAAAACAACCACATGTGATGTTTGCCATGACAGCCATGACAAGGGCGGGAAGGATGCGCAGTGAAGCCTCAAGCGCTGAGATGGCTTGGACCTGTTGGAAGCTAGAAAGAGTCAACGATGACCTTTCTGACAGTATCATCACTTGCAACTTACAACAGACCGCTGTACAGCTCCATACCATTGATGACTGCGTTTGCGAAAGCTATCATCACACAGACACTTGTGAAGCTGGCATCTCGCCAAAGTGCATTGGGTATGAGGGCTGGACGATCGTGCTTCACTCGGTAGCTCATCCAGCAGATGGAAGCCGGAATACAAGAGATACCCAGGACCAAGAGCGCCATATTTGGATTCCTACGGATCTTGTGCGTATCAGATGATAGCATTCTGTCTTTGTCAGCTCTCAGAACACTTTGAGAGTATACCAACTATACTCACGCCAAAACGTAGGATATGGTTGCAAGTCCAAAGCCCACAAGCAGTGTCCCGACCCAATCGATGTCGAACATCAGCTGCTTCCTGATACTGCGACTGCGATCAGCCTGACACTGGACATTCCGTGGCAATACCCAGAGGCCAAGCCCACATAGGGCAAAACTGCTTGCCGCGACAAGATAAAATACCGGCCGCCACCCGACGCTGTCCACAAAGACACCGCTGAGAACAAGACCAAGTAAGGAACCAAGCGGTCCTGAGAATCCAAGACATGCAAAGCCAAGGTTACGTGAGCGGCCTTTAGCAACGCTCGTCGATATGACAGAGATAGAAGCCGGGATAGCCATAGCGTTGCAAACTCCTTGCAAGGCGCGAAAAGCGACAAGTTCACCTCCTGTCCGTGCAAGACCGCAATCGAGTCTTCTGTTGCTGCATCTTGCAACGCGTTATTCGCTACTGTATGTTTTCCCTGAAGAAAAATGAGAATGAAATTAGTATTTGGAGTCCAACTAGTGTTATATTTTCGGTCGCTATTTGAGTTGCGCAAGAAGCACGAGCAGTGTTGAGGACGGTAGGTGCTACTAGTTATAGAGATTTGAGATGGAGAAGTATGGGCATGATTCCAAGCCAGAGGAATTTGCAGGGGATCCCTCCTTTATACAACCTTTCTGTGCTGTTTCTGAGTCACATACACGTCGGCGAATCACGATGAGGGCCTCCGACCATTGGAGTCCAGTCTTCTTAGCTACATATATCTGGGACCACAACATACAATCTTCACAAGATGAAAACAGGTTTCAGTCTATCTCGCCATAACCATGCATCTTCCCGAGATTGGTTTTGTGGTACTAGGACTGTTCGTAATGTAAACTTATACAAGTACAGTCGCGCTATAATTCGTTCTATCACATTCACGGAGAAGCATAGGTGCTGGGCTCGGCATAGCCGCGCTCTACTATACATCCAGAGTCGGGACTATAACATAGTCGCCTATAAGACCTCGAATTTAGCGGACTTCTCTTGTCCTGATTCTCGCCTTACTTACTATATAGAAATTATCTCACAACGAAGCCATAGTAATTCTATAACAGTTGCGGTTGTGATGCTACCCACTCATACGACAATCAGGAAGACCTTTCCATTAAAAGTCCTTTGAGGGCCACAAAACCGATGACATGAAGATGCAGAGATCGTGGGTTCGAATCTCACCCGCCGCAATATTCTTTTTCCTTTGTTGCTATGCGTGTCAGACTGTCGGGGCATCTAGGAGATGGAGAGTGCGTACTTATGAATTACTTGTCGTAGGATCTGATCCCCTGCGAGGCTCGATTTGAGATAGGTCCTCTTCGCAAGGCTCAACCTCTAACAACATATCTATGGGAGGGAATAAGAAAAGTCATCAGGTCTGTGAGATGGTTATACTAGATCTCAATTCCATCATATTCGTCATGAGATCAAGATTCATCATGCCGACTCACTGCAGGGAGTCTTGGGGGAAAGAATCAAGATCATGGACCTCCTCACTTTACCTGTCAGATCGGCCTGTCTCGAGAACTTACAAGACTTCTCCGACCTTGTCGTTTGCACGTTGATGGAGTGGTGTTAGTGCATGCTTTGCCCTGCTTGGTGGACCTGAGAGTCGAGTTCAGGTCGTCGATTAGTCGACAATTACTTCAGAGCGGGCATCTTGAAGATAAACTGTGACCAAAACGTGCAAAATGCTGTGCCGGGCACCTGAAAGACTCGACCAAAGTATAGATACTGCATAGATGCAAGGTGACAAGCCCAACTTTGTTTCGGTCGAAAGTGTGGCGATTTGAGAATTGGACAGGAAGTTACCCTAGTAACAACACCTTCTTCCTAGATTGTGGCATTTGCTGTCTGAACGTGAACAGAAAGAGGGCACTTATTGGAAACGATGTTCGCATCCAAAGAGATCAAGCATGGACTGGGAAGGAGCCAACAAAGGATTCGGTTGGAAAGAACAACCGCTCGCGTTTGCGTGGCAACATCCATCGTCGCGGCGACCGTAGGCTCTCAATTAATGACTCTCGATCGGCCATGCTGCTGGTGATTGACACGGCACATCAACAAATCGAACAGCGCACAACTTGCATCATTTTCGACTCGACCACAACAAACCATCTTTTATCTCTTGACGTGTCTGACTTTACAGACATCATCATCATGGCTGAGCACGCTTCGAAGTATGATTGCATTTCAACGATTAGAAAGTGTCAACTGATCAAGTCTNCTAGTGTCTTCCAGTCGCGCCTCTTCACCTTCCGCTCAGGCGAGAATGGCGCCTCCACTACTATCCACTCCGGCGCCGTGGCCGCTGTCTCTACTCCTCTCAAGATGATGATGGAGGAAGAGACCTCTGACGGCCTGAAGACCAGCGCCACTCTCCACGGCGTGCGCGAAGAAGATCTTCTGCGCTTCTGCGACTTCTGCTACACCTCAACCTACACGGACCCTTACCCTATTGTCGTCAAGCCTGCCACTCCCGCCATTGAGTCTGGCGTCAACAATGGGCCCGGCAATGGTGCAGGCACTTCCACTGCCTTGATCACCACCGACGACACCACCACTCAGCCACCAGCTGCAAAGCGCCCTCGCACCGAGTCGCCAGCTCGCTTCAACGGTTTCGGTAGACCTGGTGTGCTCGGCGCCTCACCCGCCCCTGAAGTCAACACGTCGCTCAACTTGAACAACAAACTCAAGCTGCAAAGCGTGTTCGTGAACACCATCTATACGACCGCCGCTCCCCGCGTCTTTGGCACCAACACGAGAAAGTCCAATGGCGTTTTGACCAACGAGAACCACACCAATGTCTTCATCGCCCACGCCGCCATGCACGCCCTCGCTGTCAACTACGAGATTGGCAAACTCAAGACTCTGTCGTTGCAGAAGTTGGCTGACAAGTTGATGCGTTTCGATTGCAAGCCTGAGCGCGTTGGCGATGTGCTGGCCTTGATTCGCTGGGTGTACTCCACCGAGTCTCAGATGCCCAGAGATATGCCCGAGCTCAGGGATGTCGTTGTCAGATACGTGGCCTCTGAGGTCAGTGGCTTTGGCAACAGCGAAGAGTTTGGAGAGCTGCTGAAGGAGGGCGGATGCTTCGTCAAGGACTTCTGGGCCATGGTGTACAGTAGCTTGTTCTAGGCGGGTGAGCGGGTGAGAAGCGAGAAGGGCTTGCTCTAGGAAGGCGAACAGATGGAGCTCGAAAAGCAAGGGGGCCTGAAGAAGCAGTTGACAAAGAATCAAAGGAAAAAGATGAGGCAGAAAGAGAACAAGAAGAGGAAGCGAGAGACGGGCAGTGCTGACCAGAAAGAAAGTCCTAGTGAGCAGATAGAAGAACCAGAAGAGAAGGTCTGGGAACCTCGTGCCCCTCCTTCTACGGCTGCCCGAGAAGAAACGGTCAATGTCGAGGAATGGGTGGCCACGGAGTTCGAATACCAGTGAGAAAGAGATAGGAGTGGTAAGCTAGCAGTCTGCTTGTCAAGTACTTACACACATTGCTCCATGTATTGATCTTCTCTTACCCATCAAGACACAAAGAAGAAAAGCATCCACCATCAATGGTCGATAAGCCTTTCGTCACAGACAAACGTTTGATCCACCAAGCGGCCCTCTTCCTTCTCACTGGCTTTGTTAATCACAGAAGCTCTTTTGCACCCCTCAGTGTCTTCTCGTACATCGGTCGACCTACCCTTCTCAACCACATCGACTCGAAGAGATGCAAGGCCCTCCTGCAACTATCTACCATCCATAACCCTCTCAGAGATGACAAGCAAACCTAGACCTTTGTCCCAATTCCTCTGTCGGAGTATTTGGTTGCCTTGAAGTGATCCGGTGTAAGCTGAGAAACCAAAGATGAGAGCTGAAGCCAGTGGTCAGCGGCTGCGCAGCCAAGGTCGAGGCTGAAGGCATCAAATAAGCAGACGGAAAACAAACAGAGCCAAAAGGTTGACAAACTCAGAAGCTAAAGTCCAGAGCAAACCAGAAGCCTATAACCAGGTAAGCAGTAAGCACAACTAATTCACTCTGTTCCTCTTATCCGGAGTAACACAATCCCCGAACAAGTCAACAAACCTCCGAGATCACGTTCTTGCTTGATCAGACCATACCGCTTACCTGCTTCCGGACCTGCTCTGTCAACACTTGACTCCGCGCCATCCGCGGCTTCCTCGAGAAGTCATCGAGCTAGTCGCGACGAGATGAAGTCCACGTGCTCTCATCTCTGGTCGCCAAACTCTTCCCTCGCGGACTTGGGGACAATTGCGGAGTTTGACGTTTCCGAGAACCTGTCGAGCATAAAGTTATGCAAAAAGTGCGGAGATCGGGGTACGGGATACGCGACACGGTGCTTATACGGAAGTTGCAAGCTGCATGCAGGTAAAGGTCGACTGCATGAGGGAAATTGACTGCATGAGCAAGAAGAACAACAAACACTCAACTCACCGGTCAGATGCAGGAGGACGTAATAAAATCAGGTGACACAAAGAAGAGCTAGACAAACAAACGAATGAGAGCAGGCGTGATCAAAATATAAGGAAGAAAGAATGAAGTTCATATATTCGTAGAGTACAGTATTGTGTATCTTGTGTCAACACCAGACGCATTGTTCAGAAACAATATCAGTAATACACAGCGCTCTGCGCATGTAAAGAGATAGTAACAAGGATAAAGGGATGTGGGTATAATGGTTGTTCCAAGGTCCAGCCATCAGATAAATAAACAAAGCTACAATTCTTCTCTTCTGCGTTGATCTTCTAACCAGCCATACCGCAGAACAGTTTTCGGAATCTGCTGCTCTTCTTGGTTTTGTTTGGCGTGTTTGCTTCGATTTTACCGGCGTCTATGCTATTGGTCGAGGTGGTCGAGCTCTCGCGCTTCTGGCGCTGTGCAGAGGTGACGGCAGGTTTTCTCTCTGTTTCCTGCGATCTGACCGAGTCGGTGCGGGTAGTGTGATGTTCTTCATCGCTTTCTTGCAGATCAAGTGCGGGGATCAATGGAGTGGGTGCAGAAGAGTGCTTTGAGGATTTGGCTAGCATGGCAGCTGTGGTCTCGACACTTTCTTCCTCTTCAGTCATGTCGGTGTGTGCGAGATCCATGTGAGCAAGGCCTGATGCAGTCGTGCTGGTAGTATCAGCACGACGTCCTCGAGACGCNTTAGAATGAACCAAGACGGTGCTGGTAGAATCTGCGCGAGCTCGTCTAGCGCTGGCGCTTCTGGAAATGGGGACTTCTTCAGTTGAGGTAGAGCCATCGATCTGAGAGGACGTGGAGCGTCGCTTGACACCGGCAGAGCGGAACATACGAGCGATACTGCCACTTCTCCTTGGAGTATCATCTTTGGGAGTAGCAGCAGAAGACAGGTCTGTGGGGGACTTGATGGGAGAAGTATTGAGCTTGAGAGAAGGTGATCGTAGCATGAGATCGTCGTAACGATAGCCTGGGCACCAGCCCTCACGAAGAGTCACCCAGACGGCAGTAGCGGTAATCAATGTCTTGAGTGACTGACTCGTGATGATGGGATCGGACGAAGCGACAGATTCCTGGCCAGCTTCTTCGTGCTCAAGATCCGAGATCTCAGGCGAGGGTGCGAGAGCTGAGGGAACAGCATAGGAGTCGTTGATGTCAAGAGATGTGGTTGTAAGTGATGCGATGACGGGATGGCGGCGAGAGTTTGGAGAGATGGTGCTAAAGTTGAACTTCTTGTTCTGGTTGGCGCTGTCAGTGCCCCAAGTCGTCGTCATGTCCGAGGCTGATTGGCTTCGTCTAGCTTTGGGACGACGCAGGACCCAGCGTGCAGTCATGCCCAGGCCATGTGCATCGGTACTCAAGAACTCGTAACCACCGTTGGGCAGAGAGTAGGCTTCCCACTCGCTTCCATCTTCGAGGAAGAGCTTCGCCTTGGCTGTCGTATTGCCTTCGCCCTTTCGGCCCTTGCAGACAAGAGCCAGAACATCTCTTGACTCATCCTCCTCTTTATGTGATGCTTCGTGTTGGTGATACTTCTCAGCCTTGACAATGGCCAAGTCGGCGGGGCAGAGACCGTGACGAGTACGGAAGGCTTTCGAGATGGCGCGCGACAGCGAAGGAGAGAAGATGGCGGATGGTAGAAGTTCGTAGGCGGGCATGGGCCTCGCAGACTGTGACAACTGGTGCAATTGTAGGAGGGGTTTGGCGCGGACGTGGATCTTGTGTCGCGCACTGCCTTTGGGTGGTGCGTGGGCGATGCTGTACGAAGTCTTGGGACGAGACGAACGCTTCCCTTTCCCGCCGTGGGAGCTCATCAGTGAGCCTTCACGAGAGGCATATTCGTCGTCGGTCAGCATCATGGGCAGCGAGTTTCTGTTTGGGTTGGTTCTCTGGCTTCGCGGGGTGGGGGTATTGTCCTGCATTGGTAGTGATTCGATAGTGTAATTATTTTGTTGGTGGGCTTTTGTATCCGCATGCCGGCTGTTGTCCAACGAGGCAGTGTTTTCGGTGGTTGGCGTAGTCGGCGTGGTGAAATAACTCATGAGCATTGTTGGCAGTGCAGACACCAGTCCGGGCTGGGGAGGGGTTGCTACTTCGGCCATGTCGATCTCCGTGTTTTAAAGATGCTGCCTTGTTACAAGAATGGGGAAGCCGCGTTTGACATGCACAAGCCAGCTATTCTCCTAGGGTGCGTGTGCATGGGGTCCAGTGAGGGTGTAAGAAGATGCGATGAAAAGCTGCAAAGAAAGAAACCAGGTTGAAACGATGGCCAATTCTTGTTCAAGAGTCAAGACCTTGGACCAAGACCACCATGTGCCTATTCCCGTTCGACGCTCGTCAGATCTCCAACTGTCCGCGTATAGGTGGGTCGAACGCTCCTTGGCAGCCAAGCGATAGTCAGAAGGAATAAGGATGATGACACCAGCAGTAAACCAGGCCAACTGCGATCCTTCGTGCTGACACGCTGTCTGGAAGTCGCAAATGATTGACAAAATCGACGGTCAGACAGATTGCTGCGGACGAGGGGCTATGCCTGCGTACATATACAATGCAATTGGGTTGCTACAGCGGCCTTTTGTCCCTGCTTGAACCTAACCGCTTTCGGTTGGCCTTGCGGCCGGTCGCGCTTTCCAGAAAATCTCATCATCAGCTCTGCACAAATCCGGGTTGCGGAACTCCAAGATCCAACTCGATCGGCACTGCAATCGTCCGCTCTCCGTCCGTATCCTCCGACTCGGCCTCTCGCAAGGCAGACGTCGCTTTCCATGCCTCATCCTTCAAGATCGCTCTCCATCATCTGATCAATATCCTCGTTCATCCGACCCTGCTCGCTTCCGCTCAGACCCGTTCGCTTTGTCCTCGTCAGATTTTGCATCCTTCTTGATACTTCTTTGTCAGGGGATGCTGGAACCGGAATTCCTTCAACGTCCGACTCCTTTGATGCCAATTCTCATTTCGCGTTTCACCCTTTTACCTCTCTGAACAACACATGGCTCCTCCTGACCGATCGGGGTCTAGCCTGATGCTTGCGGACCTTCGAGCATTGGCTTGTTTGTTTGTCGCATGGAAGCTCTTGCTTCTCTGTATAGCTTATGCCAGCCCCGGACCCGGCTACGATACCTCTACCACGTTGCTCTTAGCCCGTGCGCAGCCCTCGGTAACTGAAAATACTCTTCTGGAAGACTTTGCGAAACGACTCGCTTCGAAGCTTGTCCGCTGGGACGCCTTGTACTTTGTGAGTGTTGCTCACCGAGGCTATCTTTTTGAACAAGAATGGGCTTGGGGTTGGGGCTATACGAGATTTCTCGGCTTGGTCTCTAAAGGTTGGTTCAGTGCAAGTGAAACTAGTAAAGTGCCAAGGCTGAACTCAACCTCAGTCTTACCTGGTGCTTCTTCACCGTCACCTCTGTATGTTCAGGCATATGCGGGAGTCTTGATTTCTCATGTCTCCCACCTTTTGTCTGTTCTCATGCTCTACGGGTTGGTTCATCATCTCCCCATCATGAACGGAATTCAGCGTCGTAAAGTTGCTCTCGTCGCAGCATGTCTGCACATCTTCTCTTCTGCTGGTTTGTTCCTTTCTGCACCTTATGCTGAGAGTCTCTTTTCCATGCTGAACTTCCTTGGTGTCTTCTTCCACACTGGCATTCCATGTGAACTGCCCCTTGATAAGTATGGACCTTCCTCATTGATCCGTCTGATGTTGTCCGGTGTTAGCTTTGGACTGGCTACCACAGTCCGCAGCAATGGCGTCTTCAGCGGACTCATCTACTTACATCATGTCTACATGTTGTTCCATTCTCACATCAACATTCGCACAATTACAACAATTGCAGTCATTGGCTTGTCGGCCATGGCAATTCTATCTGGTACGATACTCCCACAGTACATGGCATACCAAGAGTTCTGCGCAGCGCCATCAGATGGCGACATCAGGCCCTGGTGTTCACGGACTCTGCCCAGTGTCTACACTTGGGTGCAAGAACATTATTGGTACGTTCTCAATGGGCGCAGTGAGAATCCCGCTGACGTTGTCCCAGGANATGTGGGCTTCCTCCGCTACTGGACCATCTCTAACATTCCCTTGTTCTTGCTAGCATTGCCAATGCTGTGCATCTTGATCGGCACTGGACTCGCTGCTCCTGACATCAAGATGGACGTTCCTGGCCGTCGCTCCAACCATGCATCGGTTTACATCTTGTGCCTGGCTTCCTCTCAGATATTGCTGGCGCTGCTAGCCCTTACAACCTTCCATGTTCAGATAGTCAACCGCATCGCTACTGGCTATCCAATTTGGTATGTCATGATCGCTGCAGGTATTGTGTTACCGAATACGTTGGATGGAGATGACAGGACGACTCGGTCGCGTGAGACCAAGTCACTTGTTCGAAACGTACAGGACCACCTCGGCAGACCGTCGATACAACAATTTATCTTTCGAGGAATATTCATGTATTCCATTATCCAAGGTGGTTTATACGCTAGCTTTATGCCTCCAGCATGAGCTTCAAAACTCTAGAAGATACATCAACGCATTCAAGCCATTTCCATATCGACCAGGATCTTCACATGTCTGTCCTTCTCCTTGATCAACGCCAGAATACCTTTCTCGACCAAATCGTTCAGAGGGATCTTGCGTGTGATCATCTTGTTGGGCTGCAGCCTGCCATCAGCAATGGCCTTGATCACTTCCACAAAGTCTTTGCGTTGATAACCCAAAACACCAACATATTTTCCTTCGTTGAAGACCAAACTGTTTGGGTTGAACGACACTGGCTTCTCCCAGATGGCGACGTTGACGACGGTACCGCGAGCCTTGATGGCTTTGCATGCCGACTCGAAACTGGCAGGGACACCAGCGCAGTCAAACACGATATCAGGGCCTTCGCCATGGCAGAGCTCGCGAGAGACACCTACCACATCATACACATTTGGTGCAAGGACGTGATGTGCTCCAAACTCTCTAGCGAAGGCCTGTCTTTGTGCAGCGATTTCGCTCATGATGATTTTCTTGGTTCCGTGTGCCACGAGGACCTGGACGACTGCGAGACCAATGGGTCCGCCTCCGAGTACAAGGACAGATGCGTTATTGGCGCCAATTTCGAGGAGCGGCGATGCGGACACGGCGTGCCAGGCTACGGAGAGTGGTTCAACGAGTGCTGTTTCGTTGTCAGTCTTTGGTCCACAGTCACTGGAAGGCAACATACCTCCAGTATCCAGCTCAACATTCTCCGGCAACGGCAACACCGCATCCCAAGGCACAGCAACCGCCTCACTCAACCCACCACCACCACCTATATTCCCATCTCATCAGCGCTGTCTCCTCTCCACTCTGATCATCATTTCCCATCACAACTTACCGCTCAAACCAATAAATCCACCATTGGCACACGCATTCTCCACTCCATTCCTACACGCCCCACAACTCTGACAAAAAATTGTCGGTTGGATGGCGCACTTTTGACCAGGCTTGAATTTGTCGGCGTCCGGCACATCTGGGTGCACTTCTAGGATCGTGCCGCTGAATTCGTGGCCCATGCCTATGGGGATTGTTTCTCTGGTTACTGCGTGTGGCTCGATGGGCGCGAANTCTGTGATGGATGGTTAAAACCTTCTTGAGGACAGTGGTGGTGGTGGTGGTGGTGGGAGAAGGGAATGGTCAGTGATAGGGAGGGACAGGGAAACATACGTAGGACCAGCAATATACTCGTGCAAATCCGTTCCACAGATGCCCACGTGCGAAGGCTTAATGAGGATTTGACCGGGCGAGAGAACAGGGCGAGGTGTTTCTTCTATGCGCACATCTTCTTTGCCGTAGTAGCGGGCTGCGCGCATGGTTTGTGCCATTCTTTCTGATTCTTTTGTTGCAATTCAATGGGGCGTGAAAGAGCGAGGGCGAGGAAGGAAGAGGTGAGGGATAGCAGTTGGAGGCGCGAGAGGGGCAACAGCCATGTTTATATCCATTTTGCCAAGTTCACTATTACAATCCTTCCGGCCGCGCGGGATACCTATTCCAGCGGCAGACGAGGCATCTCGTGGTGAGTAACGTGACGCCAATGTCCGTGTCTGATGCTTTCTGTGTTTGCGGAGAAGGAAGATCCACCCCGCGCGGGGTAGACGACCTTTGTGGGTCTCTTTCACATGTTATCTGTGGGGGAGGCGCTACCTATACCGTAACCATCTCGAGAATCCCAGAAACGCAGGGTTGTTTAGAGGTGCTTATGAATAGTTTGTTCTCTATAGAAGAACTAGCAAGGATTGAGTCTCTGCATGTACATTCAAGCTCACTTTGACTCTGCTCAGATTCGAATCATGGTTCCCAGGTACCCTTGGATGTGTGCCGTACTCACGCAATACAATATACTGTGTCAAATCTTGATGTTCCGCTAGTAGAAAACAGAAGTCGTGGATATGGACGTTTGATATGATTCGAATAAATGGAACGAAAAGTAGGGCTGAAGTCAATACGAAACGTGAAAAAGGGGAACAGAAGTGCCGTGTTCGAGAAAAGATTGTACGAAAACTCGAAATGTCGTATGGTGAAACGTGAATGACAGGAGAACAGAAAAGACACTAGAGATACGAGACAGCTTCATCTTCTGATTCGGGGTGTACAGCCTCATCATCCTCGTCGTCATCAGTCGGAACCAGGGGTGAAACTGCAGCAGGTGTGTCGTCGACAGTCAATGGAGCTTCTTTGGTTCCTTTGTCTTTGGCAGCGGGTGCGGGTGTGGTAGGAGAAGGGCCAAGTAGTGGACCAGCTGCAAATCTTTTGCCTTTGGCAGGGGCAGGCGTTGGTGAATCGAATGTGATGGGACTTTCTGCGGTCCCCGCTCCTTTTGGTCCCTTCGGCTTATCAGGTGTGGGAGTAGCGACGTCAATATAATCGGCCTTGGTACCAGGCCCCTTTGAACCCTTGGGTTTAGCAGGTGCAGGGGTAGCGAGATCGATGTATTCGATCTTGGTTCCAGCTCCCTCTGAGTCCTTGGGCTTACCAGGCGTGGACGGAGGTACGGCGGGAGGTGCTTTATCAACTGTCGTCGCTTTCGCTTTAGCAACACCGCCGGCAGCGAAGTCGAAGGCAGAAGGCACTGGTATAGCCTTCGCTTTGCCGGTCATGTGCGATCCAGTCTTGTCATACTTGCTGTAGTCTTCTTCCTCGTCTTCGTCGTCGCCTCCAAAGAGTCCGCCAGTCCCGAAGCCAGCAGGGGCTTCTTCATCGTCGTCGCCGTCATCCAAGGTTGCGCCATCACCGAAGTCAAAATGTTCCTCATAGTCGCCGCCGTCGCGGTATTCTTCATCGGCAGCGGCTTCTGCAGCACCGTCTGACTCGGGCTTGGAGGAGTCATCTTCATCGTCCACTTCAAAATTATCGCCTGCAACAGAATCTGACTTGAGGAACCTGATTGGCTCGGGATCCGCTGAATCGAAAAAGGACTCGGCATCGAACTCTTCATCAACACTTAGATATCTGAGCGCTTTCATTTTGTGGAATTCAAAGGCCGTATCATCCTCATGGGGTGGTTCACCAAAACCTTTGATGACAGCTGCCACAAAAGCCAATCTGCGTTTCAAAGCAGTTTCGGCCTTTGCACGTTTGGTATCCGGAGGCGATCCAGGTGGTCCAGAGGCCTTGCGCTTTTCGCCTGAAGTAGGTGCGGAACCCGCATCAGCATCTTCGGCTTCTCCAACATCGTCAGCAGGAAGCGCTCCGTCGATCTCTCTGCTTTTGTCTTTGACCCAGCTCAGAGTACCCCAACGGTCCATTCCCTCAATGTGTTGAGGCATCAGTTTTCGATCTCAGCCAACAACTGTTGTGGCGAGGGCCGCTGTTCCAACTTGTCTCGCAAACACCATTCCACGACTCCAATCAAGTCTTGGCTGTAGTCAGACCATTGCTTAGTCTCGATATACCAATCGTACCTGTCAAACACTTCATAGCTCCAACCGTCCGGGCGACGTTGGCCGCCTCTGTTTGCTGTCGTTGCAAGCAAGATACAGTTAGCAAATTGCCAAACGTTGGTCCTCGAATCTAGAGGTTTGTCATATCGTGCTTTGCTTTTCACGGACATGCCTGTTTCCATCTCTGGAGTCATGTAACCCCGGGCGCCTCTCAGCTTAACCGTCCAGGAGTCATCCTCAGGCGTGAGGTAACACAGACCAAAATCTCCAACCAAAGGCCCGCTGGCGGGTAAGCGACATAATCTGCATCACGGCCTAAAGACCCTGGATGGGCCATAAAGATATTCTCCGGCTTGATATCCTGGTGCACGAGGACTGGCCTATCCTTTCCTTCCTCCCAGAACGTTTCGTCCATTGCTACAGCAGCTTTGGCGAGACGATGGAATACGAACCACAGAAAGGGCTCAGGTAAGGCAAGATAGGTAGAGAACGTGAATATATTGCCAATCGTGATAATCTCAACTAAGATGGCAAGAAGTGGTCAGAGTACTCGAGGTTGTCAAAATGAGCGAGGTATCAGCCTGCTCATAGTTAACCACAAACAAAGCACAATACAGAAATTGAAAAGCAGCTTCGCCGGATGCGGTCGATCCATGACAACAAAGTAGAGCAGCGATGACGGGCCATGACAAAGAGAAAGAATAAGGACTGCAATTGGAAGCCTCTAACATGAGGGAGATGGCGGCGTAGATGTGTTATTGTCATCGCCTTTGTGATAGATGAAAATGGTCATGTCTGCCTTGGTGGAAAGAGCGAAACGCATGTCGCTTTCTCGTTCCGGAACATAGTCAAGTTGTTTATTCTCATCGAAGAAAGACCTTCGATTTGGGCGGAGGTATGCACTCCTTCATCTGATAGAGAAAAGCTCATCGTAGAGTGTTCAGGAACATCGCCCATCCAGGACTGTTCGGAGAAAGTCGATGAAGTGCGACGGTCGTGTCGGATGCTCTGGGTTTGCTCGAGCATTGACCACGATAGTAAACTTGATAGTAACACAAACAGGGTGACCCTCCCGACAGCATATCCTGAACTTGGAAGCTCGTTATGTCGACTTACGAAGGTAAATATAAGACGATAGGTTGGAGCAGAGATCGGTATAATAATCCTACTTGGCTGCTATTGAACCTTTCTTGAAAGGAAAATGGCAGTGTTGATGGCCAGAATTTCATATCGTAGCTCAGTATTTTTATCGCGAACAGTGAACGATTGGCTAGAACTGACATCAGGCACATCATTTGGACCTGACTGTGATGTCTTTCTCATGGGTGACCGTCATGAGTTATCGAATCATGAACGAGAAGCGACGGAACAACACCTTCTATTCTAAAGGGCGCGGGAAACATTTCTGTTGGTAGGGCCCCACTTGTATACCCGAATCATGAAGCAAACGTTTGAGCGAAGGATCGCATATCCGCTGTCTCGGTATCGCGGTGTCCACCCATGACTCGACAGCTCGCTGGAAGTGGTAATTCCTAGATTTTGTAGTCAAATTAACTCCTTGCAGGTCGTGGATAGTTGAGAGTTTTATGATGTCTCAAGGGATATCAACAATGTTCTACCGAAAAATTGTGGCCAAAAAGGAACAAACGAACAATGGTGATAATTGTGTAGGCTAAACTGGCATAGAATGAAAGTTTTCCCGATACATCAAGATACTGCTGTTGTCGATGGAAGAAGGAGACTAAGGATCATGTTGAGCGACCAACAGGGCTGCCTAGGTCATGCATAGGTATCTGCGAGTCGTTCGAATGATGGCTCGCCCGATTATCACCACCAATGTCATCACGGTCGCGGGTGAAGTCCCTTGTAGTTGGCTTCCCATGCTCAAGATCGATTGAGCGATCTTCACTTTCTGAGTCGCCCACGTACACTTGGACTTCTGTTTGGCGTTTTATGCCGTGAATATCCTCTCTGAGGTCTTCGTTGCCTCGGTTGTGATTGACGAATGCGGTATTCGTGACGTTTCTTGGAATCCCGTGGGCATCGTCGTCATTGAAAGTGTGGTTGTGTTGTGACTTTTGTGTGTTGAGTGTCGTGGGATAGGGTGTGTCTTGCGATGAAGAGTTGAAGTTCATGTCTTGCTCGTTACTTCGCGCAACTTTGATAATCATGTCCGCCATGCTCATCTCGATGCTGAGTTTGACCATNCTGTGTGTGATATCAGCATCGTTTGACACGCGAAAAGAACATGAGCTTTGACATACATATGCGACAGGGTGAAATTGCACAAAGACGATACCATTGGGTAGGGACATCAGACCGATGAGCATCAGGTCCATAAGNACGGAGATGATACCCAGGCGAGTGTAGTAACCTACCAATGGCTTATACTTTCGAAGACCGTGCTGCTTGACCAGTCGAGCCTTGACGACATAAATGAAATACCAATTGAGAAACGCGTCGACAAGCATGATGAGAATCTTAGAGCAANNGTATTTGTTGATGTGTACGAAGCTGTTTTGCTATCAGTATTGCTAACTTGCTCGAAGATCAACGTGAGCCGGTACTTACACCATACTGGGTGGGGGTGAGAGGTGAGAAGGGATGAAAATACAAAACACCGCTGCATTGATGCATGAGATGACCACTGCTGTTAGAATCTTCAATCTTTGGGCCGTAGCCTTGCGCTCAGAAATGATTGAGATACGGTTGATGATGATTTGCATGAGGAACTGATCCTCGAAGACATAGAAAAAGAGAATGAAGAAGAGAAGGGCAGGTCTAAACGTAGCGTCAATTCAGTGTTGGTGGTCAACATAGTAGTTTGCATACCCATTGTGGACGATATCTTTCAACCAAAGCCAACACAGAACAGCAAGGACAAGATTTGCTAAAATCTCTCCCCATACCATATAGATGTATGCTGACCGCCATGGATTTCTGTTCGCTTTGGTTTGATGGACCGCTCGGACTGTTGTTAGATAGCCAAAACCGATGGTGAAGCCAGCCGCGCAGGCAGCAACCTGATAATCACCAGACGACGACATTTCTGGCGGCGACCGAAGTATAAGTGCTCGAACGACGAGCCAAAAGCGATAGCAGCATACGGGATGCTGGCTTGATATGTACTTGCCTCACATTCGAAGAGATACTGTACCAGCGCTAATTGAATCCGCGGCCCCCAGTGCCATGATCCGACGTGGTCAAAGCATTGGTAAGGGCTTCGTTCTGTTGGAGGCGTTCCAAGGACAGATCCTAGATTGGTAGATGTTGATCCGTGCTGACTTGTTTCCTTGTACCAGTACTGAAGAGTTCGTCGGACTGATGGGAGTCAGTAGCGCCTGTACGGACGATCGTTCCTTCCAACGCTTCCAGTGACCCGAGACGTGCAAGGTCCCGGCGAATACACAGTCCGAAGGGGGATGATCTTTGCATGTCAATGCAATCACCTCGCTAAGCTGGATCACCAACTTGAGCCTCTGCAGATCTGGGGTTCATCTTGTCCAAGCCATGTGGATCCTAATATGAATCGTGAGTCGCCCACCCCAGTTATATGTTCAAGGTTATCTTGAGAATTGGTAGATGACCGACCGGACACGTTAGCTCTACCCAAGCAGTGCGATATAGCAGTCTGTCGCATCGAGGAAGGCATTGTCTTGTCAATGAGCTGTGGACACGTTTGGTCAACCCATCGCTACTCGGAGTGGTCAGGACGAGTAGCCGTTAGCGGCGACGAGTTGACCGTGTGATGTGGTTGACGCAAACGCGAGTCAGGTGGAGCTGGATAAGATAGGGCAGCGTATTGAGTCATGATATCTTAGCTAGGTAGGCTCAACAACAAGCTTAACCCTGGTGGCGTCGAGAGCGTCAAGGGTCATATAGCGCGCGAAAGAATTCTTCGACCGTCTTCAGTTTCGATGATTCGCCCACGACCTGACGAGATCTTGCTTGTTGATGAAGATGTGTTGAAGGTCAGAACGTCCGAAGATGTTGTGGGCTTGGAGAACCTCGGCTTATTCTCGTATGCAGAATTCGTGGCAATTTGCCATCCCCGGTCTCGAACTTGTTGCTCTCAACTGCTAGTTTGATGACTATTAGCTAGATTCCTATACAACCATAGTACTATTACCTGTTATACGCGTCGATATGGATCAATCCAGTGCTGCTAATGCTCTGCTCGAGGTGGTAGCCTCTCAAACCGGCGTGCGCACACGCTCGCAGAGCCGAAATCGCGAATCTAGCCTTTTAGAGCCACCACCCTCGCTAGCTCAACTACCTACCTATATAGGCTTAAGACGACGTGTACACTTCGAGGAAGAAGAGGAAGACATTGGAGAAGGGACTATCATAAGCACGCCAAGATCTACGCGCGGCAAGGCTCCTATTCGGCTTGTTGACTAATAAACACCTCCCGAATCCACACCTCGCCGGGCAATAACAAAACGCGATACCTTTACCCAACAACCACAACCACTTCTAAAACAGGTACCCCCTTTAAGGAAGCCACTTTCCAATGCTGTAAACACGTTAGGGAAAAAAGCGGGGATCAAAAACTTTAAAAAAGACTAAGATACAGGCTCTAGCGCCCTAAACGCGACCTACGAAGCTATGCAACAACCTAGCCACATCTATCCGTCGCTTAACCAACTCTACGAATAAGGTCACCAAACCTTCTAAGGTCACTTAGAAGGGTAAGGGGAACCCTCCACGCGAAGAAAGTATCATCAAATTCGACCGCGATCACCAATAGTACTGCCGCTACGACACCACCTGCCCTAATACCATTTAAGTTGCAATATGACAGTCGTTAGGGCCACCAAAAGATTTCTAGTGGCGATACCGACCTTGCTAACACTAAGAAGACATGGGTAACAGCCCGTCAGGAGCTAGATCGGTCAATTGTACCTCATCTTAGAGATTAGGAAATCGCTAAGTATTACCCTTGGAGGATTAGAGCTCTGATAACTTCGACAGGCTCCCGAGGTGTACGCTTAACTGAAGCAGTTACTCTTTATAGACTTAAGCATGGTGACGAGCAGTGGAAGAAGGCCATGGACCTCGTTCGCTTTAACGCTTCTACCGGCCTAAGAGATTTGTCTATTATAATCGAGTCTATCTAGACAACCGATGGTAAGGAGCTAGCGCTAGAGCCTCCTCCTGCGTACGAGGCATCTACAACAGCAAGCTCTGCTTAAGCTCCTCGCCTTGCCGCTCGAACTTAGCGCTCAGTTGAACAGACCGCTAATTACATGGGCGAACGAGCAGTGTTTTGGGACAGTATTGTGAACTTCCATCAATGTCCTACACCAGCGCGATGTGAGATTAAGGCACGTAGAGGTCTTGCCTGTTTTGTCTACCGCGGACGCCATTATGAGGTGTTCTTGTCCATATTAGCTAGGTGGCGAGACGCTGTTAGAGCTAGCTAGGGCACCCTCGAGATACCCTCGCGCGAGATACGTAAGCTAATCTAGCGTCAGCACTGGGCACATAAGGCAGAGCTTAAGAAGCGCCGGAGGCCTCAGAATCAGGCCTCGAATGGAGCGGCATCACCTAGTACTGTTAACCACATCTATGTTAACTAAGGACCTTAGCAACCTTAAGAGCAGACAGTTCCTACTGCTCCCTCCTTCTTGTCGACTGTTCCTACTCCTCGACAGGTCTCACCCTTGCTAACTGAGCTTAACAATGCTGCCTTATAGGAAGCGTTCTAGGAGGCTGTGAAATTGGCCTACCCGGACTAGTCTTCAGGCTTTAATAGAGCAAAGGCTGCGCTCGAGGAGGACTACTGGAATTTGAAGATGCTATTGACCTCTTCCGATAAGAAACTCTTAAGGGTAGTTAAGCAGACTGGTCTCCGCGTAACTATTCATGAAGAATTGTCCAAGTTCGTAGATATATATAAGCGCTAGCAGCGACAGCAACACTCCTCTCTACGCGTAGATCAAGGTCCTTCTTATGCTACTAACATCGATGCCCATACTATCTCCTTAGATAGCTCGAGCTCACCGACGCAATCAGACTCTAGCTCTAATCATGTTAATTGAAGGTACCTGACTACGACCGAACAGGTTCCTAATATTGACGTCGTTTAGTGCCTAAGTTACTGCGCCCTCGAGGTGCTTGATCTACGCCGCTTTGTAATCCGCGAGTTCCATGCCCTCTAGAGTTGGCGCCAGATCCCTCCAACGACGAAGCCATTGTTTTAAGAGGTGGAAGGTCTGTTCTATGGGATTCAGATGTGGCGAGTATGGCGGCAGGTACAGCAAATATACGCCAAACTGCCGACCTAGCTCGGTGATNCTAGACAATGTTAGGCCCTGCCATTTATACGCAAATTTTGCACATACTCGATTAGAGTGGTGGGTCGAGCAATTGTCCATGATTATAATCGACCTTCTACCTGGAAATGGCTCGCATTGTGGTAGCACTACTGTCTCTAGCTAGTGTTCATATATGGCTTGGGTAACCGCGCCTTCGACAACGAGGGTAGAGCCATATAGATACCTATGGACATCTAGAGCTGGTAATACCGAGCAACGAACTTTGTTAACTAGGTCTGACCTTGTATAGGCCGGCAGACCTATCTAACTCCAAGAGCGGCGGCGAAACATCACCTTCTTGCTGCATGCAGATTCATTAAGATAAACCAGCATATCTATAGGGTTAAGACTAGCCGTAAGGCCTCGAGACATTAGATCAGCCAATTCTTTAAGATAAACTCCCTGTTGCGCAACAGACTGGCGACTTGCGATACGTGTATTGACCTTGTTTAATAGCTCCTCTTTAGCTAGCAGGCGACTAATGGTCGACTGGTTAACAGCTATGTCGAATTCGCACCACAATTCGAATACTAATTCCTCCTGCTAGAGATCGTTCCTCGCGGAGAGCAGTTCCATAAGGTATTCGCGCATAACTGGTGTTATCTTCTTCGGGGCGCCACGCTTCTTTAGTGCTAAGGAAGGCTTCCTAACCTGGCCAAAGTGCTGTATGTTCTCATACATACGATACACCGTCCTACGAGCTGCATGGGGAATGACTTTGCAGACGGTATTGACGTCGCAGTTGTCGCGAAACATGGCCTCGATAAGGTCCTTATCATGCTCGTTAAGCGGCATTTTATTACTTGAATTGAGAGCTATCTCACGCGTTAGATAGAACTCTGATATCGCTGAAAGACTAGCAACATCAGAAGGACGGTCACCTTGAGCTATATTAACAACAACTAGAGCAGCACGAGGTGTATATAGCGATAAAATTGATGTACAACGTGTAAATAGCGAGAAATTAGAGGATTAGAGGAACAAGATCGAAACTGGGGGTGGCAAATTGCCACGAATTCTGCATACGAGAATAATTTACACCCGAATTTTGCTCTCTCCCACGAACATATCGCCCACTTCCATCTCCACAGTCCCATAAATCGCCATTCCGTGTCCCGGTTCGTGTCCGTTTACAGACAAGACTGTCGGCTAGAGACGATAGACATCAACCGTTTGCGGCTGATCTCACGTCTCTGTTACGACCCGCTGTTGATCACAATGAATAGGGCTCGCGCCTTGGCCTTGACGAACAGCCAGGAATTCTTCCTTGATCTTTCATCAAGAGAAGCTCATGTAGATCCAGAAGAGTAACATCTCAAAAGCCCTACTTTCGCATGAAATTCAGGGAAAAGCACATTGAACCGAGTAATTCACGATTCAGAGTTCTACGCGACTGACTTCAATACCCAGACCGAGGTCCGCAGACAAGCAATCTGCCCAATGGTTTGTATATATACAAAGAAGCACCTGGCACACAGCATGACGTCCGTGTTTTGCCGTCCTATTCCAGCAATGCCAAAGTGTGGAATTGGTCTCGAGAGTAGACGCCAAGGCCACCAGAGGTTGCTTTGTGCTTCTACCATACTTACAAAACACCATAGTTTAGCCGACACATATACACATTGCAACATCACAACCAACATTTAAATGATCTCCGGAGCTTCAGTCTGGATTTTTGTTGTGTACCTGAGAAGCTAAGTTTCCTTGCTTCTTGTCGCCCGTAGCTCCGAAGCCAAGCCCGCCCATATCCTTGCCGCCTGCAGTACCTCCTCCCATCTTCAGTCCTTCGGCATTCGCATTGTTGGCCGCACCTGCTTGAGCGCGGGAAGCGAAGCCAGAGGAGGACATGTCGCCGCCAGATTTAAGCTGAAGAATTCAGCGTCGATCAGACGGTTAGACGAGGGAACAGGAAGAAAAGGAAAGAGGAAGGACGCTGTACCTGAGCCGACTAGATGCGACTGGCATCAGAGCCATTCAAGGCGTGTTTGTCACCACCTCCTGAGGACTTGTTTGGCATTGCTGTAGTTTTGGCTTGTTTAGGTATATCGGTTCTTTGAAGGGGTTGGACAGAAACTTGAGTAGTAAGGAAAAGAGAATCGGAGAGCAGAACCGATGTGTAATATATGCTATTACAGGCCGAAATGGCACAGGTCTCCTGTTCATGAAACTGGCTCAGAAGGATGGACCGACCATAAAACGTGTCCTTTGCTGCTAGATCGCCCTCAACGGTCAGCGACCATGGCGCGTATGATCAGTGATTGAAGCCTCAGGTTATTCTGTCCTCGGCGGTACGTCTCTTCATTTCCCAATCTGTCGACCTTCGTCAACCGCGACCTGTCAAGGGAACACCAGAACGTCCATTCCGGGGTCAGCGATATCTTCTAACTTCTTTCACTTGTTCAGGTGGCGCTTGCGCTTGCTTTGTTTATCAAACTTCCAGTGTTTGTTAAACTTCTGTCAAGAAAAAGGCAATCGTGAACCATAAATCTTATGTGTGTTCACGAATCTCGAAACAGAGAACAGAAGAGAACGTTCCGGAACAGGAACATAGACAACAGAAGGGAATATGAATGTCATCTGCCGATTCGACGCATCCTACCCAACACACAATCTCATAATGACTCAAGAACTTGCTCCCAAGCATCCACTCGAATTTGACCTTGCGCTACCTCTTTTTGTAGTTGCTGAAATGGATTGCAATTTTCTTGACCAATGATTGCTGGCAGATCCTTTTCCCAAAGAGTGCCATCGCCTGTGATCCCAATCACTGGGCCCTTCCACGAGTCAAGAATTGGATTCCAACTTTTCTGATCGTTGTTTGCTAGGGGCTTCCTCTCTTGCAGAGCGTCTTCGCTCGGAATATCAATCAATGGCCCCTTGCAGTCTAGGGAAGGGTTGATGACTTCCACAGGGTCAATCGTGATGACTTCGTGTTCGGCCTCCACAGCCGTTGTGGCTATAGCAGCAAATTCAAGCTGTCGCTCGTTTTGCGTTTTCAGCAGGACGAGCTCAACTTTTCATCCTCGTCCGGATCGTGGAAAGCAAGATCTGCACACTTCTGCTGCGCAGGGTCGTCGTCCATAAAGTCTTGTTCATTCAGGATACCCTCTTCCAGCCACTGGATCTGCAACAAAGTCTTCACTGTGACTGGTATGTCGTGCTGCTCCAGAAAGTCGATGGTGTCTTTCCAGAAGGCCTTGAGCTGACCGCGTCTATCATAAGGATAAGATTTCATCCACGAGGCCCAGTCAGAGATGATCAAGTTGGCAGTTCCCATGTCAATCTTGAACCACTCGACATGTGGGCTCTCGTGAACAGTGCAGTATTGCTGTTCGTGCCGATATTTCGACAGCTCGAGGTGAGTCAATAGCTCGACTCGCTCGGGTTGGCGCACTCCTTTATGAGTGTGCAAGAGTACAGGATATCCATGACCAAAATCTGACCAGTAATTCAGACGAGCTTTGACGTTGGTGCAGGTATAGCCTATTTTGATCATTCCGGAGAAGTATTCCTGTTTATGGGTGTAAACCCATACAGTCCCATCCTTGTCTTGGGAACCGAGGGGGATACGCAAGTATGAAGCCAGTGTTTGTTGTTCGAAGACTGCGTGCTCGACATAAGTGACTGTTTTGACAGTAGAAGAAGACTTCATCGCAAGCACTGGTCGACAGTCATGAGAATTAGTATGTGTATAAACGATGGGACGGACAGAGTGCTCGCTTTTGCGTTCCAAGACGCGAGAGCGAAGGGTGACACACCTTCCTGCTTGAGATCTTGGACTCTTTGAAAGCCCACACCACATTCAGAAATCAATATCTCTTCCAGCCATTGTATTGCTAGCTTTTGTGCAAGACCGCCCCCAGAGAATTTGTTGCGGTGTTTCTGAGTACAGCAGCTATATTCAGCTGTTTGCTGCAGCAGTTCTAGCGCTGGGCACATTGAAGGAGATTTATGCTCTCTCTCCTTCAGGAAACGAGCTGCCAACTCAAGAGCTAGTCCACTACTCTTTTTAGAAGTCTCTATAGAACAGTACCTTCCTTTGTCGGGTAGGTACCATATGCATTAGCGAACTTTGTTGTCGAGCCATGAGTGTAGTTTATCGAAGGTCGGAAATTGATCGACCGTTGGCAATTGAGCCTTCACCATCTTCGCAAGCAGGTCAAAAAGGAGTACGAATTCAAGGAAGAAGTTGGTACACTCCATATACGGCACTTGCTGGCTTATAACGATACGTGCGCCTGCCCTGAGGTGGCTGAAGAACGCATTGGATGTATGTGGCGGCATGTGAGAGACGCCATGATGCAAGTAATCTAATATCAAACAGGACTCCGAAAGCTCAAGAGAGGCTGAGTTTATTAGCTCTGTGTTGGTCTAGCACCCATCTATTCCCTTTCGCCGAAAAGCTGCATCGAGTGTTGGTGTTCCCTCTCGGTTGTCGCATATAGTCCACGTCTGCCCTACCACCCATGAACATTTTGTTGTCTGGCGCGCACGATGGGATGCGAGCGCGTGTGATGTGATACGAGCGCGCATGGTGTGATATGAGCGCGCATAACATGAAACGAGCGTGCATGATATCAAGCGAGCGTGCATGATATGAATCGGGGACTCATCGGATGCATATTTGGAAGTCAAGTTTGGATAATGAGACTGGAGGCCGTGAGATGCTGTTTGACAAACATTCAGATGGTCTCACCACTCGGATGATCAGATATGCCTCAGAGATGTTTCGTTTAGCGCCGAAACAAGCTGGGATTGTATTGTTTCGTGCATTATCATGACTGTCCTTTCCTCATCCGGAACCCGATGCTCCTCATAGAGCGACTGTACCCTGTCGCGGATTCGCACACCAACGCTATGCAATGAGACCTCCCAATGTGTCATGCGCAACAATATCCAGACTCCTGCACTCACTCCGACCAACACGGAGATGGTTTCAATGGTGGAAAATAATTCTTTTAACCGGACCAGTGCTCAATCAGCATCTTTCTGCTCTCCAGATCGGCGGCCACGAATACTTCAGCATTTTTGAATTTTGCGATGCTCAACAGTACCCTCACCTGCTCCTCAGGGGTAAGGCGGCCCCTGTGAAAGCGCTCGAACATCTTCACAGCCTCCTTGGCGCTGTTGGTGGTAGCCGAAGGAAGTCTCGAGTAGCCAGGTGGTGCCAAGGAACTGATCTTTGCGTCGAGTCGTTCCTCAAGCTCGGTGCACTTGTCAGCGAGGACCTCTGACAGTCTTTGTGACTGTTCTTGGAATTCTTCGCCAGCGACCTGGGATTCTTGGTGAATCCCCTGAATTGCTGATTGCTCTATCGATTTCATTTCGATTATAGCCTCATCTTTCACTTCGTGCAGGGCTGCAGAAGCAGTCTCGAACTCATCGTTAACATCGGAGACGTGTGCAGCGACTGCATCTTGCATGATAGCAGGCATGTGGGTCATGATGTAGTCTGAGATCGAAGGCTCTGCCCAAGCCGTCAGCTCAGTGGCTAGCGCGCAAGTCTGAACTTCAGCAGCAATCGCAGGAATCTGAGCTTGGATGGTAGTCGAGATAAGGCGCTCGAGGTCTGCGAGTTTGAGTGTGATGGTTGGTGGGTGTTGAACCTGGGATCTAGTAGTGAAGATGGTTGGTTTGATATGAAGCTGATCAAGCGATGCCGTCGACGCAGCCGANGACCGAAGCGGCATATGGGGAGTTTGGGCGCCTCCGAGGTCATGGGGGTGGCTATTTCCAGGAGTCCGAGGATGGACAGGGGTGAGCTCGCGACCAGGGGGTGAGGAGTGGCCTGGTGTAGACCCATCATGGGACAATTCGTCAAGATGAGGCAAGTGAGCGCTCTGAAGAAGATCATCCTCCTGTGTTGACTGGACGTCCCCAATGATCTGATCGTCTACAGTAGACTGTTGCGAGGGATGATTGCGTGTGGAGCTCGGAGTATTCTCCTCAGTGGGTGAGCCGAAAGGGAAGTTGGCCTTGTACCACTCCCACTGAGATGCTTTTTCATCTTTGACCCTCTTCTGGCTTGGGGCTACCTCCTGGGAGTCACTGAGGCGCTTCAATGATGGAGGCGCTGAGGGACTTGGTGAGGTGTGAGTAGCATTCGGATCAGTTATGCTATAACTTGGCGGAGCGACTGTATGGCATGTTAGACTTTTGTAAGGTCAGATCACGACTGTAATGAGATCACCCGTACTCTCTAAGAGTTTTGGCTTCTGCACACCAACCAGCTCATGGCTGTACGACCCCCATGCATCCCATGCGCCGCCTCGTCCCTCATAAACTTTGTCCAGGTCGACGTTAACAGGAGAGAGAGTCTTGGGCAACTCATGCTGGAGTTTGTTGACCAGACTGCGGACGTTTCTCTTGTTGATCAGATAGACGCTGAACTCAGGGGCTTCCGAGAGTGACCGGAACTGCATGAGACGATGCAAGGGCATACCTTCCCAAGACTTGTCGTGCGGTGTCTGGGTTGGCATGAGTACATGACCGGTGGACTGCAGGTGTCCATGATGGACAGAAGCAACAAGCCAGCCTCGTTCAGCCTTTGTTGGGTGTACTTCGAGTAGTTCCCTAGATACATCTGGGATTACTGCGAGTCGTCAGGATTTGATACTGAGAAGGCCTTGCATAGTGGCACTTGGAAACAGAACACCATCAGAAAACTCAATGCTTCGGGACGCAAACAATATCTCGGAGGAAGGCGGACTGGGGCTTACTTACCAGTGACGGGGTCCNTTCTTGAACAAAAGAGAATGTGGATCGATATACAGGAAAAACTCCAAGGGAATAGATCTATCGGAAATTCTGAAGTTGAGGGTTCTTTGCAGCAAGATCACCCATCGTTGATCCGCCTGCTTAGTACCAAACCAAAGGGTCACGGGCTGAGTGCCAAGTCCCAGGTTCTGTGGGTCAAGATTGTTGTCTTTCCAAGTCACGACGCAAGACTCAGAGAATGTCCAGTCGATGTCGAGCCCGAACTCGAGAGCTTTGGGTGGCCGCATTGTCGCGTCTCAGGAGTACTGATGATTCAGAGTTAGTCGAGATACTCATGAACACGCGATGCTCTGAGTTCTCGTGACATGATGGAGAGAGTAAAACCTCGAACAAACGCATACATTGAGTGTCAAACCGCGCTTGTGATAGGTGACTGTATCTCAAGAGATTCGCGATGTGAATTTCTTCTGAAGCCGAAGAAGTATTGCGACGACTTACCACTGGTTATAGATCCAGATCTAGCGACCAACAGACCCGCGTCTCGATACGCGATACCTTGCTGTTATAACGCGCACATGAGTGTAGTGTTTCCAGATACCTATTTTTCGAGGGCTGAACCGTGAAATTGAGTGTCGGTAGGGAACGCCAAGAGATGTCGACTCGAGTCGCGGCGGCTGGTCTGTGCGTATGCCAGCCGCCCGCCCGCCCAGCTTCACGCGCACCAAACATCGCGCTCCATCATTCACCATTCATCCTCATCCATCAACCACAATTTCCATCATCATCTGCACCATATCCACATCACACACTTTCTTCCATTACCACCTACACCATCACCCAAGTCGCTGTGTGCGTTCATGCTTTTCACTATCCCGGCTCTGAACATGTGCGCAGCGTGCCCGGGCGTCGTGTGCAGTTAGTTCTCTGACGGGGTAGGGTTCTTTGCAAGACGGCAGTGTGCTCCCCTTTGGAGGTCTCCGCCTTGCTGTGCGCGCTCCAGCTTCTCATTGTCACAGCTCTGAACATGTATACGACGTGCCCGGGCGTCGTGTGCAGCTAGTTCTCTGATGGGGCAAGGTTCTTGCAGGACCGCAGCTCGGTATTCCTCCTTTCCCTTCGTCACGATCTCCTTTGTCTTTCCTTTCGCTGTGTATGACCGCATTACGTTGTCTCGACTGGACAGCAGCAAGGCGCTGTATGTCTCATGACCTGGTGACTAGGGTCCTCTGAGGGATATATGTCCACGTCGAGGTCGGCTTCTCGCGGGGCTGTAGCTTCTCTTGCACACTGGAATGCCTTTGCTGTGTGCGCCTCGGATTCACGTTGCCTTGGCTTTGAACATGCTTCAGCGCTCTGCACACCACAGTCGGGTCGACTCGTACGAGAGGGCTCGGTGTGCAGGTTCATTGCTGTAGGTCGCCTGTTCCCCGAGGCGGCAGTTGGTCTTCTCCCCCGTCCTCCGTATCATTCTCTCCCATCTTGTATGCATTCATTCTCACCATCACTACACTTATGTATTATTAGTCATGGAGCCAGGGCTGCTTCTCCCAAAAGCCCGGGTGGGTGGGTTCAACCTGTGTCTTTCATGGCACAGGGGCTTATCCTCATATCTTTCAGAATTCAGAATTCTTACAAGTCTGTTTGTGCCAGCTTTGCATTGTGATCATCCCCTGACTTGACATGATTGTCCAGCGAGTGAAGTCGCGATAAAGTGTAGATGTGCAGGGCCGAGTTCAGCTACCGAGCATCCGGGTATGACGGCAAGCGACTCAAATTTGGCCGCAGCGAATTCGGCAACTGCATAGAGGACGTACTTTTTTGAGGGGTTGACGGCAAAGGAACTGATTCCTCGAGCTCGGCTACTTGATTCTCCTTGTCCCTCTTTCACGGACATCGACAAAGAACAAACAAAGATCCAGGTCGGTTGGAACGCGCCCAGCAATCACCCACTCGAACATCGGCTTGGCAAAGGCAAAATCCTGGGGCTCACAAACAAACCTCCGTCATGCATCAGCACACACAACAAGCAGAGGCATCGCAACAGCCCACGAACGATGAATATGAAGACTCATCAGTGTCTTCGGCGGCAGATGCTGAGAAAGAGATGATTGCGGCGAATGCGCTGAATGAGGGGACCACACAACCGTTCGAGGATCCAATCGCTGAAGAGCAACAACAACATACCGATGGAGGCGATATTGAGAAGCAAACGACGAGGAGGTCGGTACGGTCTGGAAAGGCTGTGTCGGTGAATAATGTTGCTGCTATTCCTAATGGTGGTACCAAGGCTTGGTTGCAGGTGAGTTTCTACCCGCTCCTCGACGGACTTCGACCCCCATGTCCGCCCTCCTGCTCTTTACATGAACTAACGCCCTNNCAGGTTTTAGGTGCTTTCACACTATTTATGAACTCGTGGGGTATAAGTACGCGCTTTTTGGGTCCCGGGAAGAGGCTAGCAGTTGGCTAATCAGTCGAACAGNTCAACACCTTCGGCGCATACCAAACCTACTATCAAACTGGCATTCTCTCGTCCTCGAGCCCTTCTGACATCTCGTGGATCGGATCGGTACAGGCCTTTTTGCTCATGCTTGTCGGCGCATTGACGGGACCCATCTATGATGCTGGATACTTTCGCGCCTTATTGACTGTAGGCTCTTTTGGCGTTGTCTTCGGATTCATGATGTTATCTTTGGCTACAACATACTGGCAGGTCATTCTTGCCCAAGGAATATGCGTTGGTCTGGGAGCTGGATGCTTGTTTGTACCATCGGTCGCCATCTTGAGTACCTACTTCAGCACAAAGATTGCCACAGCTATGGGTCTTGCTGCTGCTGGAAGTAGTTTGGGTAAGCTCTGTCTACGTTTCCATCTGCTGGATGTCCACTAATATCGTACACAGNGCGGTGTCATTTACCCCATCGTCTTCTACCGCCTCGAACCACGCATCGGATTTCCCTGGGCAACTCGTGTTATTGGATTCATCGCCTTAGGCACTCTTATCATCGCGAACTCGGTCATGCGCGTGCGCGTCCTTCCAGCTGCCCGCCGTGCTGTTTTCGATCCCAAGGCCTTCACCGAACTGCCATACCTCTTCTTCGTGCTTGGTGGCTTCCTCGCCTTCATGGGACTTTACGCGCCCTTTTTCTACATTGAGAGCTACGGCATTACCTACAACATCACGTCAGAAAGTCTGGGCTTCTATACTTTGGCCATCATCAACTCGGCTTCGGTCTTTGGTCGCATTGTGCCCAACCTCATTGCTGATCGTACCGGACCGATGAACATGATCATTCCTTGCTGTATCATTTCTGGAATCATCGCACTCTGCCTTATCCCTGTTCGCAGCGAAGCAGCGCTCATCGTCGAATGTGTGCTGTATGGCTTCTTTTCCGGAGCTCTGGTGTCGCTACCACCTACTGTGTTTGTGCACTTATCGCCAAACAGAGGATTGATTGGTACGCGTATGGGACAGGGTTTCAGTATCATCTCTATTGGTCTCTTGCTCGGCACTCCTATCTGTGGATGGATTCTGGATGGCAGTGGATTCACTGATGTGTGGGTCTTTGCTGGAGTGTTGATCTTGGCAGGCGGCAGTCTCATGTTTGTGAGCAGATTCTTCAAGGCAGGGTTCAAGCTCGTGCAGAAGGTTTAGAAGTGAGCGGGTACGACTCGTTCTTCGCGTATAATCTTTCGCGAACATTGCATTGTATAGAATCGAGCCAGTAGATATTTCAGAGTCCAAACAGTGACTCGAACAGAGCATACCAATATTGTGAATGTCATTGTGTTTGAGTGTTTACAAGTACCCGAATGGCTTCGGCTTCGGCTTCGGGATTGGCATCTGAGACAGTTTGGCACATGGCAGGCCGAGGAATAGCCGGGTGAAGCGTTCGATGCGGCGCTTTGTATACCCTTTTGACCACTCGACGACTGCTGCAATCAGGAAGCGCATCCATTTCCACGCCATCGCGTACATCACACACGACTCACTGGACTATTTCTGTCACTCTGGAATCAGGCGACACCCTCTGGGCCAAACACGACCGCTTCTCACGTACGCGACAGGACAGTGACATCACGGACGCTGTCTTGCTCACTCGTCCGCATGTCCGACCAGCAGCCATAGAGGAGCATGCCAGGTCGCATCGTCATGGACAGCCATGCCGCACCGCAGACCAACGGCCTGAACAAGGACCCACCCACCATGGCCTCGACCGCTCCTGCACAACCCTCTGCCCTAGCAAACGGCTACAGCAATGGCACCACAAAAGAGGAGGAGAAGGCTTTGCCGCCAGAGCTGGAACACTGGGCACATACCTATGTCCCCATGGGCACACTACTAGAGCGCATGGCCCAACAGTGTTACTTTGACCTGGGAGAGGTCATTGAGCAAATGGCCGATCTGAACATTGGCACACCGCAAACGAATGGCGCATCCACTGCAGCCCCTGACGTGTCAAAAGCGAGCGTGGACAAGAAACTGCGACTCATGAACTTTGCAAATACTCAACAAGCTCGCTTCATCAAGGCCCTAGTTCTGTCAGACTGGGCGCGCAACATGGGCGACATGGACAAGCTGATCGAGTTGCGCATGTGGCTGACTCAACAGGATGAAGCATCAACACAAGTCGGCGATGCCATTATGCAGATGAAACACAACATGATCGGTGCCAAAATGCCCAACCCAAACATCCAAGGAGCCCTGGAACTTCTTTCCACATCCAAAGCCCCATGGTTGCCCAGTCTTGGTTACATTGCGCCAAAACCTCTGTCTGCTCAGAAACTGCTCAAGACGCTACGAGACATGAATTTTGTCCTCTCCGTACGACTCAACCTGCATGAGCAACTACCTTCACACTTCTGCAACTACTCGATAGCCAACGGACGTGCTACCTTTGTTGTGCCCAACGAGTTTGAGCTTGATCTGGCTGTTACTGACGAAGACACGACATCACCTTTCTACTTTATCGATATTCGGTTCCTGTTTTCTGATGCTCCACCCTTGGCAGATGGCTTCGCTCGCGCACATCTCGAAGGAAAGGTCAATCAGCTACTCCAGATGGAAGGTCTTTCTGCGGCCTACGACTTTCTCCACGGATTTGTTCTCACACACAAGATCACACTGCTACGGATACAGGCCTCCGATTTGGCGCGCACGAGGTGGACTGAATGTCTACACGTCGAACCCGTTCATCGATCGCTCATCGTTCAATACTGGACCGGCCAGCCTGGAGGAAAGAGTTGGATCGAAGTCGGAATCATGAAGGGACACAACGCAGAAAACGCAGATCGACCACATACACCCGCGCGGATGAACATTCGCTGGTTCAGAGCTGGTAAGGAGGTTCCTGATGCGAAATTCGATATCGATCCAGCCAGCCCCTCGATGGAACATATACTGAACCAGGTCACTGCTGCGCATATGACGCTTCGCCTTGAAACCGTCGAGAACCAGCTTCTGGCTATCTCACCACTGAAATCTGCTCTGGACTTGGACTTGAAGGCTTCGTTGACAGATCCGAATGCTTGCGCCTTGTCCATGAAGCTTGGTAAGCACGGCCTGGAGACTTCGCTACGCATTGTCCCTGTCAATGGCAACATCTCAATTTCACCAGTCTCTGCTGCTTCGATAGACGTAGAGAGAAGACTCCACTCTGACCCAACAATCGACGCTGCACAGATTTTGTCGTACCTCAACTGCAAGCTCGTCCAGGATCAAATCACACGACAAGCTGTGCAGGCTGGCTGGCTGCTGATGCCAACAGCACAACAAGGTGATGTCAACAAAATCTTTGCCGAACAGATCATTCGCCGCACAACCTTTACTCGCCATGGCTGGGGTGAGGACTGGGCCATCTGCCTCACCATCAGCTTGCAAGGTGTGAAATGGTGGATTGTCCGTCTGGCGTCAACCTCACCAACCTCTCGTATAATCAACACAGCCGAAACTCTATCCATTCCTACATCAACAAGATCTTTCGATCGCCATACACTTATGCTCATCGAATCCCGCGCAGTGGCACAAGTCTCTCTCAGCAACATATCTTCTCAATTACGAAATGCTAAGATCAGTCATGAGATCAGACATGTGTCTCCTGCAGCCGCACAAACCAACATTACAGCATCGCCGCTATCCGCATCCACCACTACAGCAGTCATCGGCATCAAGTTCGAGGACTGTATGCAACCCTCCTCAGTATCTGAGCGCAAACTCTGGAAACCATGGTGTTGCAGTACTATGGTACTCACACATCATGGCGTCGACGAATCAGCAAAAGACGCCGTCAAAGTGGTTCACGTTCTTAAAACGAATTTGACTCCTGAAACAGCCCAGATCCTTGCGCCGCTGGCCGGCAAGGGCACTTCAAACCAGGATATCGTGTTTGCTGCTAACGGCATTCTGGCTCTTCAACTTCGTACGCATTTTGGTGTTGATCTGATCGGCGCTGTGAAAAGCAAACTCCGACGTGTAGAACGATTGGCAATTTGTCTTGCCGCCATCACGAAGCGGAGTTTTATAGTCGAGAAAGTGGCGGTTACGGGCTTGGTATTCCGCTACTCGACCGCTTCTTCTCAGCAGCTTAAAGCAGGAATCTTGTTCTCTGACGATGCAGCACAGCCTATGCAGTTGCGTTTTGCGGCCGAGGATTCGACAAACCCGCACCGATGCGTGCAACCACTACTACAAAATCTTCTCCTCGCACCTCCTGGCGTTTCCTCTATGATCGAGGAGAAAGCACGGGTAGAGAAGCTGTTTGACACACTACACACAACCACACCACTCCTTTCCGCTTGCGCAATAATCGAGTCAAAGGACCCAGCGGCAAAGACCTCAAGGATCGCTAGCAGGAACTTGACACACCTCCGGATTCGCTATTGCTCTCCATTACCATCGTTAACTCTCAACATCGAAGCTTTACGAAAAGAAGGAAAGAATCTCTGGTCGATCACGGTACTCAAAGATCAAACACCTGAATACGACCAAGCGTTGGATTTGCTGCAGCAAGTCTGGCAAGGCAAGGATGTTGATGGTGTTAAGGGCTTTAGGACTGGTATTGTTGCTCAGGTGGGAGCTGTGGAGAAAGTATTGCTTGACCTTGATGGTGTGGTCAGAGGACAGGGAGGTGATGGGCAAGGTCATGAAGTCGTGGTCCTGGACTAGTAGTTCCAGAGCACAGGATGGGCTTATGACGCTATTGGGTGATGGAGAAGAGGTTGACGAGTTGAGGGGAATAATTCTCACGTCATCTGCACGGCCGAGAGAAGATTGCAAGAGCAAAGACTCAATGAGTGAGGAAAGCGCGAGTCTCATGTCTCCAACGCTACTTTTCCGTCACGATTGCTAAATACAAACAAACACATAAACTATTAATGACTTACACGCCTTACTTCTCAGCCCCTCCCTTCTACCAGCTGACTTTCTTTGATCTCGTGGCAGCCTCACGGCTCATTCTTAAGTGCGTTTCCCGACCTTTGCTGTTTGGAAGAAGCGATCAGGGGCATCACTTCCTTAGGTTCACCACCAGCCAATCGCTTATCGAACATCATCAACATCCACACCTTTGGCCATCAGGACTACATTTTTGTTGTCGCTGCCCTCGACACGTTTGTTCTCATCATCTAATTTGCTGTCGTACATGCCTACAGCGCCACCGCCTCGGTCAGGTTGCTTGCTTTGTCACTTCGATAGTCTTCTCATCTTTCGCCCTTATCGCCGAGCCGATGCTCGAAGCAACTGTCCATATGCTCGATCGAGCCACCGTCACGAGAGCAGCAGCTAGCCATACGTTTTCATTCACTGAATGTCGATTCCGTTTATACCAAACTTTCTGGACAATCTTACGATGTATAACTATACGGACCTTCAACGAAAACGTATACAGAGCAGTACTATACTCTCTCGCCAAGCGTGGCTATGCTCTCTCATAAGAATGAAGACCTCGTGGCATGGTTTTGAACAACGAGGATTCGTGGTCATCTTGTGAGAATCTGAGCAAGTTCTTTGACTGTAGCCTTGGACTTCCACAACATCTTATTCTTGGTTCGCAAATCTTCCTTTCCTTTCTACGTTCCAGGTCATCTTTACTCATGTCCTCAAACTGTACGGCCATGGAGAACATGACTCTTCCATCGTCCCCAGAGGACTTGACCTCTCCCTTCGCAAAGCTTTGTATCGACTTGGTTCTTCAGATCGCAGACTTTCTCCCATCTGAGTCAGTGCTTGCCCTCGCACTTACGACAAAGACTCTCTTCAATAGTCAAGCTCTTTGGAGGTTACGGGGACCATATGTTCAACACTCTCCAGGTCGCCATGCACAACCCATAGCCAGATACTCACCGGACTGGATCTACTGCGACTTCTGCTTTCGTCTGCATCCGCGAAGGGATACACCAAAGATCACGGATGGCTGGCGCGAGTTGCATCCATGCCCTCTCCGACCCGAGCATCCTATATGGTTGCACTTCGATACTTGGAATTATCATGTACAATTTGAAGATGTGTACAAGGTTATGACCATGCATCGGTGGGGCGCGCCATATGGAGACGCGCTTGATAGTCTAGCTGTCAAGCTAGACTGGCAGGTCATGAGATACGATGCTGGCCACGAGGAGTTGAATCGTTACTTGGCCACCACGGGACGATGCCTGACAAAATTCGTTGTAACGCCAGAGATCATTGATGGTCAGCTGTTGTTACACACTATTCAGCGTGTTTGGTACGATCGCGATGTGTGAACTCACCATGCTGGCAAACTTCCCCACGATCTCATATCCTGCCAGCATAGGAAATCGCCTAGCTTTGTGGGTCGTAATCGTCGGCTGATATATCCACCACGGGAACTTAAACCTCCCAAACCTCTCTTTCAGAAGAAGCAGAAGGAATCGGACAAGTTCACAAAATTTCGTCCATCTGCCTGCAGTTGTTGTTCAACCACAGTTTTCCCCGTCATGTAGGATCATGGAAAGGCTGGAGTCGAGATGGCCCTGTACACCACGCTCGAACTGGGAGCCTGCGATTACCTTCTGTCCCCTGAATGGATTATGGCAGCAACGTATGAACTCCCGTGGCCATGGGATCGGCAACATTGGCCCACCGAGCCCAACCGGGTGACATTTTTCAGGATGTATAGTCTTCACGAACAGACTACGGAACACGACAATGAGGTCGGCAGTGCATCGTTCGAGCGAGCGAGGAACAACCTTGCAGAGCGGAATCGTATGTTGAATGAGATCAAGCTCTGCAGTCAGAACCTGGGTGACAACAAGAATGCGAGTGTGACGGCAGTCCAGCATGACCAATCGGATCAGGAGTTGTCAAGGATATACCCAATCAAGAGATTGGCTGGCAAGCTTTGAAGACTGATACGACGTTCGCCCAAAAAAAAAATAAGGCCGAACAACAAGATCAGCGTCCTCATACGTGGGGTGCATGGATGTCAGAATGACCCAGTCATCACCATTGACGACCCCCTTTCTTCTTCAGGCAGAGATGCCGGGATCAACGCATCACTCTGCCCCTCTGCCTCAAACTCCTTAACATACTCTCCAACTGTCATACCCATAGTCTTCTTGAACACCCTACACAGATAACTCTTACTCACTCCAACCTCCGACGCCAGAGACCCCAATCCGCCCTTCCCCTTTCTTCTGCCTATCACGCCCATCGCCTTCATAACTATCTCCTCGGCTTCTCCGAAAAACAAGTCGTCCTCTGGTCTACAGCGTTTACAGGCCCGATACCCAGCACTGGTCGCCGCGACCGAAGACGCAAAGTAGCAGACGTTTGCGCGGCGAGCAAGGCGCGCTGGGCAGGTCGGCCGACAATAAATTCTTGTGGCAAGGACACCGTAGTAGAAGGGTAGGGTTGGAGGTGGGGTGCGTGTGGTTAGAGCGTGCCACTTCTGGTCCGATGGATGCGTTGCAGGGAGGATTGGAAGGGGTAAAGGTTTAGACGAGGAGGAGCAGAGCATTATCTGGCTTTGTAGATCTTGGTCGGGAGGCATTCATGTGGAGAGATAAGCAGTGATCGCGGACGGGGGTTGTAGAGGAGATTTTTGATGGTTGCTTCAAGCTTGTATGGCGGCTTCTCGTAGTAGAATGGCGGATGATATTAGGAGGTGAAGGTAGTAAGTAGAATATGTTCTTTTCAATAAAACATGTGCGATTTTAATATATCATCGGTGAATGCATTGATGTGGTTTACAACGCGTCAGATGTTTAGTATATCATGGAGATGCGAAAGGAAAGGGCACTACTCCTCCTCAGATAAGAAGGATGAGGGTTGGTAAGCAGCACAGCCCGAGGTTGATCCGTTGAACCTTGACATCATTTCCTTCTTTCGCCATTGTACTCCGTGTCGTGCAAGCATCGTACATAGATGAGAAAACATGTCCGCTTCCCTGGCTCAATAGATGCGATGTGCAGATACGTGATTCCAAGTGTCGATAGAAAGTGTTGAAGACCTTGAGCTCTACGATTGTGTCTCTTGCGGGTCGGGGATCTGACGAGCTCCGTGTCTTTGTCTCTCATACAGCTTATCTGGCCGTTTGTTTTTCTGTTCACCAAGCGGATCTGGTGATTGTTTTGCAGTTTTTGACTGTAACGTGCCATGATGCTACGAGATCTCGATGCTGGGGGCGAGATGGACCATCTCTAGACGCGGTTCGATTGCCGGGCTCTGATTGGTTAGTTCCAGTACACTCGCAGCCTGATTGGTCAGTTCCAGTACACTCTTCTACTCATTGGTTAGATTGAGTCGATTGATGATGAAGCAAGTCTACACAGTGGTATATATATGGCAAGGTAAGGTTTAAGAGTTAGAAGTGTTTCTTATAAAGGGTGAGTGTTAGTGATCAAATACTTTTTCACGCCAGCAACGCCCTTTTCTTCTTTCGACAAGATCAATTCTCGTACACTGGAGCTGTCGAATCACATCCTTCAATCCAACCAAAAGCCATCAAAGACGCAAACAGCAATGCCGGTCACCCACCCAGAAACCTCTTCACCATCCCTGTCATCTTCTACAGACACCGGAAAAGCCACCTCTGCCTCCACCTTAGCCCTCCCAACCTACCCCGAAGGCGGCACACGCGCCTGGTTCGTAGTTTTTGGCGCCTGGTGCGGTCTCACCGCCTCAATCGGCATCTACAACTCTACCGGTGTATTCAGCATCATCCTCTCTTCTGTGTTGCCCTCTGCATCGTCTTCTTCCATCGGTTGGATTTTTTCGAGTTATGCATTTGTGGTTTGGGGTACGGGTGTTTGGGTTGGTCCTTGTTTTGATGTGTTTGGATGCAGAGGGTTGATGGTTGCAGGGATGGTGTGTACGGTGTGTGGAATTTTTGGGTTGGGTTTTTGTTCTGGTGAGTATGCTTTTTCTTTCTGGTGTCTTTTTTTCTTGGATAACATTTGTGAAGAGCAAGTGCTGATGAGAANNACAGAGTATTATCAGTTGTTTCTTGCGTTTTCGCTGCTCACGGGATTGGGATCGAGTTTATTGCTTACGCCTAGCATGGCTTGTGTGGCTCACTGGTTCAACACTCGACGCGGCCTCGCCAGCGGAATTGCTTGGACGGGCGGTGGAGTCGGCGGGATCCTGTTTCCTTTGCTCATCCAAGCAGTACTGCCTAGACTGGGTTGGCAGTGGAGCATAAGGATTGTAGGGTTTGTATTACTCGCCCTCTGCATCCTCAGTATCTGTTTCTGTCGCAGCAGACTTGCGCCCCCAATAACCAAACAAGGAACTTCGGTTTGGAGGGCTACACTACCTGATTATCGGATCTTTGTGGACGGGACGGGTGTTATGGCTGTAACCACTGCAGGAACACTGTTTACGGATCTGGCTTATTTTGTGCCGATAACGTATTTACCTGCTTATTATCTTGCTCGCCAACAGCAGTCTCAGACTTCCGACAAGAGCGATGTCACAGGTTTCGGCTATCAACTCCTGGCCATCCTGAACGGGTCTTCGTGTCTTGGACGTCTGACTTCTGGGCTCCTGGGCGATCGTTTTGGACACTACAATACCATGATTGTTTCTCTGCTCTTCTGTTGTATTTCCGTCCTCTGTTTCTGGATCCCAGATATTTGCTCTCCACACCTCGATACACCGGCTCTGCTCTACATCTTTGTTATTCTCTTTGGCTTTGTGAGTGGCAGCAATGTTTCGCTCACACCTATTTGTTTGGGTCAGTTGTGCGGGATTAACGACTATGGACGTTATTATGCTAGCTGTTATACTGTTGTCGCGTTTGGAGTGTTGATTAGTTTGCCTGCTGCGGGTGGGATCTTGGATGCCGTGGAGGCGCAGGGGAAAAAACAGTATTGGGGTGTTGCTATGTTTACGGGTCTCAGTTATGTTACTGCTTTGTCTTGCTTTGTTTGGGTAAGAGTCAGAGTCAAGGGGTGGAATTGGAGGGTAAAGTGGTAGAGTTGATGCGTGATAGAATCGAGAGATGAGGAGTCTTCTTTGCGAGCTTTCGATGCATGCTAGAAAGGGATCTGAGATGTGTGTCTGCATGTCGATACTCCTCACGATGGTTGATCGCCGAAATTGAGATGCTTTATAGCTAACAATCGTGAGATTTTTGGTCTAGGCACGCTGAGTCTTGTTGGATCCATTGTTTGGGTATAGCTCTGGATTTAGAAGCTGTTGCTTGTGCTGTCCGACATGCTAGGGACACAAGGCGCGTGTTCTTGCGGATCGTGTATGGCTCTGCGTGTCTTAGATATCGGAAGCATCCCAATCTTACCTTATGATAGAGATATATAAACATATATATATATATATAAGATAGATATAAACTGTTTTTTCATTAAGGTGCTACTATCCTAATAGTAATTCTAGTTATGGTATACTATTAAGCCCTAGAGTAGGATTATCTTGGAGTGTCTAGTCGTAGCGTCTCTGTTTTCTTACTAGCTAGAAGCAATATGCCTAATCAAAACATAATGCGGTTACCTCGTTACTTGGCGCTAAGATGACTGAGCTGCAGATCCAGATCACGGTGAAATGACGCGCAAAGTCAGAATTCGAAGAGCTTGCTCGGTCATTCCTTTCCAACAGTGACGGCCACGGAACAAACCTCTCTATCCTTGAGCTTCCGGAAGTCGCGACAATGCTTTGGTGTCTTGGCTTGCAAGTGCAAGTTATGCCTTAAAATGGAGGCACGACACACAGCTTCGCGTAATGTTGCAGCAGATGCAGAGATCTGGGCTGAGTGTGAAAGTGGAGATGGTCATTATATCAGAGTCCTACTCGCTCCAGCTAGAAAGGATACAACGAATGAGAGAACACAAAGAACAACGCTCCAGAACTCCCAAAACACCTCAAGCTCATTCAACTCCAGCTTTCCAAAGATCACACGCTTACTTCTTCAACTTGGCCAACTCCTCCCTGACACTGCCACCACTGGCCCTCCACCACACATCACCAGTCCACCTCACAACCCTCTCAGCAGCATCCAGAGGCCCATCTACAGCAGGTCTGACATCCAGATAGAAAACCGGCTCTCCAGTCTCCTCAGGAGGTCCAGAGTAGTAATCAATAATATATCTCTTTTCCCTTTCTGTGCCATCAGGATGCACTCTCCTCACAAACCAATCGTGGCGATCAAATGGCGGCTCAGTCTCATATTTGCTTGGATACAGCCATCCCATAACCTGCAGCATACGGGCCTTTGGTGTCAGCTCCGAGGGTCTGCCCATAAAGCGTACAAGCGAAGGGTCTTTGGTATCCGTGTTGGCGGCCATGGCGTCTTTTCTTGCTAGCATCTCTGCTAGCACGCCGGCGTTTTCTTCTCCCTTTTTGCACACGTCCCAGCCGCGTTTTAGGCCGGCGGAGAAGCGTCGTTCCCATTCTACAATCTCTTGCCAGGCCCCTTCGTTCAGGAAGTTGTGGACTGCGACCATGGACTCGACATGCTCGGCTGGCGTATCGGTGTAGCCCTTACGCAACATGGCATTGTACATCTGCTGTGGCGAAGGGTACTCCCAATTTCCTTGTCCGTCGCCGCGGGGGATGGTGGAAGCTTCTCTGTCCAAAGGCAGATCTACACTCTGCTCATCGTGGTCGCGCTGGTTGGAGATGGATTTGGGCATGTAGTTGAGAGGGTTGAGCTTGGAGATGTACGAGGGCGAGCCGGCTGATGGTTCCTTCTTTTGGGCGTCGGTGGGTGGCACGTAGGGGCATGCTGAGGCCGAGTCTGTGGGCTTTGTGATGACCGAGGGTGGTGGTGCGGTGGGGGCATCGCCGGCGGGCTTGTGCATGGGGCACCCTGGCTGTGAGAANGGTCAGTTGCTGTGATAAGTGTGACAGTCGAAGGAGCTTACTGGAGGGGCGGCGCTGGCGCTAGCGGGCATAGGATGGGGTGCGACGGGCGCAGCGGGTGTCGAATCTGCCCAGAACCATCCCATTGTGGTTAATTATGTGTATGTGAAGAGGGTATTGAATAGCTGAAAGGTTGTAAGAAGCGCGCGACTGTTTACAAGGCGGCGGCGAAAAGAAGTCGATGGATGGTCGGTAAATACAGATCAAAGACGCGGAGCTCGGGAGTCTTCGGCGGCGATCAAAGTCGTTGCTGACCAGGGCCCACTAGAATCATCTTATCTAATCTGATCCGATCTGCATTTTCACATTCATGAATACCGTTGTCTAGCCACTTGTGTAAGCTACCTGATTTTTTGTATCGTACTGCTGAACGTCGTTTTTCTATACACCAGCCTTGAGGTTGGTGGCAAGCGTGCCCGTGCCTCTACTCGAGAAGATGGCCATGATACCAAACCCGACGTAGAAAAGAGCCAGAGGGTACGCAACCAATCCCCGCATGCCAGTCATTCTTCCCACAGCGCAGAACATGGCACTGCTGCTGTATGTGCACCACGAAATCGCCAAGCTCGTCAAGATGTACCCCAACAGTCCATCAAGAGGTAGTGCAATGCCGACGAAAGATGTCAGGACAAGAGGAAGGAGGCAGTAACCAAGAACCGATGCCGAACGCCAGATGGTGAGTGTGGCTGAGAAGTGGCCACCGTGTGCAGACGAGGCGTCTTGTTGCTGGGCTGACGCTTCGGCGGGAGAAAGGGGTGGTGACATGAGCGACAGAATCCAGTGGAGCGAGATGCTGCCCAACGCTGCCAACCCATAGATGTAGCCAAAGTGGAGCTTGCCCGANCTGTACAAGGTTAGCGACAAGAACAAACAGACTGTCACAGCGTCACTCACCAAAAGCAAAAAGGTGCCAAATAGCAGGAAGAAGAGAATAGGTCCAGCCAAGTCAGAGTCGTCCATGATGTGCTGGTCAATTCTAGCCAGGGGGTTCAAGACAGTGAGCGTCTTTGTCTTGATGTGTCCAAAGTTGACACCCAACTCTTCCAACAACGGCGGCTCGCCGGGGTATCCCTCGGTGCCAAACGCCGCTAGCCATCCCATTGTCAAGCCTCCTTGTTCACCCATACGTCCAGACACAGCAGGCTGACCGCCAAAGCCTGCGCCATAGCTCGATGGGTATGCTGATGTTTGCGCGCCGCTGTTGAATGCCTGGAAGGGTGTCGACGTGCCAGAGACGGGTTGGTTCGAGTATGATGAAGGATAGAATTGTAGGTTTTGGGCATTGCCGTAGGGCTGCTGTTGTTGGGGGTTGTAGTACGCCATTGTGACTGACGGGTCGTGTCGTGTTCCTGAGATGGACTCAACTCCTTGTTTCAATCGTTCAAGCTGTTCTGTTGTTACATAGCCTTTGCCAAGCCTTCCCCACAGCTGCTTGCGTCACTCGTTACACCAAAAGTCTCCAGGAGCACCCTGTCCCTTCACTTACCCTTCTCTATACCTTGGATTGGGCATCAGAGCGAAACACGTGGAGCTGACGCTTTCTGCCAGATATTCTCCAACTAGTGGTTGATGTACTCTGGCATCGCTTCCAGCTCTGTGCTCACTAAGAAAAAAGTGCAGATGCGATATATTAGTCATGAATCTTACCATGTTCCAGCAGTAACTTTGACGTCAAACATGCTCGTCTCGGGTAACAGATTGATAAAACCTGATCAAGCACAACTACAATTAGTGTTGAGAAGTATGTACAAAGCACTAAATAGCATTTTGCGTCGATCGAATCAAGCTTGGATGTATAATACTGGTGTATCAGGGCATGAAACAATATTCTACCCAAAAATGCTCTCGAAAGCTGTAGAGAACTATGCGATGCAGACGATCGTTGCATGCAGTATGTGGTGAACGTTGAGAGCAGATGCCTGACGACCTCCCGACCCAATGTAGGACAATCGGCTACCAATATCTCATCGGGCCGAATAGTTGAAAGGGTACAGAAGTTCTACGATGTAGCGGAAGATTGTCATGGTGTAGAGTGGAATTCATAATGATGTTCCGTCAAGCTTCGGCCGTATCATGATCCGCCTACTAGCACAAGTACTTTATCATCTTCCTCACCCATCCACTTTCTGACGTGATATGCGTAGATACGAGCTCATATGTATCTTATGGCAAGGATACCCACTCGCGCTTGTGCTGCAATACTGCATGGACTATCTAACCAGCTATTTTCCTGTCTTATCAGGTCCGATCACGCTTTGCTTGGCGTTATCGTCCCGCGCTAGTGTTTGTCTCCTGCCTTGTCGAGAAGGTCGACAAACAAACTCCGGCACTACATTGCAGATCTACCCTCCCTCCCAACCTTCGCTACCCCTCAACATGTCCGACCTCTCTTCACACTCGCACTTGCTCAGTGCTGTCCACTCAACTTTGATGAACGAGTGCGCCTCCCGCTGCCGTGTTCACTATCGCCATACTGTATATCGTATTGCTGCACGACCCTACGGCCGAAGTGGGCAGGTAGGTAAGTAGGTAGGTGATCTCTCTTGTCGTGTCCATGGCAAGTATCCATCAATTGATATAAAGCCTCTCTCCCCGAGATTCTCGTCTTTTCTGTAAGTGTTCAATCATTCATCGTGATGTACAATCGACCTCAAAAGCTTGCGGTGCTCTCGCTGTTAAGCAGCACGAGCGTGCTCGCCGCTCCATGGCAGAAATCAGAACCTCACTCTTTCCCTCACCCAGGATGGTCGTCTCCAAGGTACTTTGACTTCTTCTGGCCATGTCCGATCTGAGTACTCATTATTCCAGCGTCATCTCTCCAGCTCAGCCAGCGCCCTCTTTCCACCACTCCAAGCTTCCTTGGCCTGTTGTAAACTCCACCACAATCGCTCCAGCAGGTAGCGGCACTGGTATCTACTCTACGATGTATTCTACCGATACCGTGACAAGCACCGCCACTTCTCAGATTGCGATTACTCTGGCACCTCCAACAGCAAGACCTTCTCCTACCTCCATCGCTTCCGGACCGCCTGCCTCGAGTCTTTCTCCCGGGGATGCAGCCTGCGCCAGCGTCAAGAAGCTAGTGGCTTCGCAGACTTCTGCATCACCCAAAGCCACTCCGACTATTCCTGCTGAGATTGCTTACGAGTGTTTAAATGCCGTGCCGTTCAATCAGAGCGCAGCAGCAGATCTATTGGAGAGTATGAGACCGTACCTCCAATGGCAGACTACTATTGAATATCTGAAGGACCCGCCTGCTGAGGTGCGCAATCATCCTTGTGATCTCTATTTCTAGATTCGAAGCAAATTCGCTGACCGTATCTCCAGTNATGCCGAGAAGATCCAANGCCCCTACGACTTCTGGAATGTTTTCGAAGGTATCGTCGCAAAGGTGAATGCTGGCGCTTATGCTAGCGAGTATGCCTTTGGTTTTGATCTTTACGAGGCCACTCAAAAGACCCATGATGGACACTTCGCCTTTGTGCCTGATAGTGTCGTTGGTGTCTTCAGCTTTGGACGCAAGACGCCTCTTGTCTCTGTATCTGAAGATGGAACCAGCCTTCCCGTCATCTACGCCTATGCTGACATTCTCACTTCATCGTTCGGAAACGCAACATTCACTCCCTCCCCGGTCACCCATATCGATGGCAAAAATGTGACTGAATACCTTCTGGAGTGGTCTCAGTACGGTAGTCTCCAGGATAGAGATGCCTTGTGGAACAACTTGTTCTACATTCCTGCTCAGGTATCTCTCGGAACATCAGGTACTGGTACTGGTACGTTCAGCGGAGGTGGTCGTGGTAGATATGTCTACCCAGGAGCTACGACGACCTTCGACTTTGCCAACGGAACATCAGCCACCAACGAGAACTTTGCACGCGTGCTCCAAGACTTCACTAATATCACCACTGGTGCTGATATCTACCAGCAATTCTTCGCTGTGGGCCCTGAGGCATACCAAGACGCCCTTCAGCTTGCTACATCTACGACTAGCAGCACCACTAGCCCTACCACCAACGCTACCAGCTCGACATCAACGGCAGTGAAGACTACTCCCGCCCCGGGTTACCCTTCTCCTATCGTCAAACAAACCAACAACCTCAACTCGGGCTACTTCATCCCCGAAGCCGGTTACGATGACGTCGCAGTCTTGGTGGTGCCATCCTTTGTCAGTTTGGATACTGCAGAAGTCGAGTTCCAAAATGTCAACAGCGAACTCATCGCCGCTGCACTTGCTGCAAACAAGACCAAGCTCATCATTGACGTGTCTGCCAATGGTGGTGGTACCATCTTGCAAGGCTACGATCTCTTCAAGCAGCTCTTCCCCTCGATTCTTCCTTACGGCGCTACTCGTTTCCGCGCACACGAAGCATTTGACGTGCTTGGACAAGAGTATTCTGAGATCTCGGGACACTATCCTAGAAGCTTGGCTGAAAACGATACTGTCCGCGGTATCCTGTCCTCGGCATGGAATTACCGCACCGACGTCGATGTCAACTACGAGAACTTCAACAGCTGGGATGAAAAGTATGGTCCTCATGAGTTTGGTCCCTACAACGATACCTTCACTTCCATTATCCGTTGGAATCTGTCCGACGTCTTGACTACAGACAACTCTGGCGGTATTGTCATTAGTGGCTATGGAAACCGCACAAACGTCACTACTCAACCTTTTGCCGCCGAAGACATTATTATCGTATATGATGGCTACTGCGCCAGCACCTGCACCATCTTCTCCGAATTGATGCGCCAACAAGCCGGTGTAAAGACCGTTGCTCTGGGAGGTCGTCCCAACTACGACATCATCCAAGCCGTCGGCGGAGTCAAAGGTACAAACGACTTCCCCTGGAGTTACATTCTCGAAAGCATTGAAGGTGCTTTCTCCTTTGCCAACGAATCCCATCGCGAATACCTTAACGACAGCACACCTTTTGGCTATTACAATCAATTACCTCTCTATCGCTCGGCATCAGGTCCTGTAGTCAACAGTAGAGATGGCATCAGACAAGGCGACACCACAGAGACACCTCTACAGTTTGTTTACGAACCAGCCGATTGCAGAATTTTCTACACGCCAGAAATGGTTGTTGATCAAGAGGCTGTCTGGAAGTCTGTTGCTGATAGTGTTTGGGGAGATGTGAATCATTGTGTGGCTGGTAGTGGTGAGTTCTATGGTCACAGCAAGAGAAGTGTTGGTGGAGAGGCGCAGAGACATATGGTTAGGAGGGATATGAACTTTGCTGAACATTGGGAGGGGCTGGGTGTTAGTACTGGAGAGGGAATGACGCTTGGTGGTGATGCTATTATGTATCCCTAGGCGAGAGTCCGGATCCCTGACGATGGGAGTCGATCAGTCAATGAAAGAGTTTATGATTAGACGCAAAGCAGTGAATACTCGTTCGCGGTGCAGCGTGATGCTACTTTGTTTGCGACAAACGTGAAGATTGGATTTGAAGATGTAATCACAGATGTCTGTCGCGCTGCTCCAAGCGAGGCTCGCCTCCGCTAGGATGATCAAATCGCTTGTCAGTCCATCCGATAAGGTGTTGCAAGTCGCGCTGATGACTGATGGTCGTCTGTAAGCTAGCTTTTGCGCAGAAACTCCCAATACGTCAAGGTCAGGAGCACGCTCGGTTAGACTTTCCCCACGCCTTCGTTTCTCTCTTCAGAAGCGGTCTTGTACCCTAGGCAAACGTACGGTCGATGCTTTATGATGCAGCTGATCATCTCCATTCTCATCAATCACTAGCAGGTGTGTTTGAAGATTTTCGCGGAATGTTTACAAGAATATAAAGTCGCGAGAGCTATATTGAGATCTGGAAATGCACAATGCGCGTTTTCAATTTGTGAAGCGGCTATAGTAGAGGTCCTGCCTCTCGTCCATTAATCCAAGCATTTGTATCCTTCTCGAAGTGTTTAACCTAGAGGCGAACCACACAGAAGAGCTTGGCCAAGNCTGACATATAAATGTTAGTCTCACAATTCGTCAAAGCGCAGCATGTTGCAACTCACAATTGGCAGCGCGCAGCAACGAGCCTGTTGACCCTCTGTAGCGCAGATGTTGACAAAGTCAGTCTCGTTGGTGGGAGTGCTCGGTGCTGGAAGATTTCATGTTAGTGTCTTCAGTCATGATAGGACAAATAGATCTTGCTTACGGTTTGCGCAGTTCAAGTCAGCAAGACCGAGAACGTCGGTGGCGCAGCATTGAGCATTGCTGTATGTACCGCTGCAGATGACGCTCTGGGCAGCAACCTGGCGAGCTGAGATGTCGGCAGGGGCAGCTGCGACGATGGAGCTGCCGATGAAGGCGGTGATGATGGTTGCGGCGAGCATATTGATAGAGTTTTGAGTGTTTGAGGGATACGATGGAGTGTAGAAGTTGAGTTGATCAAAGCAGAATTCTAGGAAGAAAGGTATGCTGCTTTATACCTGTCGCTCGCTCGCTGTCAACTTGATTTCAGGTGAACATTGTCTTGGTTGTACCAGCGTCATCTCTACCATTGATGTCAGTCTTGACCATGACCATGACCATCCACGACCGTCGGTTGCAAAGAACGGCTCGTGGCACTTTCAGGGCGGCTTGTCGCACTGCCTTACAACCTGTGTGGTGGGGATAAAAGAGTCTATTAAATTGGTATAGCGCAAGCATTGCAAGGATCCAAGTAGTCGATACCACGTGAGACTAGCAAATTCAGCATCATCAGAAGGGTCGCTAGCGATGGTTGGCGGCCGGTCAGGCCGAGTATTGCCAATTAGCCCAGTCAACTGACGTTGATCTTGTGCCTTGATAAATTTTTTCGACCTGGAGTAACATGAAAATGGAAAAAGTCTTTGTTCGAAAGATCGTCCCATGACGGTTGTGGTACATAGGCGAAGGCGTAGCACAGCCTTGTTCACATCAAAGAGCTGTCCCGAGTACTTAGACTGTTTGAGATTAAAGGTGATCGTCAGTCGTCGACGCCAATTGTTGCTCGAGCGCGGTGGAAATAGGGACAGTCCAACGATGATGGGGCGGGAGGTCGTCAAAGGCACGGGAAAAGAGCGGGGAAACAAGGAACTCGGCCGGGGCGCTTGTGCCCTGATTGGACTTTCCGTCTTCGATCATCTCCGACCACCAGGAAAGCTCTGGCAGGTCGCCTGCAGACAGATGAAGGGAGGACGTCATCGGGGATTTTTGCTGTTAAAACTGCGGTACCTTGCAGCTTTCATGCTGAGTGCAGCCCAGGACAACGACGTCAACTCTTTGCGCTTGGCACAGCGCGAGCTCCCTGAGAGACGAGTAATTGATGTATGCACCTCTTGCAACAACAGCGCGAGTTTTCCCTGGCGTAAGGCAGAACAGGTGTATGTATTAATCTCTGATATGGAAGATCTATGATATCTCGGAGCGGAATTCCAGGATTGAACCTCAACTCCAGTAGCTCTTGTTCTGAGAAGCGTCATCCAAGACATCTGCTGCAATCTTCTCGCCAAGCGCATAGACTGTCGCTTGTGGATGACCAGGCGGCAGGAAAGGGAAAGCTGAAGCGTCCACGACACGCAATGAGTTGACGCCAATGACGCGAGCTTTCGAGTCGACCACAGCCATCGGGTCGTCAGCCTTGCCCATTGCACAGGTACAAGAAGCATGGTACACCGTCGCGACGTACTGCCTCACGAACTCTTCAATTTCAGCGTCGGTAGTATAGTTCCTGCCAGGCAAGAGTTCCTCTCCAATCAAGATCGGCTGCATTGCGCTGGCGCCGAAGAAGTCTCTGCCGCGCTTGATGGCCTGTACTGCGACTTCAACATCATTTGAGTTGCTCAGCCAGCCCGGGTTGATTAGTGGAGGATCCATGGCGTCGTTAGAAGAAATAGAGACACTTCCACGGGAGAGAGGGGTGATGAGTGCAATTTGAACAGAAGCATATTGTGCAGAGTCGGAAACTTCGACTCCCTTCATAAGCGGTGGGAAGCTGCTGACCAAGAATTCTAGATTGGGCCAGTCGGCAGGGAAAGCAGAGAGTGCTTGCTGTGTGGTGTTGCTCAATTGGTCGAAGTTCTTGGCTGGCAACTTTTCCCATCCAAGATAATCACCTCCCGCATTTGTAAGTATGCCTGTTGCGTTCTTGTTGTATTGCCTCGAGACCTTAGCAGCGAAAGTAGGGTTGGTCAAGGAATTCAATGTTTCCACATCCACTTGATACATGACTGGGAAAAGAACATGGTCCCACATGTTGGATCCAACGCCAGGTCGGTCAGCAATCACGGAGATATTGTGTTGCTGCAGGGTTGATTTGGGGCCAACGCCAGACACCATAAGCAGTTGCGGTGATTGGAAAACACCAGCAGACAAGATGACCTCTCGCGTAGCATTCAAAGTGTAGGGTTTGCCGGCTGTTTCAACAACGACTCCAGTCGCAGTCTTGTTCGAATCGAAAACGATCTTCTTCGCCATCGTGTGTATGAATACTTCAAGTCGGGCCTCGACGTCAGCAAGCGATTGTTGAAGATATGATGACTCGCTCGTGCTGCGTGTCTCATCATCTGGACGGATCGTTGCTGGGCAGTACTGTGACCCGAGTAGCTCTCCGCTGCTGAAGTCTGCAATGTCAGGCACTCCAATTTCGCGCAGAGCAAGCTGACCCCAGGACGAGAACGGCGAAGCATAATTCTCGAATGATACGTGAAGAGGACCATCAGTGCTTGAGAAAGCAGAAGCATTGGCTGGAGGAACGGTAGCGTTCGCTGCGCGGAGATTTTGGTTCGGTGCTGTGTAGTTAACACTCTTTTCGAAGAAGGGAAGGAAAGAGTCGAAGGCGTAAGTTTGGTCATCGACTGTATCTGCCCATGCAGCGTAAGACTGTCTTGTTCCTCGATGGTAGGCCATGACGTTCAGTGCGGAACTGNNTGGTAAGGTTGTAAGTTAAATATAGGCAGATTGCTTGCTTTCTCATGCGTACCTTCCGCCCAGAGTCTTTCCACGATCATATCCAAAAGTCTGGTTGTTCAGATCCGGCTGCTCAGTGGTGTTGAACCCNCAATCTACTGAAGGGTGGCCCAGATTGTCGGTATAGTATCCAGGTACCACCGTGAGGTTGCCGTTCTCGAGTTCATAAAAGCCGCCAGCCTCTACAACCGCTACGGTATATGTTCCATTCTCGGCAAGACGAGTTGCCATCACAAGGCCAGCGGTACCACCACCGACGACAACATCTGGGATTTTTTAGCTATGCAATCACGTAGGCCACAAGAAGGGAGACTAACAGTCGTAGCTTGCATCAGATCCTGCACGGCCGAAGTGGTTGGAGTATGCTGCACTGCCAAAAGGCGAGGAAACAGCCTGGACGCTAGCGACCAGCGCACAGAAGGAGAGGACTGATAGCATGTTAGCTCTGGAGATGTGGATATATTAAATTGAAAATGAGGCTCTGGACAACTTATTTGTATGGCAACATCTCGCAGTTGCGTCGTCGGCAATTATGAAAACAAAAGATCGAGCTGGTGCAAAGTCTTGTATAGGAATAACGCACTACGACATGGCGTAGATCTATCCACAATGACGATGATCATCTTCTGATGATCGGACATGAGTCAAGGATGCCGAACTTAAATCATGTTGGCAACTTGATTAGAATCCCATTGTTGAAGGGTAGGCAATTTGTTCCAGGATCAGAGGCCTGTACATCCTTGATGTTTGTTCCATTTATATGTCTATACAGGTACCGTGTAGTTGCAAGATTGTTGACAGGACGTGTCTGTGTAGCGCAAATTCAGGGACGGGCGTGGCGCGGCTTTGGTCGCACTTCCTAGTAGCGCTCGCGATATATCCCACTGTAAGCAGCTGACATTATGATTCCTGTCGATGGTCTGGCTGATAGAGAATGTTCACAAGGGTAGAAACCATGCATGTCCGGTCTCAGTATATCATGGAGGGGGTGCCACGCAACAAAGGGAAAGAGATGGCGCACAGACCACTCGTTATCCTTCAACCTCCACTCCTTCCTTCGATATGACCTTCCTATCGCGTTCACCGGTCAGTATATAATGACTCAAAATTGTTGGCATGGATTCTTAAGTATGCTGTATCTGTTTGCGCAACCGCAATGATTTCTTTATCAGGTCCGTCTACGTCTGAACTTAGGCCGCCATTCTAGCAAGATTTTTTGACTGCAAATCACACCATCAAACACCTTCTTGGAGACGATAGCTTTACATCCATTGCAAGCTCGCATACAGATCACGTCCCATCAGTTGCATAATCTTCACTCGGTTCTCCTGAACATTTCGATCATGTCTACCCAGCTCGATGTCGATTCTATCGCCCGTATCTCCTTGCACGATCCCAACCACTTCAACATTCAACACTCCCAGACGCTCCACCGCCTAGTGCTCCTTGAGCATTGGAACATTCGTGCTGGCTCGAGAACATTGGAATTAGGATGTGGTCAGGGTGACTGTACGATCGTTCTTGCCTCTGCCGTGGGCGAGGAGGGAAGGGTGATTGCAGTCGACCCAGCGGATCTGGATTATGGTGCCCCTTACACTCTCGGACAAGCACAACACCACATCACGCAAAGTCCGTTGGGTGGACGAATCACTTGGGTCCAACAATCACCTCTAGATTACCTCTCCTCCTTATCATACCCTGCTTCCGCCTCTGGCGGCAAGGACTTCGACGCAACAGTGCTCGCTCACTGTCTATGGTACTTCCCCTCGCCTTCGCTCATTCTTGATACTTTCCGTGCCCTCAAGCAGCACAGCAAACGTCTTTTAGTTGCCGAATGGTCGTTGGTAGCCACGCACCCCTCCGCCCAACCTCACGTTCTAGCTGCGCTCGCACAAGCAGCGTTGGAGTGCCGCAAGCCCAAGAGCGAGTCAAACGTTCGCACTGTGTTAGGACCGAAGCGGCTTACAGAACTGGCTCTAGCTGCCGGCTGGCAGCTCGAGCATGAGACACGGGTGCAACCTTCGGAGGGGCTATTGGATGGACAATGGGAAGTATCTGCTTGTCTTTCTACCTCTTTCGAACAAGAAATTGAGGACAAAGTGAGTGATGAGAGGGAAAGGGGTGTGGTTTTTGCATTAAGGGACGCATGTGAGGCGAGCTTGGAAGGTGTTCAAGGGGGTCGCAAAGGAGTCAAGGCAATGGATGTTTGGGTTGCCAGTTTTGTCTAATTGAGTGAGCCAGATCAGTGTTTGGGAAGGCATTGAAATCTCCACTGCGAAATTGACGCTTGCAGAAATATGCTTGTATTTGACTTCTCATGAAACATGAATCTCATCGTGAACCTACTATCGACTTGCGCTCGCCATAAGCCAACCTGGTCAGGGAAGCATCATTCATCACATCCTCACAACGGAGGTGCAGCAGGATCCTTTATACACTGATCAACACGCAGCAACTGCTTACCCGTCGCCTTGGCTATCTGGATAAACTGGCGAAGGTAGCCCACAGTACTTGGGTACAAGTATTGCATAACAACCAGGTTCCCTCCTTTTGCGACATCGCGCTTAAAGGCATCGAGTTGCTTCTCTGGCGTTTCTGTCTCAGCCCACGGCCAGTCCTTGACATTAACGCTCAAGTTGACAATGTATGGTTCATCAGACCCAGTAGCCACAGCCAAGCGCAGGAGAGGTGCGCCGACAGTGAAGAGAGTAACTTTGATGTTTTCCTCCTTGATGATACTGAGGACTTCTTGTACGTACTCCGGAGAACCGTCGTCGATGGCAAAAGCGAAACTGTTGGGTTTTTTACATGCGAAGATGAGGTTGCTAGATGGCAGCTTGTTGGGCACTTCGAAGCTCGCTGGAACAGACTTGTAAATCTCAATCTTGGTCAGAGTAAAAGGATCAGCTTTGTAGAATCCTTTGATAGCAGAGCTGATAGCACGACTTGTGTTGATGTTGAAATGGTTCATGGGGATATAAATGGCTGTGGCAGTGGCAGTGGCATAACGAGCAGCCTCAAGAGAGTCCCATGTCTCAGGATATGGCGCTATGGCTTCGTCGCAGGCGGAGTTGTGTTGCTGCAGAGTGATAGTGAAGGCAGTAGAGCCGGTATAGGCGATGTGGAGATAGCTTCTATCGTACATAGTCATGTCGCGACAACTACCCGAGAGTTGAGTGTAGAAAGCATAGTCTGCGTTGTTGGACTGGATGGTCAATCTGTTGGAACCCCAAGTCAAAGCCATGCCTTCGTCAGCACCATGCCAATTGCCAAGTGCATTGCTTTCTGGGTTGCCAAACAATTCAATGACAAGCGCAGATCTTGTGGCGGCTGGTGCCGGAACCATCGAGGTGGAACCATTAGGAGCGCTGGAGTTGCTGGGAATGTATTCTGTGGGAATGTTGCCACAGTAAAAAGCCACAGGACCAAAAGTGACAGGCGAAGTCAGCTGGGAGAACAGCAGTGTTGCGACTTTTGAGATGTCGAGACCATCGAACTTGCTGAAAGCGATACTGTAGAGTCTCTCAGTTTCATCGAAGGTTTACCCAAGGTCGCTGCTTGAAAGGGTCGTCTGCTTGTCGCTCTCGCCATTGCATCCAGAGTCGAGCTCGACAGAAAGTCTTGTCCCTGCAGGAGCACTAAGTCGCATCGAGATACCGCCGAAGGGGTCTTTGGCATTAGTACAACCAAGCTGTGTGTAGAAGTAGCTGCTGTCATCCTTGAGAATGTAGGTCACTCTATTCTTGGTGGAGTTGACGACAATAGATGCCATAGTTCCGTCATCTGAGCTGGGATTCAGCATGGCGTTGGCCAAACGAGATTTGGAAGTCCAGTCATCAATCAGAAGATTGGTACATTGACCGGTAGGAGCTGGAGCACTGCTAGGCACGGTCAAGAGAGAAGTGGCTCGGGAGGTGACGCCGCTAGACCCAGATGTAGGACCAGAGCCAGTGGCAGAGTCGCACGTGAATTGGATCTCACCGAACTTTCAAGGGGTCGACAAGCCAGAGAAACCACTCCAGACAAAGCTGGTGATAGCATTGGAGTTGGCACCAGTGAACGAAGACAGAGGCACAGTGACGGTCTGAGTTATGCTTGTCAAGTCGGATACGTAGTAGAAGTAGCTCTGGTAGGCCTTGGCAGAACATGCGCTCTTAGTCTGAATTTCGAGTGTGGAGGAACCTCCAGCAGGACCCTTGACAGGGAAATTTAGAGCGTTGTAGCCATTGGACGAGGCGGCTTGACACGCGAATGTCTCGTAGAAGTATGAGTTGGCATCAGGCATCACAGACAACTTGCCGTTGGCAACCCTTGCTGAAGTCATGGTACCGTCATCGACGTATATCAGTAAGAGTGAAGAGCCGGAAGTAAAGCGAGGCTTCGAGATATAAGATGTGCTCAGGACGTAATCGTTCAAACTATCGGAGTTGGACGACCAGTTGGAGAAGTTGTCAATGACAAGAGGACCAGAGCAAGCGGCGGATGCTGCCTTTGCACTGGCAAAGAGTGTTAGAAATGTGAAAATGTGCATCGTCATGCGAGATCCGGGCGATGAACGACGATGAGTGCGTCAAAGGAATCGAACATCGAAGTGAAGAGCGAGAAGTGTGTGCAATAAATACAATGTCGAGACAGTAGAAGACACGGCAACACATCATGTAGTGAAATCTTCGAGCCATGGCATGCAGCATTTTTCAATATTACTATGCAGCCAAAACACTGGCCTGCTTCATATATCGTCCTTGGGTCGCAAGATAGAAACGAAATATGTCAGCCAAGAGTCGAAGCTCTTACCGTCCATCCTGGAAGCACCACGGTAGATCTTCCCAAGAGGGCATCAGGCACGTTACCATGCAGAGAAGCTATTGCCAATATTCCAATCAGAGCAAAAGCGCCCAAGCGACAGCTGTATAGGTGTGCATGCAGGGAACACGAGGTAGCACGAGCGAAATACAGCTATGTGCAGTAAACACGAGAATGGTCGCACCGGCTTTCTTTTTCGTCCTTTGATCGCATGCACTTAGTTGCGTCATCCCACACGTACTGAGGTTCTGGTCGTGGATTGGACTGGTTCGTCGCATTCCCATCGTCGTTGTTCTCTTGATTCGTCTCTCGTTCGTCGCTGTTCGGACTGCCCTCAGGATCGCATTCGCATACGAATTCCCTTTGACCGCGTCCGTTTTGCGGCTGCCACAACTTTTCGCGCGCCTATCTCGCTTGCCAGGTCCATGTCACGCTCCAGGATGTACGCGGTGAAAGGTCTCCAGCCAGATCGGAGCGGTTCGAGACTTGGCAGAACTCTGGCCGCATGACTCGCGTCGGCAGAATCTCGCAACCTCCGTCTTCCTTCTCAAAACACCCTGGTGGTCGTGGACGTTTCCTCTTTCATCTCTCTCTGTCTTCTCACCTCTGTTTTCACAATATCATTGCTTCTTTTGCATTGCTGTCGTTGCTTATATCGCTATGTTTGCTCACATCGCTTACCAAAATGATCTTATCATGAAGGACAGCCTTTTTGGTTGAATCCCTTCGCAAACACGTGGTCGCAGTTCCTCGAATAAGGCTACTACACTATACCTAATCCGGTTTAACCACCTCGAGTACATCCTCCATGTCGACAACTCGGCATCTGGAGAACCACCCCGTGGGTAGTGAGCATCACCCCTTGATCTCAATCAATTTCATAGAACCTGAGGCTCTGGGCAGGTGATATAGTGACTGCTTATCTTCTTCCTATCATCCAAGTCTTCAACTTCTACAACAACCTTCGTCCATCGTGCTCTCGACGTCGAGCCTGCCAGTTGTTATCACGTTCGCGACTCATACCCCACTTCTCACATGGCCGTCTCCAATAACATGGCTTCTTCCCAGATTGACGAAACGAAGGGCCCCAAACATATCGATGCCTCGCCTCGTCCAGTCAATGTCTATACCAATGATGAGACTTCTTCTCTCGGCAAGGGCGATGTCCTCGGTGCCGAGCACGTCGATCTGGTCTTAAATGCCAAAATGCACTTGGTCAACAATGCCATCGACGAGATCGGTTTCACCGGCTACCACTGGAAACTATTTGTCCTCAATGGTTTTGGGTGAGTCAAATCCTCGTATAGAATAGCCGTCGTTTCCTCCCCATCCAATGCTCACTCGCGATGCGCTGTCATCACGTGAATCATTGAGCTCCATTGCTGCCGCCACCCCACGCGACTTGCACATCCCTATCATGTGACATCTCCAGCTATGCGCGTCTAGATCACGTGCTTCCACCATCACACGAGTTCCACATATGGAACAGCTAACAACCAACTTGTAAAGATACGCAGTTGATTCTCTGCTTCTCCTGGTTCAAGGGAATATCGCCTCATATGCCGCCAAAGAGTTTCAATCGTCTTTTCCTAAGGGTAAGGTCACACGACATCTGGAAAAGATATGCAAACTTATCTAATCACTTTCCANNGGCCTTACAATCGCCGTTTATGTTGGCATGTTGGTTGGCGCACTCTTCTGGGGCTTCTCAGCAGATGTCATTGGCCGCAAGTTCGCCTTCAACTTCTCCCTCATGATCTCTTCGGTCTTCGCTATTTTCGCTGGCGCTTCTCCGAGTTGGACTGTTCTTGGTCTTTTCATCTGCTTGTCCGCATTCGGAAGTGGTGGTAATCTTGTACTCGACACGGCCGTTTTCCTCGAGTATCTCCCCAGCCAGAGCCAATGGATGATCACTGCCTTGGCTGCGTGGTGGGGAGTGGGACAACTAATCGCTGGTCTGTTCTCTTGGGCTTTCCTTCCTGACCACTCTTGCGCCACTGCTGCGACATGCACTCGCGCGAACAACATGGGCTGGCGCTATGTGTGGTTTGCAAACGGCGCTCTCGTCTTTGTGATGTCTCTTGCCCGCATCTTCGTCATCAAGCTCAGGGAAACACCGAAGTTCCTTATTGGTGAAGGCAAAGATGCTGAAGTGATTGAGACTCTGCAGTTTATTGCGACCAAGTACAACCGACCTTGCAGTTTGACTTTGGAGCAGCTAGAGGCATGTGGTGACAGTNCATGCGGCGTGAGTCTTTATTGCATGAATTTTGCGATGTTGAGACAAGTACTCACACGTGGTTCCAGCACGTCTGCTTCACATGCGAAGTTCAAGTTCTCTCTCATGGAAGTTGTCGTCCATTGCCGCGGTCTTTTCGCAACCAAACGGATGGGACTTTCAACATCTCTGATCTGGTTCTCATGGCTTCTCATCGGCTTGGCTTATCCTCTCTACAATGTCTTCCTACCCACTTACCTGGCTACCCGCGGTGCAGAATTCGGCGAACAGTCTCAAACCATTTACTGGCGCAACTATGCTATCGCTAATCTCTGCTCCATCCCATCTCCAATTCTGGCAGGATACATGTGCAAGAGTAAATTCTTCTGGGGCAGAAGAGGAACCATGATCATTGGCGCTCTCATCACTATGGCCTTTTTCTTCGCATACACTCAAGTTCGCAACAATGCTCAGAATCTTGCTTTCACTTGCTGTATCGGCTTTTTCTTGGTATGCAACGTCTTTCTGTATCGGTTGTCGAACAACAACTGACATATACAGAACATCTACTATGCCACGCTCTATGCATACACTCCTGAAGTCCTTCCATCTGCTCATCGTGGCACTGGAAACGGCATCGCTATTGCGCTCAACAGAGTCATGGGTATCATCAGCGCAGTGGTCGCGACGTAAGTTCAAACCACCAACTCGGGTCTTAGGCGAAATACAATTCTGATACTAATGGTTATTCTAGTTNATGCAAACACCAGCACGCCCGTCCCAATCTACATCTGCGCCGCATTGTATATTGTCATGGCTGTAATTGCCGCTGTGTTCCCTTTCGAACCCATGGGCAAGAGAAGTTCCTGATGGATCTAGTTACACACCTGACGTCTCAAGTACGTTATCATATGAACCAGGCGCTTAGAACTCAGTTGTGGAATCGAGCCTCAATTCAGGTCGGCCAATATGTGCATGTGCTTGCGAGGACCCATCTAAGCATCCTAGGGAGATCTGCAGCACATATCCTGGGACTCCATACCGCAGGACTCTGATCTGCAGGCACGATGTGTTAGAACACTCTAATGGTGGCCTAGCAATATCAGGAGCCGGTCCGCAACTTACCAATCTATGATTCAAACTACCAACATCATTACCTTGCTTCTCCTCACTCGCTGGGCCTATGACTAGTCCTACGAAAAGCGCAGTGGACACTATGCTCATATTTCTAACAACATGATAATTCACAGACGATTGACCTTTGCAGCCATATATGATAATCAGCTGGTTCGGGGCGTTGTGGCTGAACGCGGGTAAACTGTGATAAAGCAAATTGCTTGTTACGCACGTAGACGCAGAAAGCGGCGCTGCGAAACTCATGCACACACAACGTGTCAAGTCGAACAAAACCGCGCAGTCTTGAATTTGCTAGACTTTGTGTTTTGTTTCCTTGCTACTGACCCTCCAAGTGCAGGAACATAGCAGTCGACCAGCCCACAACATGGATATAGGCCATGGCATTGGTGAACCCGACAAGGACCTGAACCCACAAACAGTAACGAGTACATCCTCTGGCGATCACAAACCGCAAACCAAGGTTTCCAACAAAAGAATTGGCAAAGATCCCAAGGACTACAGATTCTGGAACACACAGCCTGTTCCCAAGCTAGACGATGTCAAGTCCGCAAGCACAACTTTCGACCATCTTGAATCGCTACCAGATGGCGCAATCATATCCATCAGCGCCTGTGACAAACTCGCAAAAGCAGACCCAGCACCACTCATCCAAGGCTTTGAACGGTGCGAAGTCGATGTCACTGACAAGCAAGAACTACAAGAAATGCATGAGTTACTCTTTGACCACTACGTCGAAGACGACGAAGGTTGTTTTCGTCTCAACTACTCTCCGGCCTTCGTCTCCTGGGCCCTGCAACCGCCCGGCTGGAAACAATGCTGGCACGTTAGTGTGCGCGCAAAAGCACAGAAATCAAAAAAGAAAAACTAGTTGCTTTTGTCGCTGGGATACCTGTACAGCTCAATGTTCGGGGCAATGTGATTGAGGCAGTTGAAATCAATTTTTGACTATACACCAAAAGCTTAGAGGCAAGAGATTGGCGCCAGTACTCATTAAGGAAATTACACGACGCTGTTATGCAAAAGGAATCTATCAAGCCCTGTATACCGCTGCCACTATTCTTCCCTCTCCGATCGCTACATGCCGCTACTATCATCGCTCTCTAGATTGGGAACATCTGTACAAGACTGGATTCTGCCATTTACCACATGGCTCTACAGCTCTGCGACAAACACTAAAATATAAACTCCAAACCAAGACTTCCACCTTTCAATCGAAATCACCAGTCAAAACAAACATAGGCCAGATGGTGACGATGGTAACTTGCCCAGATGAGAAATGAGCAAGAGAGTTGTCCGATGCGATGAAGTTGAGGATAGAAAGATGAGCGCTTGTAACGAAGTTCGACGAGCAGCTGGAGTGTTGGCAATGGACGTTGGCATCAAGCTATGAGCAAGATGGCAACGACCTTACATCGCTCCTTCTTGACACACGCTTTACAAAGATCCAAAGCAGAAAGCTCTCGGCAAGAGAAGAAAAGAAAATGCTGTAAAATGTATACATCCTGAGAACCCATCCTTGTATATCCAGTCCTCGTGTTACGATGTCGTCAATACCATCCACCCATAATCAAGACATCCAGAACACCTCCCAAAATCCCGAGGACATGATACCCAAAAGAAACAGAGAATACGAAATCTAAGCTCACGCTCCATAATCCAGAAAAAAATCAAGGACTTCCACCGAACAATCCAACACCGAATTCCTCCTTACCTTCCCACTTTCTGGGCTTGAGCACTCTCATCTTGCGAACAGGGCTCTGATTCTCCTTCTCACGCTCAAAGGCCTGGACCTTTTCCCTGAGTCTTTCATTCTCCTCTTCTAGTTCTGCGATCTTCTCGTCGCCTTCCGCATCTCCGTCTTCGCAAACTTCAACTTCACTCAAGCCGCGAGTAAGGATCTCCAGCTTCTTGTCGAGGTGCTGATCAACATGTTCTTGTTCGGCTTCGCGAGCGGCATGGTAACGGCGACGTTCTGACTCCAACTGCGATTCAAACTCTTCCCAAATCTCGTCGCGTAGTTCGAGTTCCAAGGATTCGAGGCGGTTCTCTGCAGTCAGCCATGAAGACTCTGCTTCCTTGCGTCGTTGTGTTTCTTCTTCGAGACGGATCTGTGTGAGTTCGAGATCTTGACGTAAGAGAGCGAGCTCGGCAAGAGCAGATTCGAGAGCTGCATCGTTGACAGCGGGATTTGAAGGAGTTAAACGGCCTGAGGCAGATGTACCAGGACGTGCCAGAGGGATCATTGTGCTTGTGTAACTGGGGATACGAGGTACAGTGACTTCTCTGGCCAGTGCAGAGTAGCGAAGAATCTGACTCGTAGCATTATAGTCGCCCAGAGGGTCTGCGGTGACGATCATGATACCCTTNTGTGGTGGTTTGGGAGAACGAATATGGTGAGATGATGATGAAGAGGGGAAAGAGTTTGAGAAGAGCAATTCGGTGAGTTTGCACTGGCGGAAGGGGACGATGTTGGATGACTTTGTAGGGTCGGCATTGTCGCTCTGCATCTGCATGCATTGGCCGAGATACATGAGTGATTCGTTGATCTTGCCAGCTTCAGCTAGGGTCGAGCCAGCTGTCTTAGCGGCGCGAGCACGTTCAGAGCCTNNGTAATGATTACATGTCAATCCTTGGTCAATAATTCAGGGGTATCATAGCGGCAACTCACCAGCGAGATCAACAATAGTCAAGGCACTGCTTGACCAGTTCGATGTAGCAGCACCTGCAAGTCTCTTCTTGACTTCGACGCAGAAGAAGCCGTGACTTCTGCTGCTGACGGCGTTGCTGCCTGTACCAGCGACTCTGCGTTCTGTCAAACCTGTTTCGAGCACGAGAAGAGCTTCATCAAAATTCTCACACACGACTTTTCTCAGGCCGGCTACGACTTTGCGGTCAGGACTATGTTCAGTACTCTTGTATAGCAGATGTCTGCGTTTTGCTGTTGCTGTCTTGGAGGGTTGGAATGCGGCGGAACCAGCGAGCAAGTCGAAGATGCGGTCGTTATAGACTTCGTACATGCTGACGACGATGGCGAACTCGGCGGTTTGATCTACGTCGAGGTCGGTGCCTTGGACGATGGGAAACTGGGGCATGCTAGAAATTCTGGGCATGTGGCGCTTGGGGGCCATGGCGGAGGAGGGACGGGGNTTCGAAACGAAGGAAATGTCCTTTTGTGGCTGCGTCTTAGCTTGACTTGTTGTCACAGGGCGCTGAAGGAAATTGAAGAAGGATGAAGATTGTGGCTTTTGCACACAGGAATGGCGCTGGTTGCTTTTGGTGGAGCAGGCGATACACGAAGTGATGGAGATACATGATTGATGGTTGAGATTGGGGTATAAGCCCTGTTTTGAAGGAGAAGTTGGTCGTACCATGAGGGGAGTTGCAGCTCTTGACTGAGCTCTCGAGTGAGCGCGTGTGTCTGACGGAGCGTCGCCGTAGATGGATTCGAGGTATTGGTTGGCTGCCGACATGTGCGCCTCGGACGTGTCGGACGCGAAGACTGATTGTAGAGCGAGCTGGTCGCGTCTTGTTGAGATGAGCTGGTCGCCGAGGTTCTGGTAGAGCACATCGAGGGCGAGTTGCGTCAGGCCGCGCTGCGAGCGGGAGCCGAGGATTGTGTGACTNCTGTGTCGTGTCAGCCTCTTCTCCTTGACAACAGTAGATGGATGAGCGCAGACCTTGCCGGAGCCAGTGACGCCGAGAGTAGCAAAGAGCCCGTCGCGTCCCTCCCTACCCTCGGCGCCGAGCACACCCTGCATCATCGAGTCTAGTCCAGTGCCATGAAACAAGTCGAGCTGTGTTGCCTCCTCTTCGAAGACCCTTGTGAACTTGAATGTTTCGACTGCCTTTCTGCGCTGGTCGTGGGCCGGCGGGTGGATTGTGATGTGCGTGGGTGCTGCTTTCTCGTCGGCAGTGTCGACGTCGAGGAATCGTTCTGCATTGGGTGCGAATGATGGTCGTAGGCGGAGGTACACTTCGAACAGCGACGAGGTCGTCGACTTGGTTGGCGCTTCCATTCTGTGTGTCGTGGTTGGTTTGTGTCGTTGGTTGTCGTTGGTTGTCTTGATTGGAAGAAATGACGTGAAGCTCTTCTGAATTTCTGTGTTGACCAAACAAATGGTTGCTAGGGTCCGCGACTCGGTGCAGTTTCAGCCGATCTTCGACTGCCAAGCCCGCTTACACTTTGCTCTCTTCGCCCTGGGACCACCTCCTCATACAACCCTCTTCAACCACTCCGCCTTCTCCAAATTATCCATCTCACCAACAACTGTACGGTATCTTCAGGAGACCATCGCACTTGCCTATAGAGACCCCTCTCGAACTATCTGCGCCTAGAACGCCGGGCCAGCTATACCTTACTACTTCCGCTGAAGCACTATCGTCTCTAACCTTCGGTCCATGACCAGTCCATGGCAGCCATGTTTATATCCATCTTCTCTGTCCTTGACTCTTGGTGTTATCCTTAACTGGATCGATGTGTCTGAGACTCATGTGAGTTTCTCCATGACAACCATCCACAGATTGTAAGTACCCTTTGGACTGGCACCATGGCTTCCAAAATTCTGTCTGTTGCACCCATCATGTCGGCCGCGTTTAATTCATCGCCTGCCTCAGCTATCATAAACTGCTGTGCCTCAAGCCTTGCGCTGTTGTCATTAGTGTCTACTCGTCATGTCCAGTGCTGCCCGAGCACTTCAAAAAGCCATCAGAGTGGTGCAAACGTGTAAACGAGA